ATTGGAATCGAAATCGCAACTGCTGTACTTGAAGAGACACATGGCTGCTGCAGCGAACTAATACACACCACCGATACAAGGTTGCTGTTTTCTACATTAAGATGTATTTGCTAATCAGTAAATTGCCAATATATTATTCGGCATATGAATAGGCTGGGCGTATTTATAAATATCGTGTACTTTCAAATATAATATATAAGAGGTTCGTTACAAATAATATAAAATCATGTTTCTATGCCTGGTCCAATCTATCTTCCCGTTTCATAGAAACAGAAATCCGTCGATTGCTGTGATGCACCGTAAAATAACATTCTAGTTTATGTATATAAGACATACGGCAAGTGTTTATGGTATCATTATAATCTTCATAATTGTACCATCGCTATTTCAGTTACACAAATGTATAATACAGTGGCCTTGCAGTGTTTGGTTTTTTGTAATTTCTCATTTTCTTTTTTCTCACAATATCTCTTCTCTTTTCCTGGATTTTTCTCTCTTTCCAACTTGTATATGTGCATGTGCGCGCGCGCGCGTACCTTATGATCAGAATTTTGTATTAGGGTATAATGTATATATGTGTATATATAGACCTCTTCATTACAATCCCAATTTCATTTTCTATCCAATTTTTCAGTATACGAAGTTTTTTTTACAAAAATGCAATACATATATTTAAATTAAAAAAAATACATATCTCCGCATTTAGCCATTGCGTGACGTAGTGCATGGCGGGAAAACTGTTTTCAAAGAATACGTGCTGCACATGCATAGAAAAGACAAGTGTACCTATAGCGTTCAGCTATTATGTTCAACTTATAACAAATTATTTAATACGGGACAATCTGGTTTTGAGCTTCAAAAATTCTCAAGTGGGTGAATGGCAAATAAAAATGGAAAAAGAACAATGTGTTGTGTGTCCACGTGGGCATATAAGCGAGTCAAGTTGCACCGTAACTACATGCACCTGGCCTTTATTGAATATTGACCGACCCCAAGGATGCCAGGAGTATTATCCTCCTATTAAACGGATAAAAGGAATCAGGTAAATTGTGCATCAGTAATTGGTATATCGGTCATTGTGCATCGTCGTTATTACTTTAACAACGGTTCCATAATTGCAGATTTGTACAACCCTCGAATGCACCGTGGGGTCACACCCCTTGGACGAATTTAATTTATCGCCCTGTGATAAAAGGGGGCTTTAAATATTTCGGAGTGAATAAATTAGTACCTCTAGGTCCTCCCCCAAATTCACCTGTGCTCTGTCGTCCCACTGCTATCAGAAAAACTGATTGTCCGGGAATGATAGTTTATTGTGATAGCAGAGTCTGTTAAATTGGATATATGTGCGTGAATGCATGCACACATATTGTCACTTAAATGTGTAATTGTACTATTATTGTATAAAAATTGTAAATGTGCCTGTGTACATAAAAATTGAGGTTATGTTTTGACGCAGTTTGCACAGACTGAGTTTAGTCATTTTATTCAATTATAGCAATTAAATAGTCACGTCATGGACGCTATATGGAATCATATGCAGTTAGAGCGCCCACCGAATGCAACTTGTTGCATTCGGCGTGAAAAATTTGGTAACGTAGATCATAATCTATGTTATGTTAGATTGTATTAGAAATCATTTCTGTTCTAATAATTATTTATTTTTGTTTATCAGATACAACAGGATTTTTTAATACTCTGGACAAAATTGTAAGAGATTTAATTTCCCAAGAAATCTTGCACAAAGAAGCAGCAATCCTGAGTAGATTAATATACCGTATGAAAAGTAAATTCCGAAATGATAAGGGTATGAAAGCTATGTCAAAGCTTAACAGAGCTTTGCTGAATTATCTTTCATTGTGCCTTGAAAAAGAATATGAAAATTTGAGAAACTATATTGAATTTGACTGTAAATATGTTAAGTTGCCTACTAAGCAAATGGTAGAATATGTTTTGGTAAGAACTCAAGGGTTTGCAAAGTTAATGGCACGCATAGAAGAAATATCAAAACATGCTGCTCATTTTCTTAGAAACAGAATAATGTTAGGCCATGCATGGCCTGTTGCTATCATTGCATACTCTGTTGTCAGTAGAATATGGTACGTTACAATAGAATTAATGTTCCAACTCATTATAACACAAGCCCTTTTTCTCGCAGGCTGTTATCAAGGCATTTAACAAACAGATCTTGCATATGGTACAATGATTTACATCACTACTTACAATCATTTAAAGTCTCAGGATTAAATTGGCTTCCCATGGGATTTGATCTCCCATCTGATTTACGGGCATGGTTAGCACTACCATGGATAGATGAGCCTACACCACGGTAAATACAGAACTTCTTATAAATGGTGATGTATAATTATTTTGTAGCTAATAATTTGAATTCATACAGTGTCCCCAGCAGTCATGGAATAAAAAATATCATGTTCAAATTAATTACACCCTGTGATTATGACTCGGACGAGGACCTGGATTTAAACAGGCACAATTATAGCAAAGAAATAGAATTGAAAAATACTTCTTTAAACCTACAAAAGAAAAATGCTGCATGTAATGATATTATAATAGATATAGACAGTGTTGACAATGACGCAGGAGGTATAGAAATCGTGTTTAACATAAAACTAGGTAATAAATATATAAGTGAGCAAGGACTGATAATTGCTTATCTTTTATAGAAATTATAGATCGTCACTCGTTTAGTTTAAAACAAACTAAACAGACTTCCATAAAAGCTGAAAAATCTAAGAAAATAAAAATCGAAGAGCAGACTGTTTCTAATGTAATAGAAGAAAATGTGGAAACGGTGCCAAAAAATTTGAAAAAAAAGGAGCGTTTAATAAAGGATTTAACGTTCGCCAACGTCAAGAATAAGTCAGAGTTGATGTTTTTTTTAGACAAGGAATCCCATCCCGGCTTAGACAAGTTACAATGGAACATGATCAGAAACAAGAGCAAGAAACAACTGAACAAATTGGACACGTCTTCCGACAAAGCAGACCAATCTATCTCAATAAAAAAGGTAATTAAACGGATACAGCGGTGGATCACCTGATCGCAGCGTACACTAGTCCGTCACCATATGCACAATACAATAAATTTTACAAAAACTGCGAAGAATGTGTATAACATAAATATTGTACTTGTTATGAAAAACTGCTTTATTTTGGTGACCTAAAGCATAAGTCCACAAATAACCATTGAAATGGATTCACGAGTAAATAAAGTTTAGCTTGGAAATCGTTTATATATTTAATCATTGACTATAGTGAACTTAATAGTAATCATAAGCGAAATGATAGTGCATTAAACATTTCCAGGGCAGGTCATGGTGTGAAACAACTCATTATTCCCGAGTACACGTACATGCATAGTACATTTTGAAATTATTAAATTATTCAGCAGCAAAATCGAAAGAATGCAACTTTATGATGAATATAATTCAGTTGCATAATGATTATGCATCGTAATCCAGATGGAGGCGGTTCGTGTAGCGGCGCGGCCTCATCCACAGCCTAAATCCGGCGTTGTACTGTCTTTTCTTCATGTTGTTGAAGCAACAGGCCCGAAATTGTCGAGTGCCGCATATATCAGCGCACTCTCGGCCGCATTGGTCGCAGGATAAAGTCTCTCCAATAGTCCAGAAAGCACACACTGCAACGTAGAACCCGGTGTTTCTTTTTTTGGTACAAGCTGTGCCGCCCGAAGAAATGCATTTATGGATGTGGCGCCAGAACGTAATGAATTTTAAGCAAGTAATTACAAGTTACCGCATCTACATGCCGCGCGGCGTGTCACGAACTTTTTAAATTTTCCGGTCGAGAAACTATGTGCTGGAGAAATTTTTCATTACAAATTAACATCTTCTGATCTTCCGGTTCGCGGAACTCAGGGCATTAAATACGGACGCGATTGGTTAAGGTTTTAGTAGCAACGATGCCCTGGCGGCTGCTTTAAGTGAAACACTGTTTGATGGGATTATCTCTTTGCAAAAGAGATTACACTGGGCGAGGCGATACCGTCTATTTCGGGATCCTTTGACGCGCTTCGGATCTCGCAATTAACAGAGCATAGCCTATTTTTTATAATCGAGAAAGATTAATTAGTTAGTAACAGAAAAAAGTAACGCTTACCTATCAGGAACAGTATCAAGCAAGTGGCATTCATCTTCATGTTTGATAATCCGGCTGCGGAAGCTTTGAACAAAAGGACAATTTATTTTTAATTAAAATAGACAAGGATCCGTTTTATTAAATTTTTTTGTTAAATTTTTATTGCACTATGTGTTTTTAATTTATCGTTTGTACTATGGAATAGGGTACCGCACTTTGTAAGATTTTAACAGACCACGAAGCAAGCTCTGAAGTATAATGAAAAGATATAGGATTCAAAAGGATATTAAAAATAAGATCTGTGTGCTCAAACTACACAGGCATTATCTACACAGACTTTCAAACTGGAAGCAAGTGGTTGAAGCGTACGATACTGATCAGAGAGATGCAAACTCACCAATCCTTCAGGGATGAACGTCGAAGACCAAGTGATAAGACTCCTGTGGAGGACCACCGCCTCAAGATATAGTCCCCCACCAGGCTCCTGTCGCCTCCTGCATCCTTAACGCGCACGCAATCGCATTTTCTGCATCGATACGGTATTCAGAACAATCTCCGAGTCGATTTACAACTATAATTAGACTTCTAATCGGCAAGGACTGATGGCAGGAGCCACCTACGCGAATGACCAGGGATTTGAGGAGTTCGGTTGGAATAGGGGCGGTATAATAAGACAATAAGATTACACGTTCATAAATATTAGCATTGTTTCTTTAATGCGTTATTAATGTCACTGCCATACATGTGTAGACAATGCTGATGGGAAACGTTGATTGATGATTTCTCGTGGCGGTACTTGTTTGCGACAAGGATTCAGCTGAAACACAGACCATAGGTAGTTAAAGTCTTTCAATATTAGTGATTAAAGATGTTTTATAAAATCTTTACTTATTCAATAATTTATGTATTTGTTCCAATTTAGAAGATAGCCATTTTGGAGCCAAATTGGTACACTTAATATTTTAAAAATACCGGGATAGTAAACGATCCTCTCTCTTCGCTTGTAATCCGTGTGAGGAATGGAGACCTCGCAGTCCAACAGGGTCGGCTCGAAGGTGTTTCTGATGATCACGACCCGCTTCACGGATAGATCCTTCCTGTACCACTCTATTTTCTCTGTTCTGTCGTAGTAGCTGTGTACTTCCACTCCTTCTACATAGAACTTGAGGATCGGTCTCGGATGTGCTCCGTTCACCACGCATGTCAAGTTCAAATGGGTCTTATTAAAAGAAGATACGTGAATCGTCGCGTTCTTCTCTGGTGCTAAAGAATTATCCAGGACTCTGTTTTTATTCGACCTATCGGAATCCAATTAATAGGATTTTTAATAGTCTTTAGATACCATAAACGATCATCTGCGATCTCTTCGAATCCTCCTCCTGAAAGGTGCTAACCGAACAAGTGTACTCGCCGCTCATGTCGACGGTGACCGTCTTCAAGTGAATGATAGATTGCGATGTTGGATGTCTTAAATTGTTCCCAGGATATTCAGCGAACCCGTCTATCACGCCCACATCCTGTGGCAGCACTATAAATGAGCAGAGTGAAAGAAAATGTTTATATACGAATTAATTGATAGCTTCGTTTAAATTACTTGGTGGAATCCACTGATAAACTTGGTCCATATTATGGTACCATTTCACTACGAGGCCGTTCTCATCCGATCGAACATGGTAGACGCAAGATAGATCGATGGGACCGGTCCCATTACGTACAATACGTGGAAGGTCCAAAACGTTGATTCTCGAGGCGCACATGTCTAAAAGAAATTTATTTATCGATACATATTTATTTAGTAATTAACATAACGCGTAAATATTTTAAGTGTGGAATTCATCGATTGTTTGTCTCCTTGTAAAATTAGAATCAACGCGATATACGCTTTAGAGTCTATATGTATGTATAAAATGATTTTATCGTGTTAGAGCCGACCCGTACGCAAACTCGAAACAACTGGAAAAGTCGCATGAATTTTTAGTAATGTGCTTCGAGTCTTAACAATTTTAATTACGCTAGATTTCAGTTTCATTTACCTGGGAACGGGACGGATATTATAGCAATAGCTAGCAGAAAAATCGTGTACACCGTTGACAACATTTTCAACGAAGACCTCTTTCCAAACTGATGCACAATTAATCATGCTTCGTTAAACTTAAATCAAGCGCAGGCGAAAGATTCTGCGCAGCCATCGGATCAGCATTGTTCGTTGTATAAGCGTTAAAATGATCAGGATTATTGCTGCAATCCAGTTTTGCAATTTTTGGTAATATATGGACGAGTAATTTGTTTCGAAATTCTATCTCGTGCAAATTTATTTAATTTCTGCAATCGATCTGCCGCCAATTATTTAAACACCTGCTGACGCTCTTTTTGATTTCGTTGATCGTTTATAGATGGCATCTATACAGGGTGTTCCATATTATTTAACAGCCGAAAATGAGGGGTAGCTGAGGCCATTTGAAGTAACTTTTTTCTTTACGAAAATGCAATCTGCAGCTTTGTTTACGAGTTATTAACGGAAAACACTGACCAATGAGAGGTGACGGCGCGAAGTTCGAGAGCCCGCAGCACGAGGCTTTGACAGATGGTCGGGAGACGGACTCGAGCCGCGTTCGAAGTATCGAACAAATCACGAAGCGAGAACTTCCGGATTTTCTTTACTACGTAACAGTGATATTTTTAAGAAAAACGCAGTTCACCTTTACTTTAGAACGTCTGAAGAATATTTACTAATTTTTCCGACCCGAAATAGTAAGTAATTTAACCGCGACGGCCGTTTTAATTTTCTGGTGTGCATGACACCTTGTCTGTAACATATGAAATTTTTAAGCAAGGTGTACAGTGAAGATTAACAAAGTACGTAAATGATATTTTAATTTAAATAATTCCGTGTCCGAACACAGTTCAACCAATGATTCGCAAAGCTAATTTAATAAATAATAATCGTGTAAGGGATATGTCAAGGTTATGTCAAGGTTATGTCAAGGTTTGTTAGAGAAATATGAAGAATATTATCAATAACCTTGACATAACCTTGATATGTGAAGGGTATGTTAAGGTCATATCAAGGTTATGTCAAGGTCATGTCAAGGTTATGATAAACATATCCCTTACGTCCTTTCACACGATAATTATTTATTAAATTAGCTTTGCGAATCATTCGTTGAACTGTGTTCGGTCACGGAATTATTTAAAGTAAAATATCATTTACGTACTTTGTTAATCTTCACTGTACACCTTGCTTAAAAATTTCATATGTTACACACAAGGTATCATGCACACTAGAAAATTAAAACGGCTGTCGCGGCTAAATTACTTACTATTTCGGGTCGGAAAAATTAGTAAATATTCTTCAGACGTTCTAAAGTAAAGGTGAACTGCGTTTTTCTTAAAAATATCACTGTTACGTAGTAAAGAAAATCCGGAAGTTCTCGCTTCGTGATTTGTTCGATACTTCGAACGCGGCTCGAGTCTGTCCCGACCATCTGTCAAAGCCTCGTGCTGCGGGCTCTCGAACTTCGCGCCGTCACCTCTTATTGGTCAGTGTTTTCCGTTAATAACTCGTAAACAAAGCTGCAGATAGCATTTTCGCAAAGGAAAAAGTTACTTCAAATGACCTCAGCTACCCCTCATTTTCGGCTGTTAAAATAATTGTGGAACACCCTGTATAGTACTTTTGTTAATATTGTAGATTTAAAATAATTATGCAATACTCTCTACATATCTTTCCAGAGATATTAAATTGTTAAAAAAGATCATTCATAATTTATTTGGTGTGAACAACTGTTACGCACTTGTTATTTTACCATACTTTTTTGATGTTCCCACCTTACTTTTAAAAGCAAAAAAAGAACATGTATATAATTTAGACGGGGTTATGGTGTATTAAGTACATTTTTTCGAACCATTATATTGCTTCTTTTAGTTTGTACGATGGTGTACATAACTATTTTAAATACATTCTGCTCTAGAATCCAGAATTTGAATTACCGCTTCTAGACCGCCATATTGAATTTTAGTTTGTCCAAGTTTGTAACTAGTTTAGTGCAGGCAGCCTAAACAGTGCCCCAAAAATTGATTAAGAGTCGTGCCCCCTTGGCGGAACTGTACAGACCAAAGCTCTCAGGTGCCTGATCGTTCTTGGAATTTTCACCCAAGGCAAGTGTGCCTATTAGTATCTAGTATCTCCAATGGTGTCAGAGATTCTGCTCGGAATCTGCTTCAAGTGACAGAGAGGAGATCTCACAAATAGGATTGGACAATTCCAATAGATTGCCAATGGAAACCATTAGCATCATCCAATCCCATTTGTGATAAGTAATTCTTCCACATCTACTTTTCTGGAAGAAATTCATAAAGCCCGTTAAACAGTCAAGCATCTGAGAACTCTGATACAGACTATAGTGGATTATAATGATTCGTGTTCTCTGGTCTAGCTACAACTGATTTTAACGTCTCTGTCATTCAAATAGTGGATACGAAAACAAACGTTTGTTTCGCTGATTTATATTGTCATAAATCCCTATTGTTTCCTTAAAAATGAACGACGATCCGAGAGAGGTTCTAGCGCTTTTAAATTCTTTGGGATTTGTTGGAATTACTGCGCAACAACTAAAAAGTTTCATGAAAGGTAAACATATTTATTATTACGGACGTTTTGTTCCTACTTGTTTAGTGATTAATTTATGTACAGTAGTGTTAATTTCATTACTTCTATCGGCAGATTTGAAATTGTATAGAAAAGTGAAAGAGCTCGAGCTGCAACAGAGGAAGGAAGAAATCGCGATGAAAATAATAGATAAACAGCAAAGCGATATAAAACGAATTCTCAGAGAACAAAGAAGACACTTTTCTTCGGTGATAAACACTGTGTCTACTGATTCCTCTAATTCTATAGCTGACAATCCTATTGTAAAGGTAAAAGTACATTGTGTATCAAATGACAAAGAAAACAGAGAACATTTTAATTCTGGGGACAGTACTTTAGGTATGAAACAAAACTATAACGATACAAGATCAAAATCCAAGACACCATCTGCCCCGACCAATGTTAGATCTGCTAGCACACTCTGTAATGAAGAAAGTACTAGTGCTCGGTTGAAAAATTATAAATCGAAAGTAGACCTAGATAAAATACTGCAACATGTTCAGTCAGCATCTTCGTTACACAGGAGACCCATGAGTGCTCCTAATATTCTAGAACACGAGCAAGAAAGGGTTGGAAGTAGTCGAGCAAAAAGTATATTGTCTACTAAAACCTGTCAATCTGGAACAAAATCCTGTAAAGTTTCAGATAATATAATAATCTAGAGAAAATCTTCATTTCCCAAATATTTCAGTAATTTCTATTTCACAGTCATTAGACCATGGAGGTTGCAACCAGAAGTACAGAAAGGTTTTAGCACCAAAAAATCTGATCCAGTTGCACTTTATCAGAAATATCAACAGGAGTGGAAACAAATGTCCTTTCCAGGAGAAGCTAAGCATGCTGGTTTAAGATGGGCAATTCGTGAAAAAATGTTAGGTGGAGATCCTCATCCTGTGGTAAGAACTTTATACAGATAACAGTATATTCTTTTATTATTTATTTCGTAAAATCTTAAAGTTTCTTATTTTTCAGCCACTTCCTAGGAAGTCGACCAGTATGCCAATTTTAAAAAAGAAATGACCTTAACTAAGCATAGAAGATAAATTTTTCACTAGAAATAATTAGTTATAAGAAATACGATTTTTATGGTACAACATAGTAGTTCAATTTTCAGACGTTGATTTGGGAAAACTTCGTCTTCCGAGGATTAATTGTTATAAGAAAAAACATATTTACTGTTGGTAAAAATAACAACAATTTGATCAATAATAAAGAATTTAATTTTTTCTTTGGATCGATTTTACTGCTGGTTAAGCTTGAACTTCTCCAACAATTTTGCAGAATCTGATCTATTTAGTTGAAACAGAATTTTATCTTCGATATAACGCGCCGCTCTTTCCGTGAGAACTAAAGTATCATACTTTAGCATACTGTATACATTTAGCCCTAGAGAATAAACAAGAGTTAGACTTATATAATTAAGCTGTACATTCTTGGTAGCAGTCTTACCATATGCAGGCATTAGGGTCATGTGCGCAATGCTATCTGTTGCTGCTGTTATATTTAATGGCATTATATCATCGGTATCAACAAAAAGTACAGAAGGACCCCAACACCTTTCCTCGACTAGTTGATTCATATAAGAGGCATCCTGAGTTGGTATTTCTAAATCGTTAACTATGAATAGATCATCCTGAGCAAGTTTTACAGACAATGTACTGCAAAGACCAGCAACACGTGTGAAATAGGGAAGCATATAGAAGTGAGGTGTTGGAGATCTGGGACCATGTGCAATACCACCACCTTTCCACAATGGTGATCTTATGCTTCCATGGCGTGCACGACCTAATCCTTTTTGTGGCCAAGGTTTCCGACCACCACCTCTTACTTCTGCCCGTGTTTTCGTGTGTTCATAGTTCTGAAATAAAAGATTAATGTTGATTCTAGGATAATGTTTATGAATAATTGGAGTAACTTGATAATTACCACAAAACGATACAGTCTCTGCCATTTAACATTCTCATGAATAATGTCCACCCTTGGTGCTGCTGCGTAGACAGTGGGATGCAGGAACACTAGACCTAATTTCTTTCTCTCTATTGTATCCAAATTCTCCAACCATATTTGGCGTGGCTTTTGATACAAAAATTTCTCATCTCTGTAACTCTTTTTGGAAATAATTGGGACTGGTTCTAGACTGGTCGTCTGCTCCTTAACGACAGCAGTGCAGAATTTTAACGACTGCTGTTTACATGTCTGCAATTTCGTGACAATGTTTCGGAGAATTATCGGCATTTTTATAAGTAATATTTGTTATTATTCTCACAATATGCACATTGTTACATCGATAACCTAGCAATGTCTTTCTTTTACTTGATCTGTAATACTTGAGTTTTATGTAAGATGGCGCTGAAAGATATAATATTTTCGCAGATGTCACTGCTGCCGATGATCATGTGTGAAGTTTGTTTTCGTCTTCGATAAACAGATGATTTCAAATTTTTCTTATTACTGTGCCGTTTATTATCCTTAATTACTGCATAACATCGATAAATAAAGTGTATAAAGGAGAATCAAGCGAAAATTTCACTTAAAGAGGCTTTATTCTTCGACTTGGTGAATACATTTATGTTTCAATTTGCAAAAACTAAAAACTTGTCTACTTAAATTTTCAATAAGTTTCTATTATATACAGAGGAAAACACATTATTCAATATATTATAATTATTTTCCTGTATTTCACATACTGCTAAAAGATGTATGGAAGGAAGGCATTTAAGCTAATAACAGAATTAGATTTATCTGCAGAGATTCAATTATTCAATGTAAGTTATATATTATATTGTAACAATCAAAAATTCAATACAGCCACGATATAAAACTAAAGAAAGATGTTTTGTAGGAGGTATTATTGAATGAAGTTCTGGAGGAGATGCATACTCTGTATGATGCAAATATGACTGATAGGTTTGTAAATGTTTATAACCATAGTTGCCACAAGTAATTTACGACTCAGTGATGAAATTCATTGGTTCCAGCAATGCCATTCGAAATGAGGACAACATGGCATTGCTACCATCGGTTCAACTAAGACATATAGCACTGACTAGAAACAAGAGATGTGTCTTGTCATACATCTACAACAGAGTAAGGAAGCTGAGAGAACTAAGATGGGATCTGGGAAGTATTCTACCACCGGAAATAAACTCCAATTTGTCAAATGCAGAGATTCAGTGGTTCCAGTCTTACAATAAATCCTTAGCTACATACATGAGGTCTCTGGGAGAAGACCAAGGATTCAATCTAACTGCGTGCATGTTGCCTCCAAAAACTCCTTATGTAGAGGTAATTGTATTTAAGATATTAATACCTTTAACAGACCATACGATTAATTCTGGATTCCAGGTGAAGTGTATGGTAGATTTTGGTAAGCTGGAGCTGGAGGATGGTCAAGTCATACTACTAAAGAAAAATACATATCACTTGCTACCCAGAGCTATCTGTGAGTCACTCATTAGGCAAGGTATACTTGAGCATAACACTACATAACGTTTTTCTTTATCATTTCACACAAATAAAAATTGTGCACATTTTCATTCCTTTTCCTTTCTGTTAAATAGTTGCATATAGATCAGGATACTTAGGGATCTACTGGATTATACTTGAAAACGACCTAGCTCCGTCTCATTAATGATTCCCATCGAAAATCGTATTCAAAAATTCGTGTACCCGCATATGCTTAACCGACTCCATTAGGAATTTCCCCGAGAAGCTGAAATTCTGTCAGGCGGTGCGCGACCACAAACAGTGTGAAGCTGATCCGCGTTTGCTATAACACGTTTTGCCTCGACAATAGTGTGGATTCTCTTAGCTCGTAGATGCTACTCGCATGTCCCAATGCGCATACAAAGCTTAATGATTAAGGTTTTCCTTCTAATCGAGGACGACAGAAACAACTTTTCCACCGATACTATCAGTCCGCCGTCTATTATAGCATGCTGATCATCGTGGCAGCGGAAGACACCTATAATTATCCGGTAAGCGACCCACTTTACATTTCTCATTGATCGAAAATATAAAATAAAATCGTCTGCAGAGCATCTGGCAACGAAAATGATTATAAAACATGCTGGGGTTTTTACGGGCTCGTAACGGTAATTTTTCGCTTATTGATCGATCTATGGGTCACGAGTTCAATCTGATTTTAAATCACGAGCGTCGGCAATCACGAGCGATCATCTGATTGCAATCTAATTTCGTCGTGCTGGAACTCTCACATTTCTTATCGCGTTAATTATGCGAAACCTCTAGTACATGCATTACCGATGTGCCGGAAATTATTATGCCCATTGCGTAATTCTTTTGAGCCACATAAATAATGCATATTTCCTTATAAAACAAAATTTGCATCACAGAATGATCAACTAACTTTTCCTTGCCCTGAAGTATCCTACTAGACTGTTGAAATTAATCGCATCGCTAAAACATTCCCAGGTAACACCTGACTTCCACATATATACATAAGGGATAGGATCGCAGGAAAGCACATTTGAGTCATAATTACTTTTCCAGAATCGTAGAAAAAAAAGGCAGAACGAAGACAAAGAGAAGATAGGGAAAACTTCTTTTTATAAGGCCGCGGGTTCCTTGAAATCCTCTCCGTTCACTTTACCTACGGGCCTCGTGGTTTCAGCTGACCTCAAAATGGGCTTCACCTGGACACAGTGCAGGTTGAACGGTCGAAAACCATTGTAACTCAAGGTGCAGCAACAAAATTCGCTGATATCGAGCGTATCTGGGCAAATTGACTCTTATAAGCGATAACACATTTCCAAGGCTTATCTCAGGTTTTCCCCAGATAACTTAAATACCGTTACTTCCCCAACAACAATTTCTCCGCTATCAAACGCACACCTTGTGTTACTGTTTTTCTATCAACAATGCCCGATGTGTAACGAGGTTTCCCAGTTAACGGGTAATTGCCCGACGATTTTTAATAACTATAGAGGTAATTGGAAAACATCGCTGCAAAAAGGAAGCTGCGGTCTCGTTCTATTTTCATTATCTGCAATGATGTCTGTGCTACCAAGCATGCCGTTGTGTGCCACTGCGTTTCTCTTCTTCATCTTAGAACAATGTGCAGCGCGTTTTTCCCGGTAAACGAGTAATTACCCGATGATTACTAATTACGATAGTGGACAGTTAGAAATATTCGCCGAAAAATTGGAAGCTGCAGTTTTGACATATTTCTGTCAAATAGCCTCCCTCCTTTCCTTTTATTTTTAAAAACTATGTATATCTTGAGGTTCTATTCTACAAAATTTGTCGCTACGCTACCGGCTCGGAGCAAGAAATATTTTCATTCGTTAGAAATTACATAATTTGTGGTTAATCTAACCACTGTGCGGCGTGTGCGACACGCCGATGATGAGAAGGAAAAAAATACATTACATGAAATTATATAATTCATCGATAGGTATTGTCACAGGGGCGCAGAATTATGACTATCGTTTACGAAGGCTTTTACGAGCGGTTCAAATTCGTTCCGACTTTTATGACTAATCGGCCACCGTCGTTTACAATTTTCGTAACGAGAGATTATAGAAGAGCACATATTGTGACAACGGCCCGTTATTATCAGCGCACCGTCGTTCGGCCTCATTTGTATAATGATACAAGGTTCGTTGTTTTACGACCGGGTGTCAGTAACCATCGTTTGGGAAAAACCAGTGCTTAAACGACCACTGAATGGGGCCCGAAACCATCGAGCTACGTGAACGGTCCCTTCTTGGTACAACCTTCTTGGTATCGTAATGCCAAGAGGCATAGGCCGTCGATGTTACCAGAGATATCCGGATGGAATTTCCGGTGAGTCCACGTCTGCAGTAGATCAAGCAGAGAAGCAGAGAAAGAAAGTAGTACAGTGAAATCTGCTTGGTCGCGTAGAAACTGCTCGGTCGTTCGCTTTTCCATCGTGCACCGCAGAGATAATCGGTTATACATGTGAACGTAAGTCCGAACACCATAAATTACCTGTCCTCTAAAACTGTCCCAGTTTTCAAGGCTGCACTCTAACAAGTGATTTATTACCTGGGACGCAATCATTATTACAGTTTCTACTGTCTCGGATTTGCGATTTGTAAATCGTTTGTAGACAATGGAGACAATAACGTTTGGTTACGTAGAAATTAATAGCATCGTCAATTATTTACTCAAAACTTAAAACGGGGCACGTTACGAGGCTTGCCCCTTCGACCCTTTCGCCACACGTCATGTGCGCACAGGTTGCCTATCTTTTGGGCTCGCACTAATAAAAAGTTTCTTTGTTGCCGCATCTTTAGTATCGTTCGAAAAGGAGGAAAGAACGACAATTTTGTTATCTTACAGTTATAAATGCTATGTTTTATTACAAAAAGGTTATCGTTTGGTCGTCTTCATAAAGAGATAGAATCTCGATACTTTTCCCATCTTCTAGATTCTGGATACTAGATCGTAGAATATGATACCGCAATCTGATTGTGCTTCCATGAATCTCTTCAGTTCAGCATAAACATTCCATGGACATCCCGCTGTTTGTCCTCTTGTTTTCCCTCTTGATTATATTTCCTAGTGTTTAACCCTGAAACCATTTTATCGGATCTTCCAATTTACACTTACTATACATATTATATTATCAATTGGTCTGCCGAATGCTTCCGACGTTAATTGCTTACGAATAGAAATATTTCCATGTATTGCCATCGGGAACAATGGACCAATTGGCGAAACATTTATTGTAGCTTTTCGAACGTTGCGTTTCCGGTGTCAGCGTTTCTTCTTATATAGCGATTATCTAAAGAATGTCAAGTTTAATAGTGTACGTGTAGTTGTTGGATCTGCCAGACGACGATGGGTTTTCCCACCCCCTACCCTACTCATTTCGCAGCACGCGTGAACGTCGTCGAGGGCGCCACCATAGTGCGCGGCCATAAGCGGAAGGTTATTCCGCTTGTCGTGGCTGGTCGTTGCTTGTCGGTGAACGGATACGGCATACGGCCAGTTCTAGTCAGTTCAGAGTCAGTTCGTTTCAGACAGCGCGCCGAGTATCGTCGTACTCGATAATATGCGCTAATTATCCACGAAATCACGGTGATTACGAGCAACGAGCACGCAACTACGCATAGTTCATCCATTACACTGGATCAATTTACGCGCGCCCACACGATCGGTACTTCGGGCTTGTCTCTAAACGCGCGACGAAGGAAAACAATTGGTCTCCGCGAACAGACGAAGTGAATTTGCTCGTACACCGTCGGCACGCAGTCTACAAAAGTTTTGAGTTTCGAGCCACAGTCTAAGGTCTAAGACGAGAATGCGACGACGACACGAAGAAACGAACACACATAAAAGCGCAGCCATCGTCACAGCTGCGTTCGCGTAACGTCGAACGACGATCGAACCGATTAAGCTCCCGAGCAGAGTAAATGTAGCAGCGGCGTCGCTCGCTTGCTCGCGAAAGTCAGTCGAACGGAACACGACAGTGTTCCATCCCGAAAGATAGCAAAGTTAATTGACCGCGTCGTGCTGCGAAACGGCCGAGAACCGAGAGATCTAACCTAAACCGAAAATTAAACGCTACGATTGATCTCGAAAATGTGGCACCCGCCGTGCGATACACCGATGGAGAGAAATGTTGCAGAGTGCAGCGAGGACAAACGCGAAGAGAAAGGAGAAACGGACTCTGGATTCCTGTCTAGCGGTAATCTATTGGTAAGCTCGGAAATCTGCGAGCAGGAGGCGACGGATGCTGCTGTAACCGCGCCCGCTGCACCGGAACCAATGAGGGTGGACAGCGGCGTCGATTTCAGGCTCAGCGAGAGCCTAAGCCAGCTGAGCCTAAAACAAGTCACCCTGAACCCTCTGGCCAGTGACAGGGTTCAAGCTGAGCCAACGTTCGAGCTGACACCCGTCACCTCGGAGAAGCTCGAGCAACGAGAGATCGAGGCGTTGCGAATCAACGACTCGCAACGCGAGATTGAGAAACCGATCGAACTCGACTGGCAGATCTATTACACACAGGATGACGACGGCGATACGTAAGTACTTCTCGTTTTTCGGTCCTAATTAACTGTCACGTGAACGCGTTCCGTCTTAGGAACGGTGTCGTTGCGAGGTTAGGATTCTGTTAGTTTCGCTTTAAGTTATTCTTAAATGGCGAAATAAGTCGCTGATGTTTCGTCGAGCTTTACGGTCCAGTTGTCACGTGACAGTCTGATTTATGACCATAGTCGTCCAACTTTAAGTGTTTAGTACTTGACGTAGATTTATTGAAAGTGGGTTGTTTATCGTGAAACTTCCATGAAACTGTGCGTGTCATTGGGATCTTAATAGCTACCGATAGACTATTCTCGTTGACATTGTTGAGAGGGTTACGCCTGATGACGATAACATAGATAATAACATTGTTGACACCCGCGAACCTAGAACATTACGGTCGCAGTTAGAAATGTATTCAGATTTATTCGAATTGAATCGGTGTGCAAATAAGATTTGCGTGGAAGGTGAATACTTGATCTACGAAACAATAATCACTATGATGTGTTTACATCGGCGACTTCGTCATTTAGCCTACTATGTTGTTTGCTTTCCACGCGTCCACGTGATTCGTACAGTCATCCGAGAGTATTTATACTTTCTCGAGTATATTCTAGTGGTCGAAGCGACGACGGTAATCCATTTATGTGATATACATATATGTATTTAAAAGTGAACTCTGCGAAGCGCTCCATTAAATTTGGCGGGAAGCTGACTTCCCGCCTCGATTTGAACACTTGGCGGGAATTCCTGTTCGTCGTAATTTCCTAATTTAAAAGAAAAAACAAATTTCTAATATCTTTCGAACGGTAATGTATTCGTCGTTAACAATTTAAAAATCATCGACATAAGGTTTGCCTGTTGTACGATCTACGTCATCGGGATGATTACGATTATCGTTGTCGCAATTATCGCGACGGACACGCAGTTCTGTCGTCATCTTTGAAATCCCAGATCTCTGACTCGTTGTTTATGCGAGAAAAGCGGATCAAAGATGCGATCGATCGAATGAATTCATCGTTGAGCTGCGCGCATGCGCATCACCGTTGAAACCTGTAGCCCGCGAGTGTTCGAAGCGTTGTTTCTATAGGCGTATCGATCGAATCCACGATAAAACAATGCTAGCCGTTGAATGGGCGTGATTGTTCGTAGCGCGGAAAAACAATGACTCGGTACACTTCGCGTTCATCGAACGCGATTTTCCTGGCATCGTTGAACAGAGATCATCATCCACGTGACGTCCCTTAAAATTCATAGAGATCGTCGAGTTTCGTTTTCGTAGACTTTCTCGAATCGAGATAAACGGGACCCAATAACATTTCACGCCCAACATATCATTGCGGACTGCAATTACCGTTTTTACGCGCCCGTAGAAAAACATGTTGATCGATGAGAGGCTATCGCGCCATCCTGCGTATACGATTCACGATTACATCGGTTCTATCGGCGAGCGCGTTGACCGATCGCGATCTCGTTGCATCGTGATCTTTAACCCGCCAGCTAGACGATTTTTCACGAGCGCATTCTATGACGCCATAACTTCGACAATATCGATAAGGATAAATATGTCTATTAATGTCGACACTAGGGAGTGACGAGGCAGCGTCTTCTCCGGTTAGATATCGGATAAACGATAAAGAAAGATCAGCAACCTTTGTCCCAGTCCTAGATCATCGAAAGCGTTCCGGACACATGCGCACCCTGTTGATCTTTGTCCACACGCGAACGGTGCAGAATGATCAGCATAAAAGTCGTACAACCTCCAATAAACGGTTCAAACTAATCGAGAATCGCTGTTGTTTCGAACACGCAATTCCTAATTGCCGCGACAAGTGACTTTATTGGCTCTCACCGTAGTCCGCAAAAAGGGGAACGCCATAAATCTGTCATAGTATTTCAGGGGCAAGGACCGACTACCTGAATCGGTTCGGGGTGGCTCGGTGCGGCGCAACGCGACAGAAGGACGGACGACAAACGAACAGGTTGCAGGGTTTCTACGAACGGTCTCTTGCATTTTTCAGGCAGCTGCACATTGCGATCGTGCAGGGCTTCCTGGAGGCTGCGTTCAGCCTCATAAGGATGGCACCGCACTGCTGCCTATTGAACATACTGAACGACGACGGGCAGTCCCCGTTGCACCTGGCCGTGTTGACGAGACAGCCGAGGATAGTGCGACGTCTCATCCTGGCAGGTGCAAATCCCTCGCTGAGGAACTTTCGCGGGAACACGGCCCTTCATCTGGCTTGCGCGACCAGCGATCTGGCCTCAGCCATGGCCCTCACCGATTCGTTGACACCCTTAGAGAGGAACTACCTTCTGCCCGGAGGAAAAGTGCCGGCCCTGCCGCAGAATCTCGAGCAACGAAACTACGACGGTGAGTCGCAATCTCTTGCCTCAGTTTTTTTCGATATTTAACCTCGATCAACACCGGATCTACCAAATCGGTGGAAATTACTAGTTTCTGAACCAGCCTATAGCTATAAAACGATACGTATATGTATATATCCACGCTGGTCGCGTTTAGAACTCGAACTCGGTAGTAACTCGAGACGTAAGAACCGTGTCTGTTGCTCCGGAACGGGACGTTAAGAAGGAAAGTCAGTATTTACAATTATCATCTCGCAGCAGAATATTTTATTGTATCGGTCAACGGATCGACACGCATCCGAAAAGGATGACGCAACGTTCATCCTTGCGTAACGATCCCAGGAACATAATTCTTCCTGAAAGCGCACGAATTTTTCTCTCCTTTGTCTCACGGTTCAGCGTCGTTGTTAATAACGGGTGAGTTCAGTGCCCAAACGACTGTTCCAGCTTCTAGAAAACTAACAATAGCCGTACCGTTTTCTCTCGTGTCCTCGTTTCCGTTTCCTTTGTGGCTCGTAAATCATATTCGTCGTGGCTATTCATAGGGATCTAAAAAGCGGGAGAGTCTTGGAGGCGACTGTTGCGAAAGAAATGTGGCAGATAGGCGAACTTTTGACCCTGTGAATATGTATATCGAACAGAACAACGAGATAGCGTTCGATTCGGTCGTGTGTCTCGTTAACGAGGAAACCAAGCGACCGTGACAGAGAATCCTCGGAAAATCCTAACAGCTTTTACCGCATGAAGCAACAGTCACTCCGACACGAGCGCGTTCGAGGAGGCATAACAATCCTGTGACCACGATTACGCGTGGGTTTCCCGTGATTTCATCGTGGATCGAGACCGTGATCCACGGCCCAATCGCGCACGCTCGGAAATCCCATTAAAACAGACCGTAGCTGTAGGACGATTCACCGTAACTGGCTATTTCTCGGTTCCACCGCGTCTCTGATAAACCATCCTGACTCTCCCTGATCTTCGATTATGGTTCCTCTCTGCAATCGACGATGACTGTCGATTGTGAAGTGATTTAACTCATCTCGTTGCATTTCTTCGAAGAAGCAATCAACTCATCATCTGTGTTTTAATTGCTATACTGGCCCTTCTTATGCCTTCCGACGAAAATAGTTTACCAAAACAAATATATACATCGGGACAATAGCAATAGCAACAGCAACCGAAACCGAAACCGATTTTTCTGTCCTATTGCGTCCTCGCCAAAGAATCCAGTTTTTCCTTGTCCCCTGCGGCAGCAACGGTTAGAGGAAGCTCAGAAAATCGATTCGAGGAACCGTTTACTCAGAAGACTCTCCCGCCTTTTTCGGCTCGTGATTCCTCGATCTCCCTTTGTTCGCTCAGCTCCGTCGATCGCCTCCCGCCGAGCTTTTCGTCACATACACGAAACGAAAATGCTCGAAACGGCCACCGTTCGTTTTCAAAGTTCCGGAATTCCCGTGTAACGTCATTCTCCGACGCGCTCCATCAAGGAGCGGATGCACGATCAGGAGGCTGCTGCTAGCGTAACAGCTGCTTTTGGACCATGACGAAACATTGGGCACTCGGCGGTTTGTTCAAACTACTTTTTCGGAAATCCGAAAGGTTCTTTTGCTAACAACCTAGCTCTTCGGTTAAGGCCGTTGCTGTAGTTCTCCGCGGCGAGAAATCGGTGGAAAATTATCGCGAAGAAGCGTGTTCTCGAAGTTGGCGTAACTTGTACGTAGATACCCGTGACGTACGGAGCCTAATCGATCGTCCAGGCGAGCGTAAACATCATCGTCTCGTTTCCCGGTGAATGGGGGTAGAGAGAGAGAGAGGGAGAGGGAGAGGGCGAGAGAGATGCGTCTCGAGGGAGGCGTTCTAATTTAGGGCCGCGGTTTTTCCAGATTCCGGGGTGGATTTCGCGATCGATTCGCGATGGTCTACTTGAAATGTCGAACGCGCAGAGGTTAGCCGATCTCCTGTGCGTCTAGGGCGCGCAGAGGGAGGATAGTGAGGAATTCGGGCGGGTCGTCTGTGCGTGCGAGCGTGCGTGCCTTGTTACATCACTCGTGTGAGACGGCAGGCAGATGTTTGTGATATTTAAAAATATCTACGGTACTATTTGCGTGTGTCGCGGTATTCTCGGCTCTCGATTCGACTCGGGAAACCCCACAGCGGCGTGGGACTTGGTGGGTTCGACCCGCTTTCACCCCCACAGCCGCGCGACCAGCAGCGCGCACGTCGTCGACCTTCTTCTTTCCTGCTTTCGAATTCCGAATTTCATTATATGCGATGTCGTTCACCGCTCGCCGGATTTCAATTGCAGATCGGCGACATATCGCGACGGGAAATTCCGCGCGAAATGCTAATCTGGAATCGGGGCCGGTATCGGCGCGTGTCAACGTTGAGCTTCGCTAGATCGGCAATAGAAGCCCGCTGATGGCACGCGTAAGTGTTCGCCGGCGACGGTGATGGTAACGAGGTTTAATTTTAGTCGCTTTGAACGGTACGAACCGAGTTTGGACCGTGGGACGACGGCCAAACCTCCGACGACAATGATTCACCGCGGCTTCCTAGTTCTATCTATATCGCCGCGAAGCATGTGACTCGATCGCATCATTCTAAAGTACGCGACGGTCCCCCCGGTTAGGCTCGGTCGATTAACAAATAGAAATCGCGTCTAAATGCGCTCCGAGCGCGCCACAATGCGACCGCCAGTCTGCTAATTCCGACGGGGCGCCCTGTTGGCAACCGGTTGCGAATGCTCCGAGCTTGATCTCATCGTCGATCTTCTTCTCTAGAGCGATCTAGAAAGATACATCGGATCGAGGGTTTGGGGTCTGGAGCGGTCTAGAGAGAGAGGAACGTACATCCGCGCGAGGAACATTGCACCGTTAAAACCTGAGCCTCGGGACTTCTATGGTCCAGAGAGATCTAAAAAGAAACTTTTACTCGAATTTTAGTACTAATCTTGGCCAGACTAATATGGCCCAATTTTGTACGTACACGTTGTGCCGATTATATTCCATCGCTCCTCCGCGCAGAGGATTCTGCAGCAATTTGTACATGACTGGTCACGTATTCTGATTGCAGGCGAAATGTGTCTGCACATAGCAGCCGCCTCGGGCCAAGTGGAACTGGTACGGCTTCTGCTTCGTTTCGGAGCGGATCTGGAAGCCAAGGAAGCGTTGGCAGGGAAGACGGCGCTACACCTTGCCGTGGAACGCGGCTGTCGATCAGTGGTCGCGTTTCTGTTGAAGGAGTGCAGGCCCTGCTTGGACTCTCAGACGTACGCTGGCATCACGGCCTACCAGATCGCCTTGTGCTTGGACTCGCAGATCGCCAGCGAGTTGGTGAGAGAGGGTGCGACGCCGGAACCGCTGCCAGAGTCGGACTCGGACAGCAGCGACGACGAAGATGTAATCGTCGCGGCTAATTACATGCCAGCGATCGCTAGACTCAGGCAGAACGTGGTCGGAGTCAAAGTGTAGGATTCGATCGATTGCTACGAAATTTATACCCAGACTTGTTGCCGGATCGCGACCGGTTCAGGACCGTCCCAACACCGGAAAATTTAGGGTATCCGGGGGATCAGATTATAAGTATTATAAACGGACGGTGTCGATGCGATGATAATTCGAGGAACGATGGACGATCGGCGATCATTGTAAACCGGAGATTTTCTCGGGACAATGTGAATAGGTGCCTCTGTGAGGAACAAGTATTTCGAGGAACGAATACGAATGGGAACAATGCGGAGAGGTATCGGATAGAAATTTGCGCTTAAGGAGATCCTAAGATCTCGATTGTGTAAATATGAGGATCAATGTTTGGGTTGCGAGAGTGAGAGAGAATGGGAGAGAGTAAATGGCGTCGAAGCGAGATAGCTAGCAATAGTATATATTGTATTCGAACGTTCGTGTTTTTTAAGCTGTACATACGTATACATATTTATGCTAGAAAGAGACCGAGATAACATTTAACGAGTAGAGATATTTATCAGGGGGAGAGAGACTTGCTCTCTTGACCGTGCCCTGTTGTACATAGTCCTTTCTTCTGTTAGTCAAAACTTCTAAAGAGACGTGGAGCGTGCCCTCTCCGTGTCAACGAACATTACAGATAATATCCGAACACCGTTATCTAACGTGTCCACGATCATTTCTTTCTTTTAGCAATAAAAGTCCTTCGATGAAAATTGAACTGTTGCGAAATGTTTTTATATTGTCGCGGAGGCGTGACGAATGGGGTTAGCAGGGGCAACGAAAGCATTTATAGCGTATGCAAATGTGTGAAACACGACGAAGGAAAAAGATTAACGTATATCCAACACTCTGTTCTTAATTTCATACCCGATCACTAATCAATCGCGTTACCGGGTATTATCGTCTCTACTCTCTCCGTCTCTCAGCACTGAGTTATCGCTCGTCGGTATTCCCCATAATTAGGAAATAAACTGTTATTTCTCCTTTTGGAAATAACAGTCATCGGTTCAGGCGAAAAAATCTCCCCGAAATTTCGAGTAAACCAAAAATGGGAACCGTGGAATTCCGGCTGAGTTATTTTGGGATTGTCCAATGATGCTACGTCGTTTCGAGTAATCTGTAATAGCATGAACCGTAACATATTTCATACACGTGCGACAGAATTCCCTGACGTGATTCATGCGTAAAAGTATCCTACGTACTCGCCCGTGTCATCCGGTTATCAGGTCAATCGTGGATATCAGGAATTACGATGAGCAAAAGTCTCGCGCGAGACGCTAAGAAGGGGGAAGCCGGCTAATTTAGCCGAGACCGGCGTAAAAATGTAGAGCAAGGACCGGGGTTGGTTATTTCGAGTCGATCGCCGGTGTGTAACGGTCTAAGCATTCCAAGAACCTCGTGGACTTATTCCTTTTTGGGGGAGTTTGGTCTGCGAGGCGCACAGGTTCCGGGATATATTTGGATCCTCGCGAAGAGGGGATGTACAACGATGTCCAAAACTATCTGCGGACAATCCAAACACCTCGTCCATCTTCCTACCCCCGGCCAATACGATACTTCTTTCCTAATAATCAATCTAAGCCAAGCAGAGCTGGAGCTTTCGATAATTTCATGGCAGCCATATGTATGTTTGAATTTTCTTTTCTTCACTCTGATGTTCTTATTGCTCGTATAATGGCATATGTTTATGGTTTGTAGGATGTGAAAAGAGTCTTACTGTAACCCTGGGTCAAACTAGACCCGAGTCCGCAGATTAAAATTCATCAATAAAAGAAGGGGAAGGTAGATGATGGTCGAGTACTTTGCTCCCAAGTGAGACGACAGAGGTAAATTCTGTCCAAGTTGCTTAGTAACGCTGTTCGTAACAAATTCTTTTGGGTATTACGTGCATTATGATGCACAGAGAAGGAAATATAGCATTGCGGTTTGCGAGTAGACGGTAAATGTGTCCCTTAAGAGACAGGAAACCAGATTTCAATGATACTACCACGGTTATCGAACTGCCTCGTGGATGGAGAAAAATATGCATCGACGAGAACTGTGGGGAATTCCCAGTCACTCCAGTTTGTCGATGGAAATACCGAGTTCCGCGGCAATGGCGACGAAAGCGCTGCCAGATCGAGCAACCTTGGCCAGCGAGCTGCGACGCTTTTCAGCCGCCAAAAAGTCATTCATACTCGCGATACGCCCACGCACGTGAACCATTAACGACTTTATTTTTTCTCGTTTCTTGCCCTCCCATTGGGCTTCCTCTTCTGCGACCCGTCAAACCGCGTATTTTTAATTTATATTCTCGTAAAACACAGCATTCCGAAGCGTTTTTTGGTCTATGGAAAAATTTGACAGAGAATGGTGTGTAGAACGCGTTAGCATCTTCGACGACTTTTAAAATCCGACAGAAAACTTTTCCAAGTGATTATCTAACTTTTTACGCGTCACACGAGGCTCTCTTTTAGCAAATTGCATAACTGCCAATAGTTATTAATTGATAGTTCAAGGCACTGAGCGTAACTTAATTTAAGTAAAAAATCGAGAAGAACTATTGAAAGATATCGGTGAAACAACGTCAACGAGATAATTTATCGTTCTGTTCATCAATTTAAAATCCTGTATCTATTGAACAGAAACGCGTGATTTACCATTAGAGCAGAGTCGCGGTGATAACGTAGGAATTATATAAAACATGTGCGACGTACAATTATGCAAATACATATGGTGCATGTGAAGAAAGAAGTCGCGTAGAATATACAGTGTTTGTCAAAAGCACATGAAAATTTTTCAAATTCAATAAGAGTTATTTGTGCACTTTATTAGCAGACATACTGTGCTAATCGCAGAGTACAATTTCAACTTTTATCTCTGACTAAAAACTTAAGATCAACAATCGGGAGTTATGGTTTTATTAGGATCAATTTTTTTGAGCACGAGCATCGACTAATCAAATTCAAAATTTAGTTTACATAATGCACGTCTCTACTTTTGAGAAACAGTGTACATACACGTGACTTGCATACGCGTTTAATTATGTATGTAATCTCAAACTCTCAAGTATTTCGATATGAAGTCCGATAGATGGCGTTTCGGACCCATCGATCCATTTTGTCTGACATTCCGCGTAGGACATAATTACAAAATGTCGAGTACATATTACCATTATTACAAACAGTACAGGGATAAGATGCGATATTGCGAAACGAGGCTTTTCAGGAATGAAACACTGGTTGATCGTCTCGATTGATCTTAAATGTTCGCCATAGTGTAGATAAAGTAGGGGGTATTCGTTCGAAAGTGCTAGAAAAACATCGAACATAATCAGGGAGGAAGACGCGTACAATCGCGATCAACTAGTTTCACTTGAATCAAGGAGCGGCGCTAGTTGTCCATTTCTGGAGCTTTCTGAAAATCTGCGCCGGTTCGAGGCTGAACCTGAACATTCATACGAGTCATTGCCGTATCATTACCAGCAGAAAACAATAAGTCTTGAAAACTGAAACGAAAGCAACACGATTCGACGGTGAAGCGTGATGGCTCAGGTAAACATATTGACAAATTAATCGGTTGCGCTCGCATACGTTGAATTTACGAAAACATTGTTCCCTCCGCAAGCTCGTTGATGGCATACACGTTTATCTTGAAAGAATTGTTGTGCTATCCTCGCTTCCTGCAGAACGATCTTTCTTGAATGTTCGATCATTGCGATTCACCAGGTCTCAACTAAAATCTGTTGCAAATTAGAAATTACTTTTAAACGACTGCGATAGTCCATGAAATCTTTAATTTTTCCTAAGTCCGCCACAAATGTCTCGCGAATACGGGGTTAATGTCGACCGATTTACGCGAGAGATTGTATGGTCACGGTCTGGATTCGTATCGCTGAATTTTTGGATACAATTTACAGGTTACTGCGTTAAAAGAAAAAGGGAATTCTGCTTTGCAAGACGGAAAATTCGAGGAGGCTATTAAACACTACACAGACGCGATTGCCTTAGACGAAGACAATCATGTGTTATATAGTAACAGATCAGCTGCATATGCAAAAGCAGGCAAGTATGAACAGGCTCTGGAGGATGCGGAGAAAACTGTGACCTTGAAATCTGACTGGGCCAGAGGCTACTCCCGCAAGGGCAGTGCTCTTGCTTACTTGGGTAAGTACGACGAATCCATCGCAGCATACAACATTGGCCTAGAGTTGGAACCAGAGAATGTGCCGCTCAAGAATGCTTTGGAGGAGGTAAAGGCTCGAAAACTAGCTTCAGGTGTCGGTCATAGAGACATACCCGCAGACTTTCTTACAAAATTGTTAAGCGATCCTACAACTAGAAATTTCTTGAACAATCCAGAATTCTTAGAAGTTTTGCAAGAAGTCACTAACAATCAACAAGCCATTAATACGTTGTTGCAAAACAAGAAAATAAATAGCAATCTCAAAGACTTGCTAGGTCAGAACATGGACGCGGGTGAGCCAATGGACACGGATCCTCCTCAGCCTCCGAAACCCCAAAAGCCTAAAGAAGAACCATCTAAACCACAAAAGAAAGACGAAGATAACCTGCCTCCAGAAAAGAGAGAAGCGCTTAACGAGAAGCAGTTGGGCAACAATGCTTACAAGAAAAAGAACTTTGAAGAAGCTCTCAAACATTACAATAGAGCCATAGAATTAGAGCCTACAGAAATCATTTACCAACTAAATGTAGCTGCGGTATATTTCGAACAAAAGGAATACGAGAAATGTATTTCGCAATGCGAGAAAGCCATCGATATAGGAAGAGAGAATAGAGCTGATTTTAAATTAATAGCAAAAGCATTCACTAGAATCGGTCACGCGTATAAGAAAGTGGAGAACTGGAAACAAGCTAAGGTATACTACGAGAAATCTATGTCCGAGCATAGAACTCCAGAGATTAAAACTCTCCTCTCGGACATTGATAAAATCATTAAGGAGGAGGAGAGAAAAGCGTACATCGATCCGGTTAAAGCGGAAGAGGAGAAGGAACTTGGAAACCAGAGGTACAAGGACGGAGATTATCCTACAGCAATAAAACATTATACAGAAGCTATCAAGAGAAATCCCGACGACCCGAAATATTATAGCAACAGAGCAGCCTGTTACACTAAATTAGCAGCGTTCGATCTCGGATTAAAGGATTGCGAGAAATGCATTGAAATCGATCCAAAGTTCATTAAGGGTTGGATCAGAAAAGGGAAGATTTTACAAGGGATGCAGCAACAAAGGAAAGCTCTCACTGCCTATCAAAAAGCATTGGAGTTGGATCCCTCGAACAGCGAAGCATTGGAGGGATACCGATCCTGTGCAGTCTCTGTTAGCTCGAATCCCGAGGAAGTTAGAAAAAGGGCAATGGCGGATCCGGAAGTTCAAAGTATATTGCGTGATCCTGCCATGCGACTTATTTTAGAGCAGATGCAAAGCGATCCCAGGGCTCTACAAGAGTAAGTATTATATTATATTGCTTTCGGTATATTAATTATGGTACAAGCATCGATCTTATCTTTATTAACATGTAAATGTTCTCGCTTCCAGCCACCTGAAGAATCCCGATATAGCAGCAAAGTTGCAAAAACTGTTGGAGTCGGGTCTTATCGCTATTTATTGAGAACGAAAACTTTTGTACTTGTGCATTGCTCTGACATTTTATTGTCACCAAGTTCCTTTGATATTAAGGAAACCATGCCGTTCATTCTCTTTTTATTCTGTATTAGAAATACGTTATTCAAACGTGCAGGCCGCTTAAACGATGTATTCATTGTACCTAGTTTTTACTTTATAAGCGCTACACCCTTGATTTAAAATAATAAAGATATTGTAATTGATGTTGTAATAATAAAACAAGGAATAACAATAGCTATAACTAAGACATAACTATAGGACATACTTCTGTGATTTATTTAATGTTGGATTCAATATAAAATTACCTTTAAAAGGAACCATTTGGCGCTTCTTCGGTCACATAACTTCAATATTAGAATCTTTAGGTTTCTTTAGTTTCAACTTGCTTCGATCTGTATAAAATGTATCTGCGGCATAATGAACAAATAAATCATACGTTACTTCAACCGATAAATTGCGCAAATTTCCGGCAATTCTCACGCTAGTACCTAACTTTGTAATAAATTAGAATTAGAGAAAGTAAATGCATACAAATCTGTAGTCCATCAGTCCTAGAACTTAAAAAAAGCGGCGAGGGGAGGGAGGCAACGTAGGTACCAAGTTATCCTTATACATGTTGCCAATATTTCAATCACCGATATGGGTACCGGTTAACTGGTAGAATAAAGGTATAATTTACCAAGGTGGTAATAATTATTCATAAAGATCGCGCGTCATTTATGCCAGTGTAATTCACGATCTAGCTAAAATTTCAGGGAAGCATTTAGTGATTCGACTCTCATGTATGCCTTGTTACACACAGATGTACACAGATTTATGGCTTGATTGCAGCGCAATCTATCGTGAAAGTAACTGAGCATGTGCGAACGACAGAGGTTCGCCGTGACAGTGGTGAACAGTGCACCTACATGTCTTACGAATGACTCCCACATACATACAAAGGATTAGTTTCCGGCGAGGATCCTCGAGGGCGTCGTAGTCGACGCATTAACACGGAACACGAACGACAGACTGTTGGCCCTGGAGCGAGAAACTAAAGAAAAACTACGGTCCAGAGATCGAACGGGAGAGGAATTGCGGTGTGGGCACGGAGTCGGTATTCATCGGCAAGTGACGGTGGCCAGGTAGATCGGCCCGGAAAGAGGATCGGGGCGCCCGGTACACCGGATACGAACCTGATCCATCTGAAGCGCGGTGGTCCGCCGCGTTGGTGGGCCTAGCAGACGACATGTTGGCTGCAGGGAGCACCTCGTCTCTGATGTTTTGGCCGCGATTTACCTCGGGGATTCTTGAGTGAGGAGATCGAGCGAACGTGGTGAGAACCGAGGTGCTGGGAGGAACGGATAGACAGACGAAGAAAACAGATACCACTCGAGGGTGTGTGTGAGAGAAGGCACACGGTTGGGTTCCCCGAGTGGTGGTTGGTGCTGTGGTTCTCGTCGTCGAGAAGCTCGCGGAGAGGGGTAGAGAGAAAGAGAGAGAGAGAGAGAGAGACAGAGTGGTACCAGCAGAGACGGAGAGGGGGAACCTGGACGAGCTCTCGAAAAATTGGAAAGATTCGAGGAAAATCTGAGGAAAATCCCAGGACCAAGAAGAAGAGGAGGGTACTTGGGGATCCGTGGGGTACCCCCTCACGGTTCAAGAGGGACAAGAGGGAACATTGAAAGTCTTCCTTATCTACCGGAGAAAGAGCCTTTAGAGAGGAAAAAGCTACCATAAGCAACGCTAAGCACCGGAGCCGATCTATTTTAACTTCTCGTTGTTCTGGCCGAAAGGTAGTAGGGCGGGCGCTGCGAAGTGAGGCTGAGAGATTGCTGGTGCCTCGTCGTTGTACACGAGCGACACACGACGCCGTGTGTCCCTTCATTCAGTTCCCTTCAGTTTCTCTAGTTGAAAACGATTTCGTGTGTGTCGTCTCCTGTTAGCGAGTCATCACAAGAGGCGCATCGGACGATAGTGCACCGTCAACCTATTATCCAAGTCCCGGCGTGTCTCGTTCTCCCACTCTATCTCTCTCTCTCTCTCACGCGCGCGTGCGAGAGAGCCTCTCTCGGTGCCTCGTGCTTACTCCCTCTATTGCAACCTGCCGCCGAGTGTCTCTCGCGCTCGCGGCCGGTTCTCGCCCAGCGTTTGAACCGAGGATTCGTAAGTGGCATCTCGGCCGGCCGATACACCACACTCAGCAACAATATACCGGTTGGTATATGCCTCGTGACACACCGAAAACCGTCGACGTCGCCCATGTCCGCCACGTAACGTTCGCCCGTACTCTTCTCGCCAGAGCGGATCAATTAGTGACCAGGTGTCACACTGGGCGCACTCGGCTCGTTCAGTTAAACTGAGTTTGAGATAAAGAGAGAGAGGGAGAGGGAGAGGGAGAGAGTTACAGAGCATCCTAGACACCATCTCCCTGCGTTTTTTCTGCGCGAAGTTAACGTTGGACCTAGCAGCACCGTCGCCGACAATGTGCGTGTATTAGCTATGGTTCCACGGGAGACAGTGAAAGAAGCCGTGAAGTGAACGTGTGAGGTGCGATACGCGGTACGGGGTTCGAGATATACCGTGTACGGTAGTCTGGTGTACGAAAAATCTAGGACCATAGACGAACAGGGATAAAGATAGTCGAGGGAGAGACACCGATAGGCGGGTGGCGAAAAGGGAAAGAGAAAGAGAGAGAGAGAGAGGGAGACGTCGATAGAAGGTCGAAGGCTCGAGGTGTAAGCGCCGACGGTGATAGATTAAGTATCGAGTGACAGACAGACAGACAGCCGGCCGGAACGAAGGAACGAAACGGACCGGTCGTAGACATCGAAACGGAATCTCTTCGGGAGAGGGTAGTTTTGCTACTTTTCTGATCGAACGTCGCATTTTGCACGCGGAAGAGATAAACAAGCTGGCAGAGTTTGCTAGAAGTATACCATAGCCTCGGAGCTCTGACAGAGCAATCTAGAGGGAGAGAGAGAAAGAGAGAGAGAGAGAGAGAGGGAGTGTGAGAAGGTATTTTGGCGTGCCGGAGAGATATATATCTCTGTTTCTTTCGAACGCGGTGACAAACAGAGAAGCAACAGAAGTGGAAGGGAAGAGCGAAGAGGGCGAGCCGCGCGTGTCTCTCTCGTGGTGTGTCATGGGGTGTTTCGGCAGCCAGAGCAGCAAGGCCAGCCAGGATGATAGCAAGAATCAGAAGAGACGCTCGGATGCCATCACCAGGCAATTGCAAAAGGACAAGCAAGTGTACCGAGCTACTCACAGGCTCCTTTTGTTGGGTAGGTGACCAATGTACATCTTTCGCTTGCTTTTTTTATTCCGATTTCATCCGATACCGACTTGCAACCCCCAACCGCCGCTGCCCGCCTACAAACCCTGTCGGTAATCTGCCCCTCTCGCGATGCAACATGTCAACGGTCGCAGAGGGGATTGCGCGCTTTTATTGCTCTGGGATACGCGAACGAACAGTATATAGGTGTAACGAATTTACTTTCTCGCGGTTAATACAAATCCTGATATTATTACTTCTGTCTTTTTTTCTTATCGGAAGACGATCCGACAGAATTTGAAGATCACTGGTACGGATCATAGTTTTCCAACCCTTTACTCCAGCTTTTTGTCCTCTCTCTAAAGTTGTTCTTCCGTTCGTCGCCCCTGTTAACTAGACTGATTTTATTATTAAAGTTTGTAATTTTCGAGAAATCCATTAATTTGAGACCGAAGTTTTAATGTCCCTGAGTTATCTCTGCAGTCACGTTGGAGATTATGGTTCGGATATTCGATTCTTTACTACTTCACCATTTTCTTTATTCCAATGTAGATAATCAAAATTTTGATTGTATGTTAAGCGTGATCAGTAATCGTTGGTAATTAACGCGAAATTTATACGGTGGACCGCATCTCTGGTACAAAATAAACCCTTGACCGATGGGCAACCATAGTTACCTTTACGGACGACTACTATAATCATCCTAACGAGCAGAAGAGCTAGACAGGGGTGTCGTCTTTGAAATTAGTCCTCTCGGGATTATAAATATTTTAAACATGCGTTCTATGGAATCCAGAAAATAAGAAACACGGAACGCTCCTTATTACCAATCTTTTCTATTAACAAAAAGTTGATTGCTCCCGTTGATCGCCACCCTCGACTTTCTTCACGATAAAGGAACTATTCTCGTACCGAAGCTTTCATTAAAGAATGGGTCTATTTAAGGGACATAAATTCAAGATCTAGCGACCCTACAAATATCGCGTGATCCTCCACTGGGCAAGGGCAAAACCAATGTACCAAAAGGGTGTCGCATCAGCGTTGCAGTTAATTCTGGCTCAAGTTCCGTTTCATGGTTCAAGTCATATTGTTCCAGCCAGCTCTCTTATACAAGGGGTCTCGGAAATATTCAACTTCCAATTCTGCCCTAATCTTGTTTTGGCCGGGTTCGTATAGCAAATTCGCTAGTTTCGGTCAACCTGTTAAATACTGCTCCAGCTCCCCAGGAGCAGGAAGTCCTAAGCCATGTCTATTCGCGGCATTGCTGACTTAGGAGGCGACGGACCAGTCAGTCTTTTTTCACTGTTTTTTCTCTCTTGAACCGTTTGACGTACACATGTCTCTTTTAGAAGAAGTCACGGGCTCAATTTTCTGACATTTGGTAACACTTATTCTTAAGTCCTCGAAGGATCAACGTTTCCATTCGACCAGTTTCTCGATTCGACATTGGATTTGCCTTTCAAAAAGTAATTCTGGTTACGGTTCGCCGCAAAAGAAAGGTCGCTGCGAATATTTCATGGGTGCCATCCCCGCTGAAACCACCCTCGAAACCACCGCGACTGCGACGATTTCCGGCTCGTTCGCCTCGCAAATATCCACGTGTTGTGTAGATCGTCGAGGGAACCGGTTGTAATCTCGAATTTCGGCGAAGCCAGGCCAGTTATCGGAGTATCGCGATGCTCAGCGGCGCGTAATTCAATTTTATCGATTATCGTACTAGAGCCGGCGGCTGTGGCGGCACCCACGAATATTCATCGGTTCACGTTGTACCCTTTTCGTGCCCTCTCTTCGTCTCTTTCTTCCCGTTCTCTTGACAATCGGGAGTCTTTTTCACAAAGAGGTAACAGGGGAAAAAGAGGGTGAGCGGGGAAGGGGAGGCGGGAGCAGAAACATGGACGCGCGCGTGCGCTCCGTCGCACACCCTCACATGTACACCGTGTCCACTTATCGCGATACTTAAGCCAACACCTAGCCATTACCTTCCTATTCTTCCGTTTATGTAGGTCGTCGTTCTAATTCGACCGTGGATGTGCCCGCCCCCCTTCCTCTCTCAGCATCTCACTCTTTTTCTCTCTCACTGTACGTGTGTTGCGTGCCCCCCTGCCCCATGTACAGTCGAGCGAAGCAACAGCTGTTGCTGCATTGTTTCCTTGTCGTCCTCCACAATTACGATACGGTTAGAAAAACAGGCAAATAGAAAGCCATGGGTCGACGACAACGACGAAAACGATCGAGTCGAGAAAAATCGGCAATGCACCCACGGACGACTATTTCCGATGGACTTTTTGACGTATCGTCTCGACAGCCCGAATCCTTTAAAGTTCACCACTTCTCTTCGTTGGCAATATCGAGTCGCCTGGAAACATTAAGCTTCATTCATCGCCGCTGACTTGTTGATCCTAATCGATCCTCACACAGTGATTTAATACGCTCGAAGAATTGGTAAATCGCAGCACTTTTTGATTATAAATCCTTTCCACGTCGAAGCTGTTCTAACTTCTAGATATTTCGTCTGACTTGGAATAATTTCATTCTACAGTATGGATAATAGAAGATTTACCGATGCTAGGCTAAATCTTCATCGATTTACACAATACATTGCATAATAAACTTGCATGTTCTAAAGGTAATCGATCTAAATTGACAACTAATAGCACAGTTACTGGTTACAGTGCTAAACTAAATCTTGGCCGATTTGGCAGGGTTCTGACCTGCCTAGAGTTTCGTACGTATCCGTCGTTCTTTATTTGTAAGAGTGATAAAGGAATTGATTCCGAGGGCCAGGAGTGGCGGTTGTAGAGGTGCGTTTTCCAAAGAAAAACAGAGCTACACCGCACTCCCCCTGGAATCTCGAAAGTGTAAGGGTTTGAAATGTGTGACAGTGAATCGAGTAAGAGCTAAGGTTTAAAATATGTAATAGGGAACCGAGTAAGAGCAGATAATAATACATGCGTCGATTGTTTCAGGAGCGGGAGAATCCGGGAAGAGCACGATCGTCAAACAGATGAGGATATTGCACGTGAATGGCTTCAGCGAAGCGTAAGTTGCCGTTCTCTTGCGATCTTCAGGACCTTCCTTTGAAAGCTCACCGAGCAAACTTCAATTCGAGTATCGATCTTAGTTTAGAACAAAGTGGACGATTTTGAGTAGTCTTGATCCTGACTTGCTTTTCTGATTTTCTCCTAGTTGTCCAAGCATCCTTCTTTCCTGTAAATTGTAGAATACGGGTATGGTTGTTCTTTTCACAGCGTCTACTATCCCAAAGTCTTCATCCACTGGCAGAGCAAACACAGAAAAATTGCAGAAAAATCGAAGAAAAATCGCAGAGGAGCCGGAGACGACTCGTTATCGTAACAGATATCGTCGGTGTATACGTGGAGAATCAGGAGCAGCCTAGATAGGATGAGAACGACGTGCAAACAGACGGGTCGGCCCGGTTCGCGTGCGTCGTAAATTCTGTCTGCCTCTTCCGGCGCCGATAACGCGGCTGAAACACGCCTTATTGTTACGTTTCGCGCGGCGATTCTGTCTCCGTTCGCGGAATTTTATTTTCGGCTAGCGACAGAGCAAGAGAGAGAGAGAGAGAGAGAGAGAGTGAGAGAGAGAGAGAGAGAGAGAGAGAGAAAGAAAGAGAGAGACTGTTTGTATCGTCGCGACGCGATCGAAGAATCGTTTCGTTTTTTCCCGCTGATTGGCGTCACCACTACTAGGAATCGTTACGCGTCGATGCCGATTTCGCAAGTGCTTACAGCGGAAACCTACTACTGCATTTGTTACGGTAATTTTCGGTATCTTTGTCGAAATTTGTCATTACTATAATATCTCTTGTTGATCATCGGTATCCGTGTTGAAAGCTGAACGTGCGTATGTGTCGATTAAAAAGCTGTAATTGCATGCCCGAGTGTCGAACGCGACACGAGGACAATATTTGTTTCCGGTAGAGTGCCAAAATCATTGACTTAGAATATTTATTTGTCGGATCTTGGTAACAGCGCAGTTTCATCCTATTTCATGTTCGGTCATTTTCTTCTTGTTCATCAAAGGATCACCCCTTTCCGGTTGCACCGCGATAATCACGATGATCACGACGATCACCGCGGCACTCTGTATAAACAAGTCGTCCCAAAAATAGCAGCACCGTCTCGTGTCTTTTTCACGATCTATTTGCAATCTTTGTATACCTATCGCGGCCGATGTATATTTGATAGGACTGCGGGGCGACCGTTGCGGGAGAACCGATGTGCCGAAGAATAGAATTCGATTTTCGATAATTTTATCGGGTGCACCGAAAGGTGAACAGTGAACAGGTCCTTGCGATTACACGCGCACAGAAAGGGAGAGAGAGTTAACTTGAACTGGTATCGTCGTACCCTCGGCGGTAATCGGGGAAAATCACTATTTTCGTAGGTGTGTCGCGGAGGGAATCGGGTTCCTCCGCGTTCTACGTACGTGTCTGTGCGTGTATCCGCCGAATTGGAGCCGGTTGGACGTCGAAAATTATTTATAATACTGACGCCGTTAGTCACCAAAGAAATTAATACAGTCCTATTTTTGCCGATCGTCTAACGCGGCCAGGTGATCCTCCGATTATTCCGGTACGAGGCGCAACAAGCGTCCAGCGATCATGCTAACGGGGGGGCAGGGCTCTCATCATCGTGCTTGAAAACGCCGCTTTATGCTCTAGGCTGAATCGTCTGCCCGTTGCTCACTCTTTCTACTTGTGCTTCTCTAATTCCACTTAAGGCTCATTCTTTTTAGTTGCGGTTCACTCACTCTACTCGAGGCTCTCTCATTTTACTTGTAGCTCGCTCATTCTACTTAAGGCTGACTTATTCTACTCGTAGCTTACTCGTTCCACTCGCAACTCGCAACTCCTACGGTTCTCCAACTTATTGTTAGTTGTTGTTAGACTTTATCTATTTGCCAGAATATTTGGCAAACTTTTTCACTGTACGAGAACAATTGNAGAGAGAGAGAGAGAGAGAGAGAGTGAGAGAGAGAGAGAGAGAGAGAGAGAGAAAGAAAGAGAGAGACTGTTTGTATCGTCGCGACGCGATCGAAGAATCGTTTCGTTTTTTCCCGCTGATTGGCGTCACCACTACTAGGAATCGTTACGCGTCGATGCCGATTTCGCAAGTGCTTACAGCGGAAACCTACTACTGCATTTGTTACGGTAATTTTCGGTATCTTTGTCGAAATTTGTCATTACTATAATATCTCTTGTTGATCATCGGTATCCGTGTTGAAAGCTGAACGTGCGTATGTGTCGATTAAAAAGCTGTAATTGCATGCCCGAGTGTCGAACGCGACACGAGGACAATATTTGTTTCCGGTAGAGTGCCAAAATCATTGACTTAGAATATTTATTTGTCGGATCTTGGTAACAGCGCAGTTTCATCCTATTTCATGTTCGGTCATTTTCTTCTTGTTCATCAAAGGATCACCCCTTTCCGGTTGCACCGCGATAATCACGATGATCACGACGATCACCGCGGCACTCTGTATAAACAAGTCGTCCCAAAAATAGCAGCACCGTCTCGTGTCTTTTTCACGATCTATTTGCAATCTTTGTATACCTATCGCGGCCGATGTATATTTGATAGGACTGCGGGGCGACCGTTGCGGGAGAACCGATGTGCCGAAGAATAGAATTCGATTTTCGATAATTTTATCGGGTGCACCGAAAGGTGAACAGTGAACAGGTCCTTGCGATTACACGCGCACAGAAAGGGAGAGAGAGTTAACTTGAACTGGTATCGTCGTACCCTCGGCGGTAATCGGGGAAAATCACTATTTTCGTAGGTGTGTCGCGGAGGGAATCGGGTTCCTCCGCGTTCTACGTACGTGTCTGTGCGTGTATCCGCCGAATTGGAGCCGGTTGGACGTCGAAAATTATTTATAATACTGACGCCGTTAGTCACCAAAGAAATTAATACAGTCCTATTTTTGCCGATCGTCTAACGCGGCCAGGTGATCCTCCGATTATTCCGGTACGAGGCGCAACAAGCGTCCAGCGATCATGCTAACGGGGGGGCAGGGCTCTCATCATCGTGCTTGAAAACGCCGCTTTATGCTCTAGGCTGAATCGTCTGCCCGTTGCTCACTCTTTCTACTTGTGCTTCTCTAATTCCACTTAAGGCTCATTCTTTTTAGTTGCGGTTCACTCACTCTACTCGAGGCTCTCTCATTTTACTTGTAGCTCGCTCATTCTACTTAAGGCTGACTTATTCTACTCGTAGCTTACTCGTTCCACTCGCAACTCGCAACTCCTACGGTTCTCCAACTTATTGTTAGTTGTTGTTAGACTTTATCTATTTGCCAGAATATTTGGCAAACTTTTTCACTGTACGAGAACAATTGTACGAATATTTCTAGAACAGTACAAAGTCCAGAATAAGCTTTAGGAAAATACATAGTAGTACCTTAGTAGATAGAGTGTGTCTCGAAAACGATGAGAAACTCTTCGGCTGACTTGTCTGTCCTCTTCGCTCACTTATTCTACTTGCAACTCCTTGATCCTCCACGCTCGGACTACCGATGCTGTCTCCGGCAAACTCCGAAATAACCGCTAGAAATGTTTATTAGAAATATTATTAACGTATATTTGAAAAATATCAATTAGAAAAATAAAATCGTCGGTTATTGGATGACGGAGATGTTTGTTCGGGATAACGTTTCGCGAAGATGTTGGCGCCGCGTATCGAGAATGGTAACCTGTATTAGATCGCGACTGTCGTCGTTTTGCGATCCACGCGTGGTCCGTTTATAAACGGTAAGACACGAAGCGTAACAATACCTCCACGACGACAGAAGCCTGGCACAGGTATCGCCATGAGACCGTAACACGGTAGCACACACGCGAAAACAGGCTCCCTCTTCGGTTTCGGTTCAGCAATCGCCAATCGCCAATCGCCTAACGAAACTTCGGTTCCAGTTAGCAGATTCGATCGAATAGATCGATATAAATTTCTCGATTGTTTAAATAAAGCTAATTGCTTTTTAGGTTATCCTCTTCGTTGACATAATTAAAATTGCATTTTAAAATCGGATTGAAATTTTTATATCTGAAACGAATTGAGACGAAACTGGATATTATTATATATTAATGTTACGAATATTCATAAATTTTATCGTAGAATAAATAGTTAAAAATTTGTAGTTAAATCGTACTCGATTTTTCGTACCACTTCCGACCTTAAGTCGAACACACGATTTTCGACGCAAGGATCGATTGTAGCAATCCTCGTATTAATCGTGCTTTCTCTTCTTATTATACAGGGAGAAACGGCAAAAAATCGAGGACATCAAGAAGAACATCAGGGACGCGATACTGGTAAGAAAGAATTCTACTCCAGTTATTGATTAATTCGCGTAATTACAGAATTTGGAATCGATTCCGCCGATTGCGAAGTTGTTCAGGGTAAAATGTTTAACTCGACTACTTGCCGAAAAAAGAAAAAAAGGTGTCGAGGAATCGGCGAGATTGGTCGCCAACTTGTCCAAGAATACTGTCGCGGGATATTTAACGAAACGCGCTGAATAATTCACGCAACGGTGTACCGGCGCAAACTGGATATTTTCGGATTCAGTCATTTATCGCTGAATCAATACCCGGGCTTTTCTTTTGCGGTTGTTTCCTTTCGAGCTCGATCAAATCTTGACATCGGAACACAGATCATTGTTCAACTGTAAACAATAGATTCAATTCGAATATCGTTAATCCAACATCGATCCGATAGACGATTCGGATTTTGCAAAGGTATCGGAAATTCTCAACATTTTTCCAACCTTGATCATTGGATTATTCGACTCCTGGTCATTAGAATCGCTCGAACAGGTACATTTGCAGGTATTAGCCTGTTACGAATATTGTTATGTGTTCGATCTTCGATTTATAGTTATTCCGTTGATTGCTATTACGCTATAGATTCTCGTTACAATGGATTCGCGTTCATTACCTTATCGTATTTTATATATGTATACGTATAATTACGTAATTTAGTTTATATCTGTTTCATTCCATAAAATTTAGTACGTTTACGAATACGGTCCACATTAGTTCCTTGTCAGCAGCTATCTAGGCTTTGTTCGTTCATTAATTTTCTATCTAATGCGATCGACGTTGCATTTCTGCGCAGACACAGGTACGTATGTATGTAACGCAGAACGAGAGCCGACCATACCGTAACCATAATGCCGTGTTAAAAAAAATGATTGCACACAATCCCCGTGAAATAAATTAGATCGTAGCTGCGATTAAATTAAGGGAAACATTTCTATTGCAAGCGATGCAAAAATTTCTGATAAAATTATTATCTAAAGAATTTAAGATTTCCAGGGAACTCGCAAAATGGTCTCGCTGCCCGTACAGAGTTTTAAACTAAATTAGCCTTTCTCTCTCCCTCTCTTGCAACTTTTTAAGGTTTAGTTTTGCTAATCGCTCCAGGTGGCCAAACGGTTAATATTCCTGAATTGTCGGCGTGTTTTAACCAGAAATCCGCGTCGCTTTCGTTTCCCGGAGCTGTTTCATCGCCGATTCAGCTCGATCCCATCGCTAGCCGTGAGATGCGTGCAAACGTTCGTCTCGTTGGACGTAAATGGATGTAATCTCACGGTTAGAAACGAGAGAAAACGCTAGGAGACGCTAGGAGACGCGACGAAACAAGACGAAACGAGACGAAACGAAACGAGACGAGCGTGTGCCGTCATCAATTTGTCGTTCGAGGTCGCGTTTAGATACGCGTATCGTGCGTAACCTTGTCGATCGCTTCCGTATGCCGACCGAACATAATGGACAAGTTTCCACCGGGACTCCCCGGTATTACGAATGTGACATTAGCGGAACGATCAGCAAATGAATTTCGATGATTATTGGCTGCTGTCCTGTCCTCCCATAACGATATCGTTCCGATACCATGGGAAACGCGATCAAGCTGGATCCGTCATTGCGTGACACTATCGGAATTAAAATAATTTCGAGAACAAAGGGTTAGAGGAGCTCTTTTGAGCACTCCTTGGTCAAAATAAATGGTATTCATTTTTGCCAGCGAAGCTGTAGCAGATGATCGGTGATCAACGATCACCGATTAGTTAATTAGCTAATTTTTTGGATTGCTTACCAGATTAGTATTAACTATTATAGAGACGAGTTATTAGATCAGTTAACCTTTACTACGTATGTAGATGCTACGGTGATAGTTGACGACCATCGCGCACGGATTATTCTGCTTGCGTATGCAAATGGATTAAAAATCTCGAGCATTGGAAGACAGGAGGATCCAGGAGAGATCGCGGTCCGATCTGATAACGTTTTTCTCTGTTTTCCAGACGATAACCAGCGCGATGAGCACGCTAACACCACCCGTCGCTTTGGAGGACCCAACGAATCAGAGCAGAGTCGACTATGTCCTGGATGTCTCGTCCTCTCCAGACTTCGATTATCCCCCGGTGAGTCAGCCAGACTATTTGTTCCGCGTGCTGTTCTATCCTCCCCGAGCCACCTCTCTCTAACGTGATGAAAAATGCTCACGCACACACATACGCACGCACGCACGCGCGCACTCTCTCTCTCTCTCTCTCTCTCTCTCTCTCTCTCTCTCTCTCTCGTGCTTCTACTTTTATTCAATGAAACTGTACCGGAAAGAGACTCCGCGTAGATGCCGGAGTGGGAGATGCCCGTTTAGACGACAATAGAGACCAATTTTGATGGATTAATTTCTTTTTTTTATACCGTTCCTAATCCACCGTCGCGGCCCTTCGTGATCAGAGTACTTAAAACAACGGTTATTCATTCTACGATTTTGTCTTCGAATAAATGTTCGTCCAGTGCATACCTATGCAAAAATAGGAAAATATGTAAATAAAATAACAGGAAAAAATCTGCGAAAATTAAGCTTCAGTTATACAAAGTAAGATGACGTTTTGCTCAACGATTGGTAACATTAATCGTGAAACCTGGGGTTGTACTTCAATATATTAAAAGAACGTTTACAATATAGTTTGAGTTCGAGTTCGTCGCCGCATCATTATGTAGAATGTAGAAAAATTACGAATCCGAGAAAATGTCAATGTTGTGTTGTACAACTTAAGATTAATTTCGACATTTTTTTCAAATTTTATCTGTATGTTTCCCAGCTTTTACCTACACGTACACCGAGTGCGGTAGGTAGTATCTGCTGCTCGTTGCGATTGCTTCTTCGACAATCTTCTCTCGCGAAAATGTCAGGAAATTAGTTTGGACCGCTATTCGTAATTACACTTGATCAAATTCCCGCGCCGAAAATCCCAACGCTACTAATTGGTGCCGGTTTGCGATCACATTTTTCTGGCATTGTGCACGCACGCCACCGCACCGAACGAAACGAGAATTCGCTCGCCGCAGAATGCCACAGAATGCCTCGTTTACAATGTTTACACAGCAATCGCACATGTTGGCGCGATATACACTGTCTCGGCTATGATGTGCTGCGCCATTCCTCGCGCGTGTTCGCGCACGCGATCGGTTCGTCGTGTTCTCTCTCTTTAGAAGAGCGAAAGAGAGAGAGAGAGAGAGAGAGAGAGAGAGAGAGGGCGAGAGAGAAAGAGAACGAAACTCGTTCGATGGAAACCGTGCCGTGACTGGTAAATCGTAGCCAGGCGCTGTTTCTTTGCAACATCCGAAATCGGTTTCCTTATCGAGATTAGCGAGATCCTCATGAGCTAATATTGATCTCGAATTCCGAGTAATTCTGATTAGACGAATGTAGCAAGAGTCAATTGCATACAGCTCTAGAAATAATTTATACATCATGGTATGTGTAAACTTTGAAACGAATCTTCGCATACATGGTACGTGTGGCACGCCTCTTTGGTTCCGCCCATCGACGTCACTCACTGATCAGTTAATAAGAAACAGCATTTTAGTTTTTCAAGATTTCAAATTCGAGTAACATTTGTGTTGTATCGATGGCACGATTGACTAAATTCCATGCTGCAATGCGACGTCTCTTCGACTTCTCCCAAGCGATGTTACGAAGAAATTGCGACTTTTCTATAACGAAAATCGTAACAACTCCACCAAGATCGACAAAGGGGGATCGGTTTCTCTCGCCTCTCGGCGGCGTTTGTGCGGAGAAACATAATTTCATAACCGGGCACTATGAATCGCTGGCTGCGAAACTAGTTAGGGGCGACAGGAGAGTACGTGTGCCATTAAAATATTACGACACGAGCCTCGGCTCGTCTCCCCCCCTGACTCTCTCTCTCTCTCTCTCTCTCTCTCTCTCTCTCTCGCTCGCTCTCGCCCTACCTCGGCGGTGGTTTTGCCGGTCGCGTTACGCGCTATTTAACTCGTTTAGCCGTTTTGTATTCAGGACAACAATTGAGCCGCGCCTCTACGAGACGTGCGCTGAACTTGCTAGCACGGTTTATCCCTTAAAGATTCGTCGATTCGCCGATCTTTCCGTGCACCGGCACGCTTTCTCGCCGAATTCCACCGACGGGGTTGCGTAACGATCTACGGGGAACAGATCAACGACATCGGTGAGGAACGACGATGACTTTGTTTTCGCAAAACAAAGCGTTTGATGTTTTCGAATAGGCAGTCCCAGGGATCGCCAGTGCAATTCGAAAAATAATCTAGTGCGCAGATGCGATTGTGGACAGGTGTGAGGGAATGAGAGACTCTCCCAAGCATCCAACTATTCTGCTTTACGACACGGAGACTGTGTTCGTTTATAGGGCTCTAGCAATTTTTTGCATTTTGCGACTCAAATAACTCAGTCGCGTTCATCTATCGAATTAAAATGTCTGCCGGATTAATCGTTTCTTCGAGTTGGTATTTTTCTTTGATCAGGCGTTTTCTGGCCAATGGTGGAAAAAGACGTCGAGCAATTAGCAATGAGACAGACGACCTGAAATATCCTCTTGAGAAAGGAGCTAATTGAATCTTGGTCGAGCGACTTCGCTTTGTGCTCGTGTCTCGTTAATCGAAGAAACCCGCGAATCTCGGATGTTATCGTGGCATCGGCATCGGTATCGGTATCTGTATCGGTATCGGCATTTCCCCTTGGGGGAACAACGATTTTTCTGGGTACCAAAAGACGCGCATTCGTGGTTGTGGTTTCGTGAACGGCACGCGAAAGCGGGACCAGCGTTTCGGTATAGCGGCGCGGCTCGTCTCGAAATAAAGTCGTCGTGACAAAATAATCCGTGTGTTTTGCGTCACTCACTGGCAGTGAACGCCGCGATCTGTGTACGTGCCTTTAACCGTGGGCCCATTGGATGCAGACTGTCATACATAAGACTGGGATTTTTCGTACAGAAGTCGGTACAAGTCGGTGCAAGTTGGCACAAGTCGGCTTTGAGAATTTTTCTCGGAGACGAGGAATTTTTGATCGAAAAACCATTATACATACCTATACGTGTGTGTCGACGTATGCTCCTCGTCTATTAATTGACACATTGGCAGGGAATTTTGAAAGGCGAAGGTAGTCAAGGTGCTGAAATGTGAAATTCGGCAATTTTATAGAGGGAAAATCTTTTATTGAAAAATTGTTACGTAAGTATGCACTTAACGTACGTATTTTCATTTGTTAATTGTGTAAATTTCATTGAGAAATTTATGAAACTAGAGATTTTGCAGCGAATTTTCTAGGACGATGTTTCATGAAAAGATGCTGGAAAGTGAGCTTTGTCAATTTTTTGAAGCAAGAAAACAATTTTTTCTCGAGTAACCATCATATACGTGGTACAGACGTTTATCTAATGCTTCTGCAAATTTCGTTGAGAATTTCGCAAGATTAAACATTTGCCAGCTTCACGAATACTCGAAGGTCGTCGGAGCGTTAGCATTGCAGGTACCGGGGATTGTTCTCTGATTCGTAGAAGCCGGGAAGCGTAATCGATCGGCATTGGTATCGTGGCGATGAGCGATTCTCCGGAGACATATCCTGTACACGCGAATTGTAACGATCACGCGGTTCTCTGCGCGACGGTCGTCCGTACCGACGCGATGCGACGCGACGCGACGCGGCCGAATTAATTGAATCGAAACGCTCGAACGTGTGTCGGCTGGCGAACGAAATTTATGCGTCTTACCGTTCGAGCTCGCAATCAGTTTTCCTCGTGTCGAGCGTGCGACGATAACGCGCGTGCACTTGCATTGAGTAACGCGGATCGCACTTTAGTCCCGTTCTAACAGCGCTTTATATTCTTATTGTCCTCGACACTACGCTGTTCTGTCATCGTTATCAAAAGAATATCTCATTCGATCGCCAACTCCTCTTCAATTTCTAGATCCAGCTCTATCTAGAAGAAGGTTGTGTCAAGAAGGGCCGCAATCTGGAAGGGTGAAGGTTCAGAATCGATCGACACCACCCGTCGCGCCCGGCAATTACCGAAATCGTAAAAGTGTGTCCGCAGTTCCAGCAGTGATACGTATTCGTTTCGTCGGTATATTTGCACGCCGCAGTAAACGTCCCGTAAAACGTCCGTTGTAAAATCGCGAATGCTTGTAAGATCATTATAAACCGTCGCCGCGAAACCCACGAACGACGATCCCGTCCCCAGGACGTTCTCTCGGACGTAAGGAAGTATCCGGAAAGACATCCTCGTGTCTGTGTTTCTACAGTCACGAATTTATCAGATGTCGTTCTGCTTTCTGCATATTCGAGGCTGTCGGACATGCGGAAGTTTATATTCAGCGAATCATCGGTGAAATTCGAGGCTTTTCTCGCACACCCTCGAGTTTCGATAACATGTGGCATTAAAAAATTAGAAAATTAGATCGAGTAATCGCCGGTGACATCGTTCGGAGCCAAAATCGCGATGACAATAATTTATCCGATTACTTGCTGTGTGAAAAGCGTGTGAACGGTATGCGAAAGCTGGGTGAGGTGATTTTTAACTGTTTGCTTGGGCTTCCTGTCATAAAAGTTGAAAGATGATCGGAAAAAACGTTTCGAGGAAAACTATTGGATCCTTCGAGACACAAGGAAGGGTTCGTTTGTTTTCTCAGGGAATAAATCACTGTTTCGAGCTTCGGTGGCGAGTTTATGAATTGGCGCGCAGCCTGATGGTAAAAAATATCCGAAAAAATGGCGGTTCTGACGAAACGGTGATCTTGGCTCTAGTGACAAGGGAGCTTTCCGCGTCACAGTTTCGAACACGCTACTGAAAGCAAGCATCCGCGTGTGTTCTATCGACAAAAATATTTTTACAGGACCAGATCGGAAACCTACACCGTTGGAAGTTTGTCAAGGAGATCGCAACGAGTCACGAACCATCCATTCTCTCTCTTTCTCGCGTGCGCGCGCGTTTCGTTTTCGAGAGCGAGACGAGCATGGAAATTAATCGTGTCGTTGTTGTTCAATGCTTCGAAGCGTAGCTGATCGGCCTCACTTTCGTATAACTTCCTCCATAGGATTTTTGTTCGATGAGAGAGAGAGAGAGAGAGAGAGAGAGAGAGAGAGAGAAGCAATAGCAGTCGCTTCCGAACTCAAGGCAAATTATACCAACTTTCGCGACTCGCGAAGTCACGAGCCGCGCAACTCGAAACTTTTCAACGGTTCGATGCGAGCCGTTGCTCTAGCCCTCCGCCGCGATGGCTGGGTCCATCAGACCCAGCTACATTGTTATTCAACTTTCTTCGAGTTCCTTCCCAGCTTCGACAAATTCTTCGACCCGATCGCCGCAGCACCCATCGAAGCAATAGCTTCCAAGTTATATGCATTACTTTCGGTACAAGTATATTCTGTTTCTTGTTATCTCGATCGTGTTAAGTTCATTTTATTNGTCGTTCTGCTTTCTGCATATTCGAGGCTGTCGGACATGCGGAAGTTTATATTCAGCGAATCATCGGTGAAATTCGAGGCTTTTCTCGCACACCCTCGAGTTTCGATAACATGTGGCATTAAAAAATTAGAAAATTAGATCGAGTAATCGCCGGTGACATCGTTCGGAGCCAAAATCGCGATGACAATAATTTATCCGATTACTTGCTGTGTGAAAAGCGTGTGAACGGTATGCGAAAGCTGGGTGAGGTGATTTTTAACTGTTTGCTTGGGCTTCCTGTCATAAAAGTTGAAAGATGATCGGAAAAAACGTTTCGAGGAAAACTATTGGATCCTTCGAGACACAAGGAAGGGTTCGTTTGTTTTCTCAGGGAATAAATCACTGTTTCGAGCTTCGGTGGCGAGTTTATGAATTGGCGCGCAGCCTGATGGTAAAAAATATCCGAAAAAATGGCGGTTCTGACGAAACGGTGATCTTGGCTCTAGTGACAAGGGAGCTTTCCGCGTCACAGTTTCGAACACGCTACTGAAAGCAAGCATCCGCGTGTGTTCTATCGACAAAAATATTTTTACAGGACCAGATCGGAAACCTACACCGTTGGAAGTTTGTCAAGGAGATCGCAACGAGTCACGAACCATCCATTCTCTCTCTTTCTCGCGTGCGCGCGCGTTTCGTTTTCGAGAGCGAGACGAGCATGGAAATTAATCGTGTCGTTGTTGTTCAATGCTTCGAAGCGTAGCTGATCGGCCTCACTTTCGTATAACTTCCTCCATAGGATTTTTGTTCGATGAGAGAGAGAGAGAGAGAGAGAGAGAGAGAGAGAGAGAGAGAAGCAATAGCAGTCGCTTCCGAACTCAAGGCAAATTATACCAACTTTCGCGACTCGCGAAGTCACGAGCCGCGCAACTCGAAACTTTTCAACGGTTCGATGCGAGCCGTTGCTCTAGCCCTCCGCCGCGATGGCTGGGTCCATCAGACCCAGCTACATTGTTATTCAACTTTCTTCGAGTTCCTTCCCAGCTTCGACAAATTCTTCGACCCGATCGCCGCAGCACCCATCGAAGCAATAGCTTCCAAGTTATATGCATTACTTTCGGTACAAGTATATTCTGTTTCTTGTTATCTCGATCGTGTTAAGTTCATTTTATTTGAACATCCGTGGACCAACTAGTAATCCTCTAGCATATGAACACGTCTTGTCTATGCAAGATCTTATGCCGCAAGGAATGAAATAAATATTACCAATGGTATGTTAATTATCATCCTAGTAACATCTTCGTTATCGTCCCAGCAATATCTCTGCTATCGTTCCAGGCGCATTCGTGAATTTCCTCTGAAGTTCTTTGTCAAGCTTACACAAAAGATAAGTTCAAAGTAAATAGTCTCTTTATCATGACATAATAGTATGTCGAGGGGTCATGTTGCATAAAGATCCACAGTCTAGTCGTGACTAATAATAACAGGTACGTTGGTATCTTCGAGCAGAATTTGCTAAAGAAAAAGTAAGCGAGTGCTGTGCGTTGCTGAGAAAATCAATAACGCGTCGTTTCTTACATGAGAAGCAATTAACAATTTCACGGGTGGTTTAACGAGTGATCGACTAAATCGTGGTGTCCTTGTGTTCGCAGGAATTCTACGAGATCGTCGAAACCCTTTGGAAGGACCGGGGTGTGCAGCAGAGCTTCGAAAGAAGTAACGAGTACCAACTAATCGACTGCGCCAAATAGTGAGTGCCATTGCTATTTCTTGCCATTTCAAACGATCCGATCCCTCTTTTCACGTCCCTTGAGTCCCAAAATCGTCTCGTCGAATAGTAACATTTCACAAATAGTGGCATTTCTTGCGATTCGAAATAACGAAACATTCCTTTTTTCTGGTCGCAAAGTGTATTTTGCTAGAAGCTCTTCGAAACTGCCAGTGAATTGCCTCGCGCATTCGGCTGCACGAACTCGCATAAAGCGGACACAGTTTATGGTCGCCGCAGTCGCTCTTATTTCGCGTACGATCGCTTTCCACCCCCGTGCGTGGAACTCTTTATTTTTATTTCGTCGTATCGCGCTCAAACCCCGCTACTATATCCGCTATCGACGACTCGCTCGGTTGACTCGGAAATCCTCGAAACCCGTTGTCCATGGGGTTAGGGGGTGGAAATTATATCAACGTCAAGTGTGCCCAAGAATATCGCGCAACGGGAAAACAAACGGGACAGGCGTTGACGCGGGTCTGCGATAAAAATAAGAGGGTGAAGTTATTACCTGGCTCGGAAACGAGCTAGATGCTCCTCTTCGCTCTCGCTCGCCAGCAAGCGGCTATTCTAATCTGTCCCCTCGGGCCACTGATATCGCGATCACGATAAGAAGCACGGACGATAACGCGTTTACGCGACGATAATGGGACCGCGAAGCGACGACGTCGTCGCGACGCTATGCCCTATGCCAACAAGCTAGCCCACTCTGGTGACGGTGATGGCGATGGCGATGGCGATGGCGATGAATCTTCCACCCTTCTAGGATAGCTATCGACATTTTCCTAGCTTCGGGAAGTCGAGTCTTTGGGATGAAAGCACCCTGAAGCTCGATGAAAGAAGGTGAAGCTCGATTTTACTTGGTCATATAGAAAAGTGGATTGTCACCATTTTCCTGACAGACAAACAATTTTTTATTGAAAAATTATTAGAGGCGAGAAAGACGATTGAGAAATTTGCAAAATTAGAGATCAGCCAGTAAATTTGACAAGATCGTTTACCATGCCAACATTTGGTACCCTGACAAGTAGAGTTTCACAACTGTTTCTAACGAGAAAACAATTTTTCCTCGGTGAACTATTATAAACATTTTACGGTGTGTATTTCCATCTACTACTCCTATAAGTTTCGTTCGCTTGGAAATTTCTGAAACCGAAGATTTGATAGCGAATTTTGTAAGACGATGTTACTATCCGGCCCGGCAAAAGCGCCCCTGACAGGCTGCAACCCCTGGCACGCGCTCGTGTACGAGGGTTCCGTGTTCCGTGTTCCATGTTCCGTGTATATACATACTCCGGGGCGTTCTTAACATGCAGTTGTCGAACATCCAATCGCCAATCACGGACACATTCCTCCCTCCGCTGTAGTAAAATTTAGTACTGAAAAATTCAACAAATTTAATAAAACAGTAAGATTATTGATCAAAGAATGAACTGTATTCCATTTGACAAATAGGTAATGATAAGTAGATTGTCAATTTATTATAAAGATTAACAAGTGCAAAGCTGCGAAGACAGAAGAATTTAAGAATATTATTAACGAACGTTAAAATCGTTAAGAGTAGATTATTATTTAATTTTGTTGTTCGAGCAATCGATTCGGAAAATTGATATTTTAAATATCGACAGTCCAACGACGGGTATACACGATTTTAAATTCTCTGGGGCCTTGCGAGTGTACAAAATACTACGTTCACACCTGGCGTGCAATTTAGTGGGACCCTACACCTTCGCGACTGGTTCCGCTGCGCGTTTTGCAACTTCGGAAGCGTTCCCGTGACCGCGTTACACCGGCACGCGGTATCCGTGTGTATTCGTGGGCCTGTGACACCGATTTAATGCCAATGAAGACAATGCTTTAACGAGGTAATCGCTTTAATAGGGGCCACTCTGGTGTGCCTGCTATCGGACAGGGGTTCTCGGTCAGCCGCGGACATACTTTTTCCACTCATGTTTTCAGATCAGTACTGTTATTTTTAGCAACCACCGACAGATTATCGAACAGTCGGACCGGCTTCGCGAAACGATTCGCGTCCACGCGATAAAATCAAGGTAATCGTCGGTCATCGCCTGGCGGCAAATTTCCTCGTAGATTGTCGGCAGCCTGTTCGATCTGGAGTCTGGAGAAGCTGAGAATATCGGAGAGAGAGAGAGGAGAGAGAGAGAGAGAGAGAATCGCTCGAAAAATCGAACGATTTCGTCCGATATTTTCGAGCCCGGACTGTTCGACGATGGGATCCCCCTTTCGCAGCATGACCTAACATAAACGGCGCGGCGGCCGGTGGTTCGTCAACTTTAGAACCGCCCGGGAACCCGATAAATTTCTATAAATCAGCGAAAAACTAGCCTGAGGCCGGCGCGGTCCAGCAGATCGCTTGACACACGTGTCCCTTTGAGAATTACATAGGCGAGTCACAGGTTGTTGCACTGGATATCGTGGGTAAACGGGCGTGAATCTCGAGTGTAAACGCGAAACTTATCCGCTACGCCAACAGACCGTCGAGCATGTGACTTCGTTTGCCGTCCATCAATTCGTCAAACAGTTTAATTAAACGGAGACCTCTCGCCTCTTTTTCTCTCTGCCTGCTTACCGGTCGCGGTCTCTCTTGGCATTCGGCCTCAACCTTGCACACGCCGCGCCACGGCGCACCACGATCTTCCTGTAAAATTATCCATGGTGCCTGCCATTACACCGACGAGAAATTAGGCTCGACTCGGCCACCGATCGTTCTCCTCCGACTGAATGAACTTAATCGGTCGGTATTTTTAGAATACTATTTCGTCCCGTCCCGTCTTGTCCCGTCGCGTCGCCTTTCCGAACCTTACCTATCGCCTCTTCTTCCTTTCTCCTCTATGCTTCTCTTTCTGCTCGTTGAAACCCTGAAACCAATCGGGAAACATCTCGAGCTGAATGGACTTAATCACCTGTCGACGATCGTATTTTTAGAATACTATTTCGTTTCGACGACTTTTCGAACCATCTTCTTCGTGTTCCTCTATCCTTTTTTCAGTTGAGTCGAGCTGAATGAATCTATGTTCAGAATTTGTAGGCTGGGATAGTCAGCGGCGAAGAAGTCGCACCTACTCGAGACTTCTTGGGCGAACAAAATCCAAGCATTTGCTTACAGAATTTAGACTAATTATAGATAAAGCTCGTTGAAAGAGAAAGGTTCGGATTCGATTACCGGCACTCTGTCGGATCGTGTAATTCCCTTTCCCCTGCAGAACCACAGATTTTCCTTTCCGTGGATGTTTTCTAGGGAAAAATGTTGGAGATAGCGGGTCGTTCCTCGGTTAACTACACCTGGCCGAGGCTCGCGTGAATTTTTCAGTCTCTCTCTCTCTCTCCCCCTCTCTCCTCTCGCTCTCTCCCGCCTCTCCCATCGCACACACCTTTTTTCTGTTTTCCCTCGATTCTCGGGCCGTCCTCTTGTGCAGCGAGGAAACCGTTCGATGGAAATAGCGCATCGTATTTTTAGGGAGCACCGGTTCCGACATATAACGGAGAGGCGTTCGCGTGCGGGTTAGATCGTTGTAATTTCACCGGGTTGTTTGCTAAACACGGTTTTCACCCAAAGAAAATACGTGGGATCTTTCTTCGTCACTCTTTCTCTTTCGTCTCGTTGTTTACCTCGAGAGAAAAATGGAGGTGTCGGCGTGAACACGATCCGCGAATTCTGCCGAAATCGCGAGACCTCGCAGCCGCGTTCGGTATCGCGAGATAAAAGGAATATGGGCCAACAAACAGCCGGCCCGAAATATCTCGAATTTGAGTCACTGTGCGCGCCGCTCACGAATAAATATTTGTTCGACAAGAATACAGGAGGGCGATACAACAACGGGCCCGATTATCGATTGTTGGCTCGGTGGTCGGAGTCGTTTCTTGCTCGAACTATCCCGATCAAATTCCGGAGCTAGATTCGTGGGGAAATAGAAAGTTTAGATTGGTCGTAGAGCAAATATGGTCCCGCGGGGCACTGTCCGGGTTCTGTTGAAAATGCGAGCAACGAAAGAGTTATAAGTCTGTTCGAAGCTTTTGGAAAAGGAAACAACACTTTCCAGAGTTAAATTTTTAGGGAAAATAGTTAGAAAATTAACTATGCTCTCCTTCTTGCAACGATTATCTTTCATACGATTTTCATTGCCCTATAAAATCACAAGAATTCGTCGAGTGTTGTTACTGGCCAGAGGGAACCAGCTTCTTGGAGAACGAGATGTCCAAGCTCCATGCAACTCCTTGGCTTATGCAATTTAGTGTCCGTCGATTCGCAGTCCGACCTCGTTGGGAATCCACGAACGGAAGCTTTAAACGCTCCTAACCTCCAGTGTTACCGTCGAAAACTCGAGGAAAGAAACGTATCGCGATATCGCGAAGTGGCTGCCACCCAACGATGGTGAACGGTGTTTCTGGCAATAACAGAGTTCGGAGAGCTCGTAAATTCCATGGCAGTTAACGCGCCCGTTGCCGTTGCCGTTGCTGCTGCCGCTGTCGGGTTCTGTCGGACGTCGGGCTAGCTAGCTGGTCCGGCGCTCTGCGATTTAACGAGGAAATTAATTGTTGGGACGCGTGTTGGCGATCAAGACAATAAACGGTTAATGGTTTCGGACAGAGCGACACACCTGGACGGCTTGCCCTGTCATAGCTGCATCGCTATGTCCCTGTGACGCTGCGTCGTCGTGTCTCGTTCAGTCCGCATCGATGTAACATTGTTACAAAACCTGGGGCGGGGGCCCAAGGTCGCGCGCGGAGTTACATGCCGCGATAACGAGAAAATCGTTCTGCTGTCGCCACTGGGTCACGACCTCCTTCCTCTTTCAATTCTCCGGAGGTCGATAACCTCGTTTCTGTCTAAGCGCGCCAATTTCGTGACCTACCTTCCCGCGAGCCTACACACACGTACGGGCCTACACGCGCGGGCAGAGAGTGTTCCTTCTCTATGCGCGCCCTCCGGCCCGTGTATCGACCGAAAATCAATTTCGCCGATTCGCGGTTTCTCAAATTTACTCGAGCCGTTCGCCAATTTCGGCTTCCTTACCCTAGACCTTTCCGAGATAGCTCGCTTAACTGTCGCTTAATTGCTTGCGGTCAGCTTTTCCACAGTTGGAGAGATATCTCTTCCGAACGCTTCGAAGCGACTTCTTCGTCTGCCGGAAAAACTGGCACTATTTAAATGGACGAGCGAGATTTTCATGCTCCGACTAGGTTTATACCGACACCGACTGGGATCTGCGTCTGGTTCCAGATACTGCTATCCGCCAAGTAGCTCCAAGCACTCTCGCTTAGTTCTAGCTGATCCCGAGCTACTCCTAGATACTTGCAAATACTCTTACGGCAGGTGTCAATCCGAGAGTGTCGTCAACTATTCCCAGTTTGTTTCTGTTACTCCCAGCTAGCCCCATCTATTTCAAATTAGCTTTAATTACTTCTGACTACCTCCGGTCACTCTTAATTATTTCCAGTTATCGTAGCTACTTCTAGCCAGCCCTAGCTACTCTTAATTGTTTCCAGTTAGTTGCAGCTACTTCCAGTTAGTTGCAGCTACTTCCAGCTAGCCTCGGCTACTTCTGGTTAGCTTCGACCACTTTCATTAGTCGCTTCTATCAGCCCTATCTACCTCTACTTACTTCCAGCTAGTCTTGGCTATTCTTCGTTACCTCGTCTTCGGTTTTGGTCCTTTCAGCTAGCTAAAAGACAACCGGAAATCTGCCCCCCCCCCCCCTCACACCCGCCTTCCTCCCTCGACCACGTCAGACACTTGCTATTCTCCATCAAAATGGAGACTGTTTAGACCGAAACACCGTTAACTGCGGAACAAATAAGGGCTCGAGCGTCGATGTATTTCTAGTAAAAGCGGCATAGCTATTAAAAAGGCTTGTCGAGACCGATCGAGAGAAACGATTTCGTAACCGAGGTTGCCGGTTGAAAATGCCTAGGTGTTTAGCACAGCGGGCTGGCAGCGGTGTCGGTAAATATATTACCACCGTCAACCGACTGTGGAAGGCCTCTACTCGCCGGTGTCAAAGCGAAGAGACCCGACCGATCCACCCCTGCCAGGGGATTCTCGTCGCACCTACACAGGCCCTGGCGAGCTCGCATACGTGCACAGGAGCCGAGTCTGTACGTACAATTGATGGCGAGCAACGGTGGCAGTGACCCATGACCCGGATTGGAAACTGGGTGCCAGAGAGGCATACCCGGCGAGGCCGAGAGGGCGAGAGTTGGGGTTAGGATAGGACACCGACGAGGATCGATTTTCCCTCTTGGTGCGCGCTCTATCCACCCTAGACACCAGCCGGGGAGGGTCTTTCGTTCGCTCGAGAGGAGCGGGGAGGATCCGATCCCAGGGAGAAAGAGAGAGAGAGAGAGAGAGAGAGGGGGGGGCCCTCTTACTCTCTTCATCCCTGTGTTCGGTCGCCCTCGGCCACCCTTCGCCAGCCAACCACTTCCGCCCTCCGTCGTGTGTTATCGTGCCGGTTTCGATGCCAGCAAAGAGAGGAGATCCTGCAGCTTCCGCTCCTGGACCGACCGTCGGTCGGTTTTTTTAAAATCCCCCGTCGAATTTTAAATTTTCCCCGAATTTCGCGAATAAATAGAACAATGCCCGGTTATCTACCGCCGCGGTCGACAGGTAGCCCGATCAATTTCACACTGCTGCCTATTGGGGAAAACAGGGGAAACCTTCGACATGGAATTTTCGAAAAATTCCAACCCCTTTGTCAAAGTTCCAAACAGGCTCTGCCAAGTGTTAGCATACTACACGAAATTTATTTTCTGCTTCACAAAGCTACTACAGCTTCGAAGATTCTAGCTTTCCGTTTACAATCGGTCCAAAAAGTTGACGTACGATCTCCATGAGCGGTTTTATCTGGAGCTTGGAACGCTAGGTGTGCTAGCACACTTCCCGTCAAAATGGCGATCCGTACGTTTCGATCTTAGGAATTTTTCAGCTGTTGCAGCTCGGTGTAAAAGAAATCGTACAGTGTTCTGCCTATACTCGTTCCAGAGGGCGTGGGGTCTCTACATTAACACCCGTAAACCTCTTTGCAGAGATTCCTTTTTCTTACAAAACTATAATTACTTTAACTCTAACCGTGCCGACTACCAAAAATGACTTGTACAAATTACGAGATACCTTTACTTAGATTTGTTCGCAATCTTTTTATTAATACCTGTAGAGAAAACATTGTCGAACCGATAATATTACCAACAATGGTACGGTTAGCGTTAAGGAATTCTGTACCATCCAACGCTGCTTACCAACGATTAACATCAACTTTACTCTGTTGTTTCAGTTTCCTAGATAAGGTAGCGATTGTTAAGCAACCGGATTATACCCCCACGGAGCAGGTAAGCTAGTCAAAAAGCAGTAGCCATCGGTATTCGACGAACGGAGATCTTAACGGCGTGTATCTGCTTGCAGGACATCCTCAGGTGTCGTGTCCTCACGTCCGGTATCTTCGAGACGCGGTTTCAAGTCGACAAAGTAAACTTTCAGTAAGTCCCCGTGTCTCCCTATAGCTCGTCGCTTTCGCTCCAGCGTCGTCTAACTATATATAGCCGACATATTACAGTAACATCGGCCGACGATAAATATAACGCGAAGCAGCGACGCGCGTCTCATCCTGGCCTGTGTCCTACACGCGCGCTTTTCCCTGTGCGCGTGTCCCATGTATTCGTGCGCGCGTGTGTATACGTACATACGTAGGTGTTTGAGTTCATGTATTGGTCTGTGTATTACAGACTTAGATGTACGTCGTGTGTGCATGCAGCGAAATCCGTTAGCCGCGTTAACGCCTCCGCAACTTTATTATATTTCCCCCTTTTTTCCGTCCGCTCGACGGACTCGGATTCTCCGCTCCACATTGTCCTCGCAGCAACGTTTTTCTATTGGCAGAAATTATCGAATCGATTCTAGTACTCTGCCCCCGGGGATCAAACGGGCCCGTATGCAGTCTTTTTATCCAGGGAGAGAGCAAGCGAGCGAGCGAGCGAGCGAGAGAGAGAGAGAAAGAGAAAGGGGGAGGGAAGGAGCGTGTGAGCGAGCGAGTGAGAGATGCGTTAAACAATCGAGCCATGGTTAGCAGTATTTTTAACGCTGGGACTGCTGCGAGCCGATTCCAAGCTCCTCTAGGCGAAAATAATTCAATAAATTGATTCCGCGAGAATTCCGATGGTGCAATTTTTTGCGGAACAGGTTGCATCTTAACTCTTCGCGATCGAATTTTAGCTCTGTTAAGAATGGCACCATTTTTCAAAAGCATTTCTACATTATGAAAATTATTTGCTGCAAATGTATGAGATCAAACGAGCCCCAACTTCATATGCATAGAATTAATTGAGTCATGTAATAAATTGAATGCGGATCATTGTGCAAAATAAAAATTGTTTTCTTTTTTTTCAATTGCAAGGGATGGAAACCAAATAGGGAGCTCTTTAATCATTTTACTAGATTGTAACTGATATAGTCCTAAATTCTTTTAATCTTCCTACTATTTAAAATTTCACCTTCTTTGTCTCGTGGTAAATCGAAAGGATCAGTAATCTAATAAAAGAAACTGTTTTAGATCGGATGAAATGTACTAAAACAGTTTCGAGTGCAGAGGATTACAACTAGGACCTAGACTAGAGGAACTTTCTAGTGACCAAAAGAATGTACCATTTTCCAAGAGATCTGCGACTTATTGATACAAATGTATTGGGTTCGCTGGAACCGTTCGTCGGCCATGTTACCCGAGAGCTATTGTTCTGGGTGTATACCTTGACGGTTCGCGGATCGAAGGTTAAACGATGGTATCGATGATTGCAGTATGTTCGACGTCGGTGGCCAGAGGGACGAGAGGAGAAAGTGGATACAGTGCTTCAACGACGTAACGGCAATCATATTCGTAACGGCGTGCAGTAGTTATAACATGGTACTCAGGGAGGACCCGACGAAGCTCCGACTCAGGGAGAGTCTCGATCTTTTCAAAAGCATTTGGAACAATCGGTACTATCCTCGAGCTACTATCTAGAAGCTTCGTCACATTTGAATCTGTGTACGATCGTGTTCTCTTTCTGTTCCAGGTGGCTCCGCACAATTTCGGTAATCTTATTTTTAAACAAACAGGATCTATTGGCGGAAAAGATCAAAGCAGGCAAGCACAAATTAGAAGACTATTTCCCAGAGTTCGCGCGGTACCAGACGCCAGTCGAACCCGGCGTTGTCACGGACACCTCGGAACCTGCTGACGTCATAAGGGCCAAGTACTTCATTAGGGACGAGTTCCTGGTAAGCGAGACAGTGGTCGAAACAGACCTATCGTTAAGCTACTAGCTGTTTAGCGATGTAAACTCTTCCAGTGATCTGGTACACCTAGGACGTATAAAACTTCTTCAATGATTTTCATTGGAGGAAAGTGATCCGGTAAAAAGCTGCTTCATTGTATATATAGCGTGAACCGTATACTTTACTCTATTCGTTCTAGAAACTGCGCTAACGTTTATGTACCTGGGTGCACCGAACACCCCTAAACAAGCTTGCCAACCTGTTAACCAGCTGACTTTCCCAGTTACACACACTTATGAAAACGTAGAACTCTAGTACGGTATGATCCTCTCGTCGTAATGAACTAAAATTTTGTGCGTGCAAAATTTTGGCTGCAGATCTTTATTAGTTTCCAATTTTTTATACAATACATTTCCTACATACACGGTGTAGTCGGATCTCCGATGGAGTACGTCTTTTTAATTAATATCTCGGAAACTAACCGAGTCTCGAAGTTCAAATTTTGTATGTAGGGTCCTAATATCTTTAGATGTTAAGGTTCAAAATTAAAAATTTCAGTTCATTGTGATGAGGGGATCCTACCGCGTAAAGAGTAGTAGAATAACTGAACCAAACATGAAAAATTACTGGAAGGCGATAGTTCGGACCAGTTCAGCCCAGTCCAGCCGGTTAGCAGGTCGATCCTGATCGATGAAAGCAAGAGAATGTTTAGCTTTATCATCGGGCTATCTTTTCAGCGTATTAGCACAGCGAGCGGGGACGGCAAGCACTATTGTTATCCGCACTTCACATGCGCCGTCGACACGGAGAACATCAAGCGGGTTTTCAACGATTGCCGAGACATCATCCAGCGGATGCACTTGCGCCAGTACGAGCTCTTGTGACTTCGTTCCTGCCGACGTGTCCTGTCACCCGTTCGCATCGGAGTCACGATAGCGCTCTGTCTCGTGCCGATCATGCGAGTCGAGCGAGTCGTACAGTTGGCGATGATCTGAAACGCGTTGTCGTTTGCCAGAAACGGTGGTGACTCGCGTGGATCGCGTGGATCGTATCGGACCCGGGTCCGGGTCCGATTCGGGTGCCAATCGACGGATCCGTGGATCGTGGAGGGAACGCGTACAGCAACGCGATCGACTAACGACGACAGCCTGTCGATCTTCACTCTTCCTCGACGGAACGGTGACTCAAAGAGGGAACGTTGATGCGCAGCCAGGTCTCCAGGGATTTACGGGGGAGGGGGGAGGGGGTATATCTGTCTCGCTACGGAGAACAGCGTCTCTTTTTGCACAGAATCGCTTTACTAATGTCATTGGTGTACAAGCAAATGCCCCCACGCATTCTAACTATTGTTATCGATATCGTTTTCCGACAGACAAAATTTCATCTCGGCCAGGCTTTCCGTTCTTTTGTCCTTATCCTTTTTCGTTCATCACTGATCGACTAACTCCCGTTTCAGGCTCGACGGGAGTGTGCTGTGAACGTCGACAAGTAGGGAAACAAGTGCAGCCCTCCCTCCATTGCTTCCCGTCAAACGTTTTTCCCTCCGTTGAGTCTCATCGACAAGAGACGCTCCGGAGCATCGGAGATATTCTGTCCGCTTTTTGAATGGCTGTCAAATTGACGGGTGTAATACTTCGGAGGGAGGGACTGTACACCAGTGGTGTACTATGTTCGTCGCTGAGAAACACGTGCAATTTTACCGATTACCTCGTTAATTTTATTTTTTTTTACGCATCAATTCGTTGATAAGAGTGCAAACGAATTTCGGATGCGTTACCAAGTAACGCACGGGCTGTTCCTCGTGTCTGGCACACTCGTCGACAGTCTTTTTTTTAATTAATTGTCGCGGTTCGAGTTTTAGGCGTTAAGAACGTTTCCTAAAAAAGACTTAGACAATTTTCTTCTCACGCGATGAACATCCTTTTTCTCGTTGAACGTTTTTTGTTCTATTTTTCTTTGATACTGTCTCTGTGTTTCCTTTTTTTACTCGTTTCTTCTAATCTCTACGATTTTTGGTTCGTTCACGTCCCAAATACACCCCCATAAAAACCAGAAGAAAATCACCTTATCCACCATCATCACCACCACCACCACCACCACCACTACCATCACCACTACTACCAACCTATTGCCATTATTCTTTGATTACGATCTCTCTCCGTGTATTTTCTGCGAACGAATTAATTTTCCTCGACTTCCGAATCTCGACTTTTAAATCGCATTGGCCCGACCCGTAGGAGTCTCAGCCGCACCTTTTTACAAGAAGAGTATTTTGTGAGATTTTACAGTATTTCGAAGAGCGTTTTAATTATATAACTATGTATCAAATATGTACAGGGTGACCGTCCACAGATTCATGTTTTTATGTGCGTTTTCCCGATGGATCGAGATTCCTCTCACTTACGATTATCGTTTTCACTGATTCTTCTTTTTCGTTTCTTTTTTCAATTTTTCGAGAATACGTTCGATTCGTGTACTTAGGAACACGCGCGCGCGCGCACACACACACGCGCGCGCGCGAGCGCGCGTACGCACTCTTACGGACAAGCAACAGATAAAAACAGAACAACAACCAACCCAACACACTGTCGCCGTAGAATAATATTTACGTATGTAAATCCTGAACTGTGCAAGAGATGTGACACGTTGAGAGAGAGAGAGAGAGAGAGAGAGAGAGAGAGAGAGAGAGAGAGAGATGGTGAGAGAATCTNTGTCGTTTGCCAGAAACGGTGGTGACTCGCGTGGATCGCGTGGATCGTATCGGACCCGGGTCCGGGTCCGATTCGGGTGCCAATCGACGGATCCGTGGATCGTGGAGGGAACGCGTACAGCAACGCGATCGACTAACGACGACAGCCTGTCGATCTTCACTCTTCCTCGACGGAACGGTGACTCAAAGAGGGAACGTTGATGCGCAGCCAGGTCTCCAGGGATTTACGGGGGAGGGGGGAGGGGGTATATCTGTCTCGCTACGGAGAACAGCGTCTCTTTTTGCACAGAATCGCTTTACTAATGTCATTGGTGTACAAGCAAATGCCCCCACGCATTCTAACTATTGTTATCGATATCGTTTTCCGACAGACAAAATTTCATCTCGGCCAGGCTTTCCGTTCTTTTGTCCTTATCCTTTTTCGTTCATCACTGATCGACTAACTCCCGTTTCAGGCTCGACGGGAGTGTGCTGTGAACGTCGACAAGTAGGGAAACAAGTGCAGCCCTCCCTCCATTGCTTCCCGTCAAACGTTTTTCCCTCCGTTGAGTCTCATCGACAAGAGACGCTCCGGAGCATCGGAGATATTCTGTCCGCTTTTTGAATGGCTGTCAAATTGACGGGTGTAATACTTCGGAGGGAGGGACTGTACACCAGTGGTGTACTATGTTCGTCGCTGAGAAACACGTGCAATTTTACCGATTACCTCGTTAATTTTATTTTTTTTTACGCATCAATTCGTTGATAAGAGTGCAAACGAATTTCGGATGCGTTACCAAGTAACGCACGGGCTGTTCCTCGTGTCTGGCACACTCGTCGACAGTCTTTTTTTTAATTAATTGTCGCGGTTCGAGTTTTAGGCGTTAAGAACGTTTCCTAAAAAAGACTTAGACAATTTTCTTCTCACGCGATGAACATCCTTTTTCTCGTTGAACGTTTTTTGTTCTATTTTTCTTTGATACTGTCTCTGTGTTTCCTTTTTTTACTCGTTTCTTCTAATCTCTACGATTTTTGGTTCGTTCACGTCCCAAATACACCCCCATAAAAACCAGAAGAAAATCACCTTATCCACCATCATCACCACCACCACCACCACCACCACTACCATCACCACTACTACCAACCTATTGCCATTATTCTTTGATTACGATCTCTCTCCGTGTATTTTCTGCGAACGAATTAATTTTCCTCGACTTCCGAATCTCGACTTTTAAATCGCATTGGCCCGACCCGTAGGAGTCTCAGCCGCACCTTTTTACAAGAAGAGTATTTTGTGAGATTTTACAGTATTTCGAAGAGCGTTTTAATTATATAACTATGTATCAAATATGTACAGGGTGACCGTCCACAGATTCATGTTTTTATGTGCGTTTTCCCGATGGATCGAGATTCCTCTCACTTACGATTATCGTTTTCACTGATTCTTCTTTTTCGTTTCTTTTTTCAATTTTTCGAGAATACGTTCGATTCGTGTACTTAGGAACACGCGCGCGCGCGCACACACACACGCGCGCGCGCGAGCGCGCGTACGCACTCTTACGGACAAGCAACAGATAAAAACAGAACAACAACCAACCCAACACACTGTCGCCGTAGAATAATATTTACGTATGTAAATCCTGAACTGTGCAAGAGATGTGACACGTTGAGAGAGAGAGAGAGAGAGAGAGAGAGAGAGAGAGAGAGAGAGAGATGGTGAGAGAATCTGTGTATGTATCTGTGCGTATGGCTCTGTGTGCGTGTGCGAGAGAAAAAGAGAAGAGCAGAAAAAAGCTAGAAGAGAAACAAAAAATTCGTTTTACACGTACACTTTTTGACTAGCGTTTAGGCTCCAAACTTTACAATCAAAGTATGTCAATGTAAATGTTATAAAACATACGGAGGTATAATATGTTGCTTATTTATTCGACTTCGTAATGTAAAGTATCTCGCGTCTCTCGTTTATTCCGAACGATGCTTTCGTGTCCCGGAGGGAGTATATACATAACTATATAAAAGTAATGAAACGACTACGATGATCGAAACGTGTACAAATTTCGGGCGACGAGGTTTCGCGCGGTGATCCGTTGCCAAATGGAGCTTTTTTCCTCGTAGGTAATGAGAAAACCGGTTAACGAGTTGACAAAATGTGCGCGAAATAATCATCCCTTGTCCCGCGTATCTCACAATGTGTCTCTGCAAATTCGATTCATTCCCGACGATGCCGTTTGGACACCCTGTATATGGCAAATCTCCCATCAAACTTTCCTTTGAACATTCGACGAGTAATCGTCGTTTTCGACGGGCACTTTGGCGAACCGCGTTTCCGGTACTTACACCTAGAGAAAGAAGCACTAGTTCAACTCTATACATATATTCCTCCCTGCATGGGGCGGAATTTTGACGGTTTCAAGTCTCTGTACTCTATGCGAAACCGATTGGATCGAAAATCTTTGATGTAAACTGCAGAGATCAATTTGTTGGTATCATGTAAAGTTGCGCTACATTGTAATTTCTATTTTATTAATTTGTTTTCATTTTTTGTGAACTGTAAGTGCACAAGGAACTGCAATCTATTAATTTCCAGAGCTTATAGTGTTTTAAACATTAAGAAAGGTAATTGTTTCCTTAGCAACGTTCACGCGTGACATCTGCTTTCCTAACAGGAAAACGAGAAACTCTAAGCGAGTAGCGAAGAAGATGCCAGGTTTCCGAAGGTATTGCTATCCTTCTATCATCCTGCTCCAGAGGTTTCCTACAAAGAACGCTCTTTCATTCTCACTTGTTTCGCGAAACGCTTGTGTACACTGGTGCACCGAAAACTGCATTAAGATTCGCTAAATCAACGATCCAGAAAAGTCCTGTAATCACTGTGCCGCGGATATCGAATACAGCAATTTATTAATCAGAAAAGCGAAGAGATCTCCTCTGAGAACATTGTGTAATTAGAGCATCCGATGTTCAGCGATTCGGATCAGTTTTTGTGGAACTTACCCGTTGGTGCACCGAAGCAATCATCGGACTGCAGATCATTATGCAGCGCTTGCAAACTTATTTATCGAGTTATTAGTTTCGTTCTCGCTTTTTAGCACAAGTTTACTTTATGTTTAAGAGATCCTGCGGAAACAGGAACTCGCATAAAGATGTGACATAGCGATACCGATCTGCTGTTTGATGATCATGCGAATTATGAGAGAAAGACTGTGCGTGCTCACGGAACGTTCTTCGATTCGATTAACGATCTAGCTGTTGCGTTTCCTGGGTTCACGTTTAGACCAGAGATGGGCACAATTTTCTTCGACTAAATATATGAAGCGTGATAGGAGAATACAATCGTTTCTACGGTATATACATACATACATACATACACAAACATATGTATACTCGTATACATATATCTATTCAATTTCGTAAATTATACATTCATCGAGCAGAATGTGCAACAGGTTCTTTTTCTTCTTTTCGCTAGTTTCTGTTTTTCTTTTTTGTTTTCTATCGGTCTTTTCATTCGCGCGCTCGTAACAAAAGATCCTTAATTGTCTGGAGAAGAGAGACTCGTGGTTTCGCGGTCGGCAGAAACTGAACAACCATAACAAACCGGTATCAACGTGGTCATTCTCGAGAATCGTACGTCGACGGATTTCATATTCTCGAACACGAGCCCGCCCATTCTCGTAAATGTACTCTCGTGTAATATCAATGTGTAACGGGGCCCGTGTGCGTACATCTATATGTATACCCTATTGTAACTAATCACATAACCGGCAAGCCATAGCTCGTAAAACAAATACGGTATTTATGCGCGTTGTGAAATGTTATTTTTACTGTGCAACTTGTAACAAGCGAGAAAGAGTGGGTGGAAGAGCAGAGAGATAGAGAGAAGAATTTGCATCGATGTGAGGAAGAATTAATGACTGTCGATGAAACTTCCGTGAATTAATTGTTCACCCAGCACAAAGATACACACACAGATATTATACATACATACATAAACACATACATACATACATATACATATACAGGGTGTCGCGTAGGTTCCCACGCAAACTCGACCGGTCAACCAGCTAAAAATAATCGACTATTAATTAAATCGATCTTTATTTTCGGCTGCGTGGATGCGATAAATGTTCGTGGGGGTGCATATGGGACACCATCGTTTCTCGTGTATGCCAGCGCGTGTGTGGACGGGTATATGGTGTAGCCAATAACCTCGCGAGTATTCTTCACACTTTTCTTTTCGTTTCTCTCTCTTCCGAGGACTTCTTTCGCGATGAGAAACGCGTTCGTCCCGATTTCGACCGGAAGCACGATATAGTGCGCTTAGGGTTGCGACGACGCGTCAAATCGTTCGCCTGTTCTATCTTAAACGCTTCTACTCGGAGGCTGTTATCTCCTGATGCAGTAACAATTCTCTAAAACTTCAGACAGGCAATTGCTTGAAACAAATTCGCAATTATTTCACCAGGCAGCAGAAAATATGCGTTGTGCATCGTTGCAGGGCCAAAGGTCAGAATCGCGAACGATTTGCGTGGCCACGATTATACCGGATCGCGAATTTTTCTGCAAACTTTAACTTTCCTCGAAATGTTCTCTAGCTCCGTTAAGCCATAAAGTTGAATATGCAGAGAAGTCCGCAGTCCAATCGCTGCGTGGATACACGTAAAATCCGTGTGTATTTACGCCGATCGCACAAGTTTTTCTTTTCTTGGATCGTACGTACAATGTACCAAACATGTGAATATGTACATGTGAGAGCTGAGCGGTGCAAGTAATTATTATTATTATTTTGGTTTGTAAATATAGCAAACAGCAGGTTCGTATGGACATACGGTGATCGATACACGATTTCGTACAGAACATTAGTTTCTGTATTCGTTGCTTGAGAGAGAGGGAGAGAGAGAGAGAGAGAGAGAGAACCGGTACAGAAAATTGCAAACATGTTCAGTGGTAGTTTCTCGTCGAATATTGTCCAGGTGGATAATTGAAAACTACGAGTATACGCACGCCATGTTCGCGTTTCTGTTGAGGATACAGAGTCATTTATTGTGATCGTCTTAACGTTACACTGTTATTCGATGAAAAGAAAGAAATAATGAGAAAAGAGATTGTCTTTACACAGTCGGGTTTTATTGGCACGAAGGCGAACGCAGTCGTGTCATCGTAGCTCATCGATCATCGTCATTTATCGTCATTATTGTCGTACACTGTTGATACTAATGCGGTGTCGTGATCGTGGCTCGCGAGCTGCAATCGTTGCGTTTCAAAGACATTAGGCTCAAGTATCATTCTTTATTGTCGGTTTTGTAGAAAGTTTAAATGTTTTAATTACTCTTGCAGCGACCGAGCGACACGATTGCTACTATGTTACTCTTTTCACTCGATCCTCGTAGAATTTCGGACTGGCAATAAGTTCCATTCTATTGTAACTTCGATCTGTAACCTCCGGAATCATCGACGATTCTGGTCGTCTCCCGATTGTGGATCGTGCCTTTCTCAACGCTACGTAGGTATTGTCTGTCGATTGTTTCCGTTGGTTCTCCGTGTTTCGTCGGAGGTCAGAGGTCGGGTGACTGTTTCGCGTCGCGTCAATTAATCGGATGATCATCGTTTTCAAGAGTTTAGAAGAATGTTCTTCCTGTGGTGAGAATCGAATAAAAACACTGCGCACTGCTGTTGTCATAGACAAGGTCCGCAGTCGACTTTGATCTAATTTCATTTGTTAACTTAATAATTGATCCCAAAGACGGATACGAAGCTTGTTTTGTTAGTAACACAGTATCTGAACAGTGAGAAATCACCTCAAATTCAAGGCACAGACAAATTAACGCGCGATAAGATGGCTGCCGTACAGAGATGATCTGGAGGTCGGCGGATGCTGAGAGAAAGATGACCGATCGGAAGTCGTTCGGAAAAGCAGGAAAGAACAAGGGAAATGACCACAAGTTCACTTTGACTCGAATTGTTCGCGCATAAATGTATTTCCCACGTGTAATGGTCCGACAGGAGAAGAGAAATTGAGAAAGAGAGAAAACGATTCTCTCTCTCTCTCTTGCTTACTTTCTCCCTCTCTCTCTCTCTCTCTCTTCGGTTCGTCAATTAATTAAACGCCCTCTACCCAGGCCCGTGGTTTTCTCCCTCATTAATAAATCATAAGAAACTCGTTGTTGCGTGTCACTTAGGAAATATGTTTAGCAAATGACTGGAAAAAGAGAGAGAGAGAGTGAGAAGGAGAGAAGGGTGAATCTATTATCAAAAGAGCAAGATGACCGAGCAAGTAACGCGAGAATTAGCACGATAAACGCGTTTAGAAAACGGTGGGAAAAATCAAGAAAACAGAGGAGGAGATCTATACGTGATGTAAATGAATAATAATAACAATAATAACGGAAACTCGAGAAACTCTGTTAGGAAATGAGATTTAATGTTGTCCACCCCACGGTCTCAAAGAAGTTCGACTTTCTCCATTTTGTCTTTTCTTTTAATCTCCTTTCTTTTCTGTTCTTTCGTTTATTTCACTACGAAGACTTAGAATGTTCCCAAAATGCACAATAACTAGACGACAACACACGCTGTCACGTTGCGTACGATGCAATCAAACAAGAGAGAAAGGGAGAGAGAGAGAGAGAGGGGGGGGGAGAAAGAGAGGTAGAGAGATGCGTTTAATTAGAAAAAGAATAATAGGCGAACGAGTATTGATCGGATCGTTCAGTCGCCAAGGCTATTTAAAAGCGAGAATCGTGGGGTGGACGTGTAGTGTATATGATAAATTGATAGACATAAAAATACATGAATAAATATATATATTATATATATTATTATTATATATATATACAATAATTTTATATATATATATATATATATGATTCACCAAGTTAATGCAGTCGAGAAACCGATTATGCGCGTGTGTGAGCCAAGTGTGCGCCAAAGAGAGAGGGATAGAGAACGAATGCGTGTGCTGTGAGATATGCGTGTGAATGAGAAAACGGATTGTAAATGTGTTTTTAGATTACAAGATGTAAGAAGGAAAATATTTCATTCTCATTCTGTGATGACTGTCTGAATATAATGAAAACAAAAAGAAACAAGAAACTATTAAGATGTTTTCATGAATCTAATGCTGATTAAATCGATTAAGTTAGTGTATAATTAAAAGCAAATATGTGGTTCGACGAACCGCGCACACTATTTGAAAAGAAGAGACGGAGAGGGATGCACGTACGCTGATTTATCCGAATACAGAGAGAGAGAGAGAGAGAGAGAGAGAGAGAGAGAGAGAGAGAAATGGTATGATTTGTACACTGTATAACTTTAGCCGTTTACCACTGATTTCGAGAAATGTGTATAAATTATTATGTGTAATTAAAGAAAAAGTCATTTAGTAAATTTTAAGAGTATATGATATATATATATGAATATATAGATATATATACATTATACTCTAATACAAAATTCTGATCATAAGGTACGCGCGTGCGCGCACATGCACATATACAAGTTGAAAAGAGAGAAAAATCCGGGAAAAGAAGAGAAGAGATATTGTGAGAAAAAGAAAATGAGAAATTACAAAAAACCAAACACTGCAAGGCCACTGTATTATACATTTGTGTAACTGAAATAGCGATGGTACAATTATGAAGATTATAATGATACAATAAACACTTGCCGTATGTCTTATATACATAAACTAGAATGTTATTTTACGGTGCATCACAGCAATCGACAGATTTCTGTTTCTGTGAAACGGGAGGCTAGATTAGACCAGGCTTAGAAACATGATTTTATATCATTTGTAACGAACCTCTTATATATCATATTTGAAAGTACACGATATTTATAAATACGCCGAGCCTATTCATATGCCGAATAATATATTGGCAATTTACTGATTAGCAAATTCATCTTAATGTGGAAAACAGCAGCCTTGAATCGGTGGTGTGTATTAGTTCGCTGCAGCAGCCATGTGTCTCTTTAAGTACAACAGTTGCGATTTCGATTCCAATAATGACAATTGCGACACGTATGGAGCCATTTGCTGAACGTGATTCTGCTAATTCGTTCCTGGAAAAAATTTAACAAATTGCATAACATTCGAGGCATCGATCATTGTGAAAAAATGCAGAAATATGCATACCCATGTTAACTCTCTTTTGACCATACATGACCTTCCCGTCAAAACCATTTAGGGGAACCTTTGTGTCAGTATCGATTTGCTGGATCGTGACATTCAGATGGTCCTCGATATCAGCTAAATACTAAGAGAGAATGGAAAAATTTTAATAAATGTTAGGGGAGAGATTTTAGACACAGATGTGTAGTCGCTCACAATCTGTTCATCGTACCAGACGCAACAACTGCTCTGATCAGTGAGAGATGTGTTTTGGCAATTTCTTCCTCGAGTAGGACACCACTCGCCATGGTACCATATTTTCTCAGGAACTTTGCTGACCAGAGAAATAGTCAGACCCATTCTTTGAGAAATAGCCAGACTTCACCTAAATCCAAGGTAACCTGAAAATACATCAGTCATTAGAGTCAATCTCTCCACCGATAGAATTAGATATTACTGTATGCGATTTAATACTCACCTGAGACATAGACCAGCCAACACGGCATAAACCTTCGTCGGTTACCGTAACTTCGAAAAAGAACTTCTTATTCTCCTGAACTCCTTTATTGGCCCGACAACCATGCCATTCTTTTTATTCTCAGCTTCGACATCTCAAATCGTGCAGAATTACAGCCAATGCTGAGCCTCTATCGAATAAACTTAGGGACCAATGTTTTGCTACAAATAATTAACAAATAAATGTTTTGGTAGATGTCGTTGATGTGAAAAACTACATACAAGGTTGCGAGTGTGATGTCGACGAAGCAGTTGCTTTCCCAGATTCAAAGTCTTTCAGAGTTTCCCATACTATTTGTAAAACAGGTAAACAAAAGGCACCAGTCTTTCCACCACCAGTTTCTGCAGCCATTAACACGTCGCCACCACCCAGAAACAAAGGTATCGCTTCGGCTTGCACGTCTGTTGGCAGTCTATAATTTAAATGACCAGACAAATTAAATACATACCCTATCTATATTTTGATATAATTGTTTTATAATATTCAGAGCAATACTTACGTCCATTCCATTTCGTCAACTGCCGTTGCAATTTCAGTCAGAACACCCATTTCTGAAACAACAACAATGCATAGGAGACTTTGACAAGCAGGTATATATTATTGAAAACACGTAACACTTAGTTTCTGGAATGCTGCACCCTCGAATGTTGCCATTATTAGGAAACGATAAGGTCTTTCCCGTGGTCAGAATAATATCAATGATAATAAATAAATAAATTGTGCCGGGGATTTTTAAAACAATAGCTCTGCGACAGGCATTGAAACAGTACCGTGACGTTGACGTCAAACGGACGGGTTAGAAAACAACGTTACACGCGTCAGCGTTACAAAAAAATTAAATTGTTAGATATTCTGGCCAAAAATATGATGTCGATGTGCGCAAGTGTTCAAAGTACACCTCAAAATTATCAAAGTCAACCATCAATAGCAGAATATTAGAAAAAAGAATTAATTATCAAGATAACGGGCGCGAAGATTTCAGCGCGCCTGTGGCGTCATCTAGCGTTACGGATTTTCGAGTCAATTTTCCTATATCGCAATGAGTAAGACAAGGATAGAACTAGTGTGCGATAAGGACAGACTCGTGCCACCAACTTTTTAGCCGCGCTTCGAATTCCCTGGTACGAGGTAGGGACACATGAAGAGATGGAGGTATCCGACAAGGACAAACTTATGCGTTTTTCGGCGCGAGAGAGAGACGCAGATAGAGCTCCTCGGCAGACCCGTGAAATCGACAGATTATTTGTTAATAACTCTCTTTTCATAAACAATCGGTGAATATAAACTAACGTGGAATATAGAGTGAACATTCAGCTACTTTCCCATATAGTTTTTAATCGAATTATGTGTATAATTAACTAGTTATTAACAATTATTCAGACCCGTGTCACGGAATAACCTCAAATAATTTGACAGTTACACAGTNTAGTTTTTAATCGAATTATGTGTATAATTAACTAGTTATTAACAATTATTCAGACCCGTGTCACGGAATAACCTCAAATAATTTGACAGTTACACAGTATATAATTAATAACTAACTTTCGAGGCATAATTTATGAACTTTTATGATTGAAGAATCTAGATCGAAGTCTTGGCTACAATTTTAGTACAGTTTTGTGCATATTTAAATAATAATTAGTTAGTTATTAACCATTTTTAGAGGAATTGCGCATCAGATAGCGAAAGTATCGGGAGCCGTAAGAAACAAAGTTAGTGGCACGTTTCAAATATAGCTGTCCTTGTCACACTATCGTCACCTCTTTGTCTTACACATTGTAGGCATTCTGGAAATAGATATCCTGATGAAAAATTGTTACTAATTAATTATCGAGGCATAATATATAAACATTTGCAATCGAAGAATGTAGCGCAGACCTTTAGCAACTTTCACGTATAGTTTATAGTCTGATTATTACACAACTTGGAAAGTTATTAACAATTTTCCAGGACAAAGTTTAAAATATAATCGCGACAATTGCGAGAGTTACATATTGTATGATTAATATCTAACTTTCAAGGTGTAATTTATGGGCTTTCAAGATTAAAGAATCTAGATCGAAGTCTTAGCTACAATTTGAGTATGGTTTTGTGCATATTTGATTTCTAATTAGTTGGTTATTAACGATTTTTAGAGGCATGACGTATCGGATATTCGAAAGTGTCAGGAACCGTAACAAACAAAGTTAGTGGCACGATTCACGCTTTTGCTGTTTTTGTCGCACTATCGGTATCGCCTTGTCTTACACCCAGCGAGCATTGGTGAAACAGACATCCTGATGAAAAATGGTTAATAACCAAATAACAAAGAATAATTTATAAACATTTGCAATCGAAGAATGTAGCGCAGACCTTTAGCAACTTTCAGGTATAGTTTATAGTCCGATTATTACACTATTTTTAAAGTTATTAACAATTCTCTACGACAACGTCTCAAACATAACTTCGACAATTGCGACAGGTGCACAATAAATAATTAATATTCATACATTCGGGGCACAATTTCTGCACTTTTATGATTGAAGAATATAGAATGAGGACTTAGCTACATTTCTGGTGCCTTCTTGTGCTTATCTGATTGTTAATTAAATAGTACTTTACAATTTTTCAACAAGATATCCATTTCCCTAATGCCTACAATGTGTAAGACAAAGAGGTGCCGACTGTGCGACAAGGAGAGCAATAGCTTGAAACGTACCACTAACTTTGTTTGTTACGGCTCCTGACACTTTCGAATATCCGATGCGTCATGCCTCTAAAAATCGTTAATAACCAACTAATTAGAAATCAAATATGCACAAAACCATACTCAAATTGTAGCTAAGACTTCGATCTAGATTCTTTAATCTTGAAAGCCCATAAATTACACCTTGAAAGTTAGATATTAATCATACAATATGTAACTCTCGCAATTGTCGCGATTATATTTTAAACTTTGTCCTGGAAAATTGTTAATAACTTTCCAAGTTGTGTAATAATCAGACTATAAACTATACGTGAAAGTTGCTAAAGGTCTGCGCTACATTCTTCGATTGCAAATGTTTATATATTATGCCTCGATAATTAATTAGTAACAATTTTTCATCAGGATATCTATTTCCAGAATGCCTACAATGTGTAAGACAAAGAGGTGACGATAGTGTGACAAGGACAGCTATATTTGAAACGTGCCACTAACTTTGTTTCTTACGGCTCCCGATACTTTCGCTATCTGATGCGCAATTCCTCTAAAAATGGTTAATAACTAACTAATTATTATTTAAATATGCACAAAACTGTACTAAAATTGTAGCCAAGACTTCGATCTAGATTCTTCAATCATAAAAGTTCATAAATTATGCCTCGAAAGTTAGTTATTAATTATATACTGTGTAACTGTCAAATTATTTGAGGTTATTCCGTGACACGGGTCTGAATAATTGTTAATAACTAGTTAATTATACACATAATTCGATTAAAAACTATATGGGAAAGTAGCTGAATGTTCACTCTATATTCCACGTTAGTTTATATTCACCGATTGTTTATGAAAAGAGAGTTATTAACAAATAATCTGTCGATTTCACGGGTCTGCCGAGGAGCTCTATCTGCGTCTCTCTCTCGCGCCGAAAAACGCATAAGTTTGTCCTTGTCGGATACCTCCATCTCTTCATGTGTCCCTACCTCGTACCAGGGAATTCGAAGCGCGGCTAAAAAGTTGGTGGCACGAGTCTGTCCTTGTCTCACACTGGCTCTGTCCTTGTCTTACTCATTGCGATATAGGAAAATTGCCTCGAAAATCCGTAACGCTAGATGACGCCACTGACGCGCTGAAATCGCTATGGCTAGCATATACATTTTTGTAATACATATGCTGCGATTGATTGGATAGCTTTGATAATTGAAGAAGGGTACTTTAAACTCTTGCGCACATGGGCGTAATATTTTTAATCAGAATTACTAACAAATTATTTAGTTGTTAACTATTTTCGGAAGATATCGTGCTTCGTGTACAGAATATCCCAAAAGTTATTCAAAATCGATAAATCTGAAATTCCTGATGTCATTTCATGTAACTTTTTTAACGAACGAAGGAAGCTCAGTTCTGCTCATTCTCACAAATTGTATATATGTATGTAGTTATTGGAGAAAAGGGCAAGCAATGATTGATATTAGTTCCAAAAGGCGCGCATAACTTTATTCTAGCTTCCTTAATTACAAACGTCCATTACATATATGTACTTACTTACATAGAAATTGTATATTTACAGCCGACAACATAGTAAAATAAAAACGATATTTCTGTGCATTTGCTTAGTTCACTACCTGACCGTTGCGTTTAGGTAGTGCCCGCTTTCGTACCACTGTATTTTCTACAGAGAAGTGCAGGAAACTTGCTTGGGTCACGCTAATTATTGGATTTGTAAGGAGTATGCTTGCCCTTAAGGAGTACGAAAGCAGCGATGATAATGCCGAATCAGAAGCTGAAACAGAAAACACGAAATGTGAGGTTAACCGTGACTGTAATCCTAAGCATGATTCCACCGATTCATTTCTTTCCATGGAAAAATTAGCAGTGTCGGATAAATTACAAATTTGTTCTGCGCCAGAAGTGGTCCCAACGGTAATAATCAATTAAATAAATTTTCTGTGACGTATACAGTTATTAGCGAATAATTCGCAAACATTTCCGTCACAGTTTCGACATGATCATTAACGTTCGATTGAACCGAATGTATCACAGGGAACTGAATTATGTGTAAGGCACGTGGATACTACAGTGGGTGAAGTTATGCATAATCCCAAGTATGAGGAGCTGTTTGCACCCGACGTTGGGCCTGAAAATCCTTTTAAAACACAACAACAACGTGCTATAAAAAATATGCTTTCTGGATATGTAGAGAAAGCTCATATAAGTGAATTTCAATTTGAAAATCAAAGAAGAACTTTTGCTAGTTACGGTATGTATGCAAATACGCACACAACATCTGGACTTCTGTATGTTTTTCTAATTTTCTAAACGATTGCATCCAATCCATGGTGAATTATCAGCCAATCGGAGCAAACCAATTTCTGTCTTAATCTTTGACCGTTTGATAAACTATAGCTATAAAAATGTGCACAAGTTCAGTTATTATTGTATCATATATGTATATTAAAATAAAATAAATACTTATCATAGGCTATGCATTGGATCCAACTGTGGATGGTAGCTCGGAAGAAGGCAGAATGATTATTGGAGCAAAAGAAGCAGCAGAAGAATTGGGTGGTAAGACTGTATTTGAAAGTACAACTCTGAGACCATCTGATAAAAGAAAGCGACATAGGAACGACGATCCTGCCGATGTAGAGGGATTCTTAGGTCCATGGGGTGGATACATGGATGAGAAACGTGTTATAAAACCAACAGAAGAAGAAGCTGCAGAATTAGAGGAAATATTGGCCAAGAGAAATAGAAGAGGAAAACCTATGGAAGAGAAACCCCTGGAGGAGAAGACAGTGTTGCATAGTACGTATATTTGAGCAATTGTTTGATACGATTTGTTGATACGAGTTGAATAGTTACTTGACAATATCTTGCAGTCAAGGATAGCGTAGACTACCAAGGAAGATCATTTTTACATGCTCCGCAAGATGTTGGGGTGAATTTAAGGTCTGATTCGCCACCCGATAGATGCTTCCTACCAAAAGCACAAATTCACAGTTGGGAGGGTCACACAAAGGGTATCTCTCAAATCAGGTGGTTTCCTCGTACAGCACACTTGTTACTCTCATGCGGTATGGATTGTAGAGTCAAAGTATGTATAATATATATAAAAAATGTAGTGTAATATAATTTATGTTAGAATTAAGGATATTTATTAATATTAATTTCATGTGCACATTACTTTGATGAAAGTTATGGGAAGTGTACAAAGAAAGAAGATGCATCCGAACATACTATGGCCATCGTCAGGCTGTCAGAGATATAAGTTTTGACAATGATGGAAAGAGATTTTTATCAGCAGGATACGATCGTTATGTGAAACTTTGGGATACAGAAACTGGTGCTTGCATTAGTCGATTTACAAATAGAAAGATTCCATATTGCGTAAAATTTAACCCAGATTTGGACAAACAACATTTATTTGTAGCAGGAACTAGCGACAAGAAGATCATTTGCGTAAGTAATATGAATGGAATACACAAGCTCTAAATTCGTAACTCAGATACTTTATGCGAAATTACATTACAGTGGGATGTTCGATCCGGTGAAATAACGCAAGAATATGATAGACATTTGGGAGCGGTAAACACGATAACATTCGTAGATGAAAATCGGCGTTTTGTGACTACTTCAGATGATAAAAGCTTGAGAGTCTGGGAATGGTAAGATATGCCTACTCTGCATATACACATAACGCTGTCTATCGTGTTTCCAAAGAACTGTCCTTCTATAAAAGTTACTTCTTGCACAGGGATATACCAGTCGACATGAAATATATAGCAGATCCTTCGATGCACTCTATGCCAGCAGTGACGCCATCACCTAATCAAAAATGGCTTGCATGTCAAAGTATGGATAATAAAATAGTTATATTTTCTGCATTAAATAGATTTAAGATGAATCGTAAGAAAACATTCACCGGGCATATGGTTGCTGGTTATGCGTGTGGCTTGGACTTTTCTCCTGATATGAGGTAAAAGAAAATAACGTTTCGACCAAACTCACAGGGCCATTTTCCAACCACTTCAATGAATACATTTATTACTAAGGCTTGCGTGTGGCCGATTCCAATAACAACGAAATCACGAATGTAAAAAAAATATTGATTTTTTTTTGGGTTAAAAGTGACTGGGAATTGGTCTGTGTATGTTGACTTTTAATTTGAACTCTGTTGATATCGATCATTCTAATATTCGAAAAATGAACGTATCCCAAATACGACACGCGAATGTTAGTTATTTTTCTTTTTCCATATTTCACAGTTATCTTGTATCGGGTGACGCAGACGGCAAATGTTATATTTGGGACTGGAAAACGACAAAATTGTACAAAAAATGGAAAGCACACGATGGTGTATGTATCGACGTATTATGGCATCCACATGAACCTTCAAGACTCGCGACAGCTGGCTGGGATGGAAAAATCAAGTATTGGGACTAAGAATTAAAGAGAAATTCCATTGTATTTTTCGACGATGTTGCGTACTTGTATTTTATTATATGCATATACAATCTATATTCTAGACAAATAAAATTCGTCTCACTCGTTTAAACTATGTACATATTTCAATCGCGCTGTCAATTTGAAATACGCGTAAACCTGTAAACATGCAAGTATTGTAGAAACATACTACGTTTTTTACGCGTTCACTATTGTTACACTTAAAATGTTGACCAACAAGGGTTGTTCAAGGGTAGCAAACAGCGCGAAGCTGTTCTGTTCCTAGCATCGTATAACGGTTAGAAAAATCAATATTATCCACAAGTCATGTCACTATGTCAGCCGGTGTGGCGTCTCGTACTACGGCTACGACTACTACGTCGTAACGCGAAGTCGATGTTTTTCATTTGTCTACAAATGTATGATCGCTAACGATAACTTATTACTTTTTTGTAAGTTTTTTCAATTCTGTAATTTAGAAACAATAAAGTGATCGCACACGGAGGTTGACCGAAGCACGTCGGCAAATGGTAAAGTTTTCAATAGCCAAAATGTGTACGCATCTCTTGTTTTGTCAAATTGGTGGCACGGAGAACGTGAACAATAATTATCGAAGATGTTGATGCTCGATAGAGAGCATATTGTTTAAATTTATACGTATATACACATATATGTGTGGATGTGTGTGTGTGTATAACTATTGCTATTATTAAAAATATTAGAGTTAATGTAAAGATGGACAGTCCTGGGTTAGGATACTCGTATCATCTTCCATCTGCAGGCTGGAATCTCAGAGTTCGAAATGTTCTTTCCCAGTTCAGTGATCTTTTCAGCGAATTTAACAAGTATATTGCACCAGCTTATCATCATGATCGATGCGAAAGGTATATCATAGTAAATCGTGTAATTACATAAATGCGTAGCAAATATATGTTATTTATTTATATGATATGAATTTTGTTTTACAGATCGGTTCAAATGCGATTATATTCAATGCATAAGAGAGAGTTTGTTATGGTATTTGTTGCCTTCTTTGCCTGTTTTATATTAGAGGTGTTTATTGGACTCGCAGGTATGTAAACCTATGTCTTCTGTAGATTGAATTCAACGCATATGGTCGTTATAGAGCAAAATTGGTTGTCGAAGTATTCTTGTAATTTTATCTCATAGGGCCTCCCATCACATTGACAAGTGAACAGAATGCTCACTTAAATGGCAGTGAAGTGGCCACCGGTCCTTTCATCATGAAAACTCCTTTGCTGTCCACATACAGTCAACAATTATGGGTGATCGCAAAGTTACTAACATCTAACAACGATGGTATCATGAATGCAATGAATTAAAAAATAAATTTTTAATTATAAATGAACATTGTAAAACATAAGTTGTGTAACTTAAAGTTTCTGATTGTTTCAGACGAACGATATGATAAAAGTTTTCAAATCAGTATCTCGATAGACGGCCTGACGGAGGATCGTAAACTTATGCCTGTGCTTTCTTCGGAAACTGGACAGAATAGGTACTATCTACTGGTCTAAATGGAATAAACACGATGCAAAATTCCAGCAATTCAATAACGAAATTGTCACTAATACGTGCGTTTATTATCAAAAATTGTAGAACCAGACGTTTAAAATGCGAAAGGCAAACGTGCGACGAGCTGGTGGTTGCCCATCTTGGATTCCTTGACTATACTTATTATATAATTACCGTTCGTTTCTACGGGCTTGAGAATTTCCATCGACGTTATAACATACGCGAGCTCACGTTCTACGTCAGTAAGCACTACACGAAATGAACAAATTGCAACGTGATAAATACGAAAATGATAATAGTTATCGCCTATTGTGTGTTGAATAACGTTTCTGTTTGTTCGCAGTTCAAGAACTACAACCCAAAGTTTACAGAGTTTGAAATATGGTTTCGTCTAATGTTTTTGCTAACAGCGTTCGGGATTATGGTAAAGTATTATCATAAATTCGCTATAATGCTATCATCACACTATAATAATATTCGATTGCTATATAACGCAATATCATTATAAAATAATTTGTAATACATGGTATACATGCAAGTTTTGCTGATTTGTAGTGTTGGTTTGGGCATTCACTCCGAAAGTACCCATTACATGACTGGTCGATAGAACAGAAATGGATTTCCATACTCCTTCCACTACTAATTTTATACAATAGTAAGATTTTGCGGCATATCGAATATTTATTAAGAATTCTAAAACAGTTTCAGTAGTAGCCTAATGTCTCTTTTTTTTTTCTTTTGTTTTTTACAGATCCGTTATTTCCTATGACGTTTTTGGTGAATTCTTGGGTGCCTGGCATGCTGGATGCAATTCTGCAAACAACATTCCTTTGTGCAGTTCTGATGTTCTGGTTGTGTGTTTACCATGGTTTGAGACAGGTATGAGATTTGTTGTGATTATTCATGGCTTAATACGAAAAATGGTGATAATAACAATAATAGTAATGATGATGATGATAGTAGATAATAGCAGTAGTAGTAGTAGTAGTAGTAGTAGTAGTAGTAGTAGTAGTAGTAGTAGTGGTAGTAGTAGTTGTAGTAGTAGTAGTAATAGTAATAGTTGTAGTAGTAGTCGTAATAGTAATAGTAGTAGTAGTAATAGTAATAGTAGTAGTAGTAGAAACAGTGTATGTGTATACACAATTTGTACGAGTACAATTTCTACGTTTACATAGAACGAGAGACGTCTTATCACGTTTTATTTACCCAAAGTTTTGGTGGTTGGTTTACTATGGTGTTCGGCTTTGATTCTGGCAACGTGGCTGCGCTGCACCGAATTGGAAGATCCCACGTATAATTACGTTCTCGATACGTCGAATTATTTCGTAAGTTTAGTTTTCAAGTTATGTACGTATCTGTGTACCTCCGTATGATGTCGTATATGGTATACCTGTAATAATGTTAATGTCATTCTAATAAAACCTGTACAATTTCAGGGTTTCAAAGTGTTCTTCTTCACAATAGGAGGCTTTTACATCGCGTACCTGCTGCTCCTGATATTAAGAGCGTACAGCGAATTACGCTCTATGCCATACTTTGGTACGATTACTATAAACAATCTAAAGTAATAACTAAATGAATTAATCCATAATAAATAGAGCGACACGGTCTTGACGCACTCCCGTTACTATTGCTTACCGTTCCACAGATCTTCGTTTGCGTTTTCTGACATTGCTCGCTGGAGTTGTTTTTTCGCTTTGCGGATGTGTGACGGCGCAACAGTTTGGCGCTGGTATTTTTGAAGACAGTTTTGCTTCACGACTCACCACTTACTACCGGTCTTCTGCTCAGTTTATGGCTTTATACGGTCTCTTGAATTTTTATTTATACACAATGGCTTACGTATACGCACCCGCTCATCAACAAGTCTACGGCCAACGTAAGTCATCTCAAGTTTTTGTCACCGTTTAAATTCTTTCACGTATACATATAGTTGTCGCACATGATTGTTTTTATCGATTCTAGATTCCTCCATAACGAAAGATAATCCAGCTTTTTCTATGATTAACGATTCTGACGAAGACGTTATTTATGGGTCGGACGAAGAAGTTGTCTATGGATCGGATGAGGATAGTCGGCGGCCTTTAACTCGGCCGCCTCGAATTTCCACAAACAATAACAATTAAACAAAATTCGATCAGTTTTAATTTTATTTCAATTTCGTTAAATAATATGGTCCAATGAAGGAGAAAACCAACAATCAAGAATTGATTTTATAAAAAAAGAGATACATGGCTAAGACATTTTTTCAAAACGTACAAAATTTTCCTTACCGTTTGCGTGCATCTGTCCAGATATATGTAGATGTGGGGACAATGATTTCATAAGCTGAGTGACGTCTATACATCGTATTGTATAGTAGGTACAGACACAGAATGTTTGTGTGCTGCCGTGAAAGCGATACTACCTAATATGTATAAGGGGTACTTGTATTTATAACTTGTTCACTTAATTTGAAGTGGACCCGCAAATCTATAATACTTATAATACTTATAATGCTTTAAATCTAAGGACTATCCCTATAATATAATACAACAATACAATGTTATATAATATGATTATGGAAAGATTATACATAAAACTTTGTAGCTTTTCGAATATACTGTAGAAAAAAAATTTTATCTTTCGAGTATATCATAGATTGCGCATAATAAAATATGTTCAAAGTTCAAACGTGTTCTAGAATTCTTCTCTAAATACTTCGCGTGCCATCGACGATGATGGGATCTTTACTATAAAATGCTGACTCTAAACTTATGTCAAAATTCAAAATAATGTCCTTGCTACTTTATTTATATTATTATTAATAAATAATTAATATGTTGTACGGAATTACCTTTACAACAGTCGCTTGGTAAGTAATGGTAATAATAATAATAATTTGCAGCGGTAGCATTTACGTACCTATCCAAGGGCCTATCAGCAGTAAAAAGAAGGAAGCATTTTTTCCGAATGAAAATCATTTCATAACATATTGACCACTGAATGAAATAATATGGTTAATAAACCTTCATCGATCTATAAGAAGAATAACGTAAAATATATTCAATTTATTTGAATATATTCAAAGTTAAACTCGCAACTCTAAATACAGTAATGATTTCCATCCCTGCAATGTAAAACAATGTAAAACAACGTAAAACAACTTAAAATAACAATGTGAAACGTCGTAAAACAACGTAAAACAACGTAAGACAACTTAAAACAACGACATGAAACAATGTAAAACAAAGAAAAACAATTTAAAATAACAACGTGAGACGTCGTAAAACAACGTAAAACAACGTAAAACAACTTAAAACAACGATATGAAACAATGTAAAACAACTTAAAATAACAACGAGAAACATCGTAAAATAACGTAAAACAACGTAGGACAACATAAAACAATGACGTGGAACTTTGTATAACAAAGTAAAACAACGGAAAAACAATGTAAAACAACGTAAAACAACGTAAGGCAACTTAAAACAACGATGCGAGACATTGTATAATAACGAAAAACAATGTAAAACAGCATAAAACAACGTAAGATAACTTAAAACAACGACATGAAAGAATGTAAAACAACGAAAAACAACTTAAAATAACAACGTGAAACGTTGTAAAACAGCGTAAAACAACGTAGGACAACTTAAAACATCGACGTGAAACAATGTTAAACAACGAAAAACAACTTAAAATTACTACGAGAAACTTCGTAAAACAACGCAAGACAACTTAAAACAACGATTTGAGACTTTGTATAACAACGTAAAACAACGAAAAAACAATGTAAAACAACGTAAAACAACGACATGAAACAATATAAAACAACGAAACACAACTAAAAATAACAACGTGAAACGTCGTAAAACAACGTAAAACAACGTAAGACAACTTAAAACAACGACATGAAACAATGTAAAACAACGAAATGCAACTTAAAATAACAACGTGAAACGTCGCAAAACAGCTTAAAACAACGACATGAAACAATGTAAAACTTAAAACAACAAAAGATAAGAACGACAAATTTCGAAAAGAACGTAAAACAACATAGGACAGCTGAAAACAACGATATGAAACATTATATAACAACGAAAAACAACGTAAAGACAACGTGAAAGGACGTGAAACAACGTAAGTCAGCTTAAAACAACGATGTGAGACATTGTATAACAACGAAAAACAACTTAAAGACATTGTAAAACAACGAAAAACAACCTAAGTCAGCTTAAAACAACGACGTGGAACTTTGTATAACAAAGTAAAACAACGGAAAAACAATGTAAAACAACGTAAAACGACGTAAAACAACTTGTTTGTTTGTTAGTAGTTAGTTAGTTAGTTAGTTTGTTTGTTTGATTGGTTTGTTCGTTTGTTTGTTTGATTGGTTGTTTGTTTGTTTTATTTGTTTGTTTGTTTGCTTGTTTGTTTGGTTGGTTGGTTTGTTTGTTTGCTTGTTTGTTTGTTTGTTTGATTGGTTTGTTTGTGTGTTTGGTTGTTTGGTTGCTTGATTTGTTTGTTTGGTTGTTTGATTGGCTTGTTTGTTTGTTTGTTAGCTTGTTTGCTTATTAGTTTGTTTGTTTGTTTGTTTGCTTGTTTGTATGTTTGTTTGTTTGTTAATTTGTTTGTTAGATTGGTTGTTTGATTGGTTTGTTTGCTTGTTTGTTTGTTAGTTTGCTTGTTAGTTTGTTTGTTTGCTTGTTCGTTTGTTTGTTTGTTAGTTAGTTCGTTTGTTTGTTTGTTAGTTTGGTTGTTTGATTGGTATGTTTCCTTGTTTATTTGTTAGTTTGTTTGATTGATTTGTTTGTTTCTTCGTTTGTTAGTTTGGTTGTTTGATTGGTTTGTTTGTTAGATAGTTTGTTTGTTTGTTTGATTGATTAGTTTGTTTCTTCGTTTGTTAGTTTGGTTGTTTGATTGGTTTGTTTGTTTGTTTGCTTGTTAGTTTGTTTATTTGTTAGTTTGTTTGTTTGTTACTTTGGCTGTTTGATTGGTTTGTTTCCTTGTTTGTTAGTTAGTTAGTTAATTAGTTTGTTTGTTTGTTAGTTTGCTTGTTTGTTTGTTTGTTAGCTTGTTTGTTTGTTTGATTGATTGGTTTGTTTGTTTCTTTGTTTGTTAGTTTGGTTGTTTGCTTGTTTGTTTGTTTGTTAGTTAGTTTGTTTGTTTGGTTTGTTTGTTAGTTAGTTAGTTTGTTTGTTTGTTTGNTTAGTTAGTTAGTTAGTTTGATAGGTTTCTTTGTTTGTTTGTTTGTTTGTTTGTTAGCTTGTTTGTTTGTTTGATTGATTGGTTTGTTTGTTTCTTTGTTTGTTAGTTTGGTTGTTTGCTTGTTTGTTTGTTTGTTAGTTAGTTTGTTTGTTTGGTTTGTTTGTTAGTTAGTTAGTTTGTTTGTTTGTTTGTCATTAGTCGTCATAAACAATTAATTTTTAACGCATTTAACTGTTTGAATTAAAAGCTGTAATAAACATCCTTTCGATTTCAAGTCGGAAACTTGCTCGTTAGGCCATAATAATAGAAATAATTCTATATAGAACTATAGATCGTACGAAAATGTATGGGAATTTTTAAAATGTAATAAAAGGGAAGTAAAACAACCATGTTATTTCGAAAATACGATTTATTAACCTGTCGAACGTAAATTCTGGTAACGCGTGCTCGCACGCACTGTCCTCTGTCATGCTCGCCATGCTCGTCTCTACGCAATTTTCCACGCGCACGCGGTATACAAAATCTATATTGTTACTATACTTAAACATCGTGACGCGTAGCTTAGCCGATAAACGTACACTATCCTAGAGATCGTGTTAATGACTATGGTGATTCCAGTAATCCGGAAATCCAGATCCACCGAGAACCGGTACCTGCTACGTCGTCGTTATACACAAGTCTCGAGGGACACATGATTAGGTACATTGAAGTTATCTCCCTCACCCTCGATCTCTAAATCCTCGATAGATCACCGACTCTATAAGCTCGCAATTGTCTACTAATTTCAATAAAATATTCCTTCGTCGCTATCGAAGGTGCAGAAAGATGCGGTTACTTCGAACTCTTGCTACTATAAATGATTAGCGAACGTACACCAATTTTAGGGAATTCTCTAAATTCTCTATCGTTCATTAATTTTGATAGCAATTAATCAGTGTCTACTTTAATTACAGGAGAGCGAGAGAGGACGAGAGAGGGTTGGAGGGAGGAAAGAGAAAGAGAGTGAGAGAGAGAGAGAGAGAGAGAGAGAGAGCGTGATATTGTATTCAATGCCACCTGGGACACGTAAATGATACATCGATTATTCACGGCACTGCACGCACGCATTCAAAATCGATATGGATTCGAATTTTCGTCGAGTGAAAGAATTTCCTTCGTTTTATCGAATTTGTTCACGGGTATGATCGATTTTGCAAGTGTTGAGAGACCGTTTCACGGACATGCATCATGGTTTCCCGTAGGTACAATGGAGAGATCATTACGAAACGAATTATGTAGTCGGATATACATATCTATGTATGTATATTAGCTTGCACATACGTATATACGACAGAGAGCTGTTCTTTTTTTGTTGGATTTTTTGTTTACTTCGAAATTTAGCTACGTACAAAAAATATCCTTATCGATTACGCACGGTTCATGTATGTACAGTGTACCTACGTGTTCGTCGACCGATTGTGGCGAGTGCGTGTGCGTTCTGTACAAACCGGTAGCCTAACATCCAAAGGAGAAAGATCACAATTTTATAGAGACGCGATGCGCATAGTTTTCTCAAAAGTACACAAGTTTAACACACGCTCTCTTACAGGGGGCCATGGAAGTTGTTCGAACGCCTAGGACAGCCGACGCTTGTAATTGTCAGCGAGCGAAATCCTTTGTTTCACCTGGACGAAGTTGAGGCAGTAACAATAATTTAGACCGTCGTCGATGGGGATTGGACAAAGAAATCTTCCCGTGCGTTCGAGCCGTTCCGCGGGCCGCTGTACGAAGAAACTTACGATAGGTTCATTTTATAGATTACACTTTCTTTTTCATTTCTGTTCAAAATCTTCTTGAATTCACAACAACGAACTGTGGTCATCTCGATTAGTCCTAATAATTTAATGAGAACGATATGAAAGTTTCGCCCCGTCGCGCCTTTCTCTACTAATATTTTTCGTTTTGAAAATATTACATCTCTTCCCGTTAATTTATTCTTGTTTCTCGTTCGTTTGTTAGTCGTTTCTTTGTACATTCGCTAAGTCTTTGTATTCATTTGTAATTGTTCGGGCCGATAACGCTCGCGCATCCAAAAAAGGGCGGATACCTCGTCTTAGCGGAGGACAAATTAGGCCGAACACAATCAACATCCATAGAGATAGTTTATCAAAGTTTTTTTCATTTTTTTTTCGTCGAAGAGTCCGATGATACTCCTCTATATACAAAATCTACACAATATATAAAAATCGTTAGACTCGGTGGTTAAAAGACCAGCATTTCCCTTCTCTATTCGTCATTTGTCATCCGTTTAGTCTTCTTTAGCACGTCGGATATTTTTGTATGTATGTACACATTGGCAAACGTTAGCGCAAACACATCTATTTACGTGTAGAAACGATTCGAATTACGATCGATTACCATGATTTCGTTCAATGAATACTTACTCGCGTTACGCGTTCGGTTACCGAACGTTTCGCTGAGGAATTCGTGATTCGAACAGCGCGGAGTTGCAACGACAGACGCGAACGTAACGTTACGGAAAACGTTTGTTAGTACCAGTGGAGATAACAAAGATGCTCGATAACCGATGAAGTATGTCTTGTTTGCAGAGACTGTCGTTCAACTGCTTGCACAGCAACTTCTCGTCGTCGTCGACTGACTCGCTTCTCGACATATTTCACTACGCATAGTACTTACACTTCAACATTTATAATTCGCAGAATGGAGGAGGTATGAGACTGTGAAACACTTTGAAATATGTTACGCGACTGTCAATGAACGTGAAAACAATTGTTCGAAGTCGCAGACGCGTTGAGATTGCCGAAAAGCTCGCGGAAAAGCTAAGAATAATTGTGAAATCATTCTTGGATTTTGAATCGATTTATAGGTAACGAGAACGCAGATCGATCGAATACGATTGGTGATTCGAATTAAAAAGCTCGTTCCAGGTGCGCAACGATCCCGATAAATCATGGTAGCAACAGCTAATGATAAGAAACAGGAATAAAGGAACGAAAAACGGGAGGTGTGGGTTCAACAGGCGGTATATAAGCAAAGAAGAAATTAAACCAACAAAATAAATACAATGTATTGTTACTTTGACATACGCCACATGCTGATTTGCGGTATACGACACGAAGGAAACGAAAAAATCTTTTAGAAATCGACAATCTGTCGTCTCGTTTTCACGCTGACCGTTCTCGAAACGATCGGTCGAAAATTAAAGGGAGGGAGAAGAGAAAAAAAAAAGAGAAAAAAAATAAAAATTAACGAAAAAATCCTTTCTCTTACACGGTCATCTTCAACACAACGTGGTGGGAGACGCGGATAGTCACGTTCAACAACGATAGCGCACGTAAAATATACATTGATTATTCGATACATGTATCCGTATACGCACATACGCACATACAAAAAAACACACGTAATGCCCAGACGTGATATACGTGTGTACATATATATATATATGTGTGTATATATATATGTATATATTACATATATCTAGATTTCCACTTTCTGTTCTTTTTCCCCCATGTTATAATACACGCATTCACACACGTACACATGATACACGCGCGTATATCTAGAAATTTTTCTATAGCGCGCACAGAGGATATAGTACTTCGTGTTTTTTGGCGGGATGAAATTTGGTTTCTCTTTGATTTGATTCACGATCGTCGTCGTGCGGTTCGTCGATCGTTCGTTGGTTCTCGATACGATACTTGTTTGACTCGTTTCAGATTCTCGGAGAAGGATAAAATCAAACGAGACCCCCGGAATTTTCGTGGATCACCGATACAAGATTATCGAACGATCGTGCTGCCTTTTTCCAATTGTTTCATACCTTTAAGAGCACCAAGGTAAACGAACGCGATGGACGCACAGATTTAAAATTAAAAAGAAGAAAAAAGAAAGAAAAGAGGATAAAAAACAAAAAGAAACAAGTTCTACAAGAGAATAAAACAGCAAAATAAAGTATCGTAATCTGTTAACATTTGCAAGTAGACGTTATACATCCAAAAAACGTAGATCGTCGCATAAATTGCGCGTGTCTCTCTTGCATATTTAAAACAAAAAAAAAATACGTATACTCTAGTGGTAATGATAAATTACGTTGGTACTGATAGTAATGGTAGTTACGATGACGCAGGACGAACAGGATCACGTCATATGGTTTTCACTCGACTGTCGGGTAATAATTTGATTCGAATGCAATCAATCGGTTCGCATTAACGCATGCGTGTTTTTCGTTTTGCTCGAATCGATCCTCGCAAGCTTTTTTCTCTATGAAGCACGGTTAAAAGATGCTCCGATCGTTTAAAATGTGATAATTCGTAAAGTAAAACAATTGACTGTGAATTAAGTACATCGACACGAGTGATCCCCGTGTCCGCTTCGGCTCCTTCGATCAGGGTTTTGTAAAAATCGATACAAAAATTTCATGCGACCGCGATCGCGAAAAAAGAATCGCGCGGCCTCGTAACAATTGTCTAACATTAAACGTTCAACATCAACAAAAAGGTAATAATACATGGATAATCGTAATCACCATTGCTACAAATCGCGGATAATATTAATAATATTAATAATAATAATAATAATATTAATAATAATAATAATAATAATCATAATCATAATCATAATAATAATAATAATAGATACAAAAGTAACATTAAGGATAATAATAGATTTTAATAGTAACGATACCACCAAGAATCATAGCGATAATAATAATTACGTCATCATATAATATTAATAATCTATCGACAGCGATAGCAATAAATTGTAATAATAATAAGGATAAGGATAATCGTTGATAAAGGTGAATATAGCAATAATAATAATAATAATAATAATGACAATAATAATGGTGATCGTGGTGATAACGAATAATTAATAGTAGCATTAAACAACGAAGTTAACGCGCGTGCCAGAAAAAGTATGCGGTGAGAAGATGACACGAACATAAATGGTGACATATTAAATCGTAAATGTTACTTTTGACTAGGTACTCCANGATTTCCACTTTCTGTTCTTTTTCCCCCATGTTATAATACACGCATTCACACACGTACACATGATACACGCGCGTATATCTAGAAATTTTTCTATAGCGCGCACAGAGGATATAGTACTTCGTGTTTTTTGGCGGGATGAAATTTGGTTTCTCTTTGATTTGATTCACGATCGTCGTCGTGCGGTTCGTCGATCGTTCGTTGGTTCTCGATACGATACTTGTTTGACTCGTTTCAGATTCTCGGAGAAGGATAAAATCAAACGAGACCCCCGGAATTTTCGTGGATCACCGATACAAGATTATCGAACGATCGTGCTGCCTTTTTCCAATTGTTTCATACCTTTAAGAGCACCAAGGTAAACGAACGCGATGGACGCACAGATTTAAAATTAAAAAGAAGAAAAAAGAAAGAAAAGAGGATAAAAAACAAAAAGAAACAAGTTCTACAAGAGAATAAAACAGCAAAATAAAGTATCGTAATCTGTTAACATTTGCAAGTAGACGTTATACATCCAAAAAACGTAGATCGTCGCATAAATTGCGCGTGTCTCTCTTGCATATTTAAAACAAAAAAAAAATACGTATACTCTAGTGGTAATGATAAATTACGTTGGTACTGATAGTAATGGTAGTTACGATGACGCAGGACGAACAGGATCACGTCATATGGTTTTCACTCGACTGTCGGGTAATAATTTGATTCGAATGCAATCAATCGGTTCGCATTAACGCATGCGTGTTTTTCGTTTTGCTCGAATCGATCCTCGCAAGCTTTTTTCTCTATGAAGCACGGTTAAAAGATGCTCCGATCGTTTAAAATGTGATAATTCGTAAAGTAAAACAATTGACTGTGAATTAAGTACATCGACACGAGTGATCCCCGTGTCCGCTTCGGCTCCTTCGATCAGGGTTTTGTAAAAATCGATACAAAAATTTCATGCGACCGCGATCGCGAAAAAAGAATCGCGCGGCCTCGTAACAATTGTCTAACATTAAACGTTCAACATCAACAAAAAGGTAATAATACATGGATAATCGTAATCACCATTGCTACAAATCGCGGATAATATTAATAATATTAATAATAATAATAATAATATTAATAATAATAATAATAATAATCATAATCATAATCATAATAATAATAATAATAGATACAAAAGTAACATTAAGGATAATAATAGATTTTAATAGTAACGATACCACCAAGAATCATAGCGATAATAATAATTACGTCATCATATAATATTAATAATCTATCGACAGCGATAGCAATAAATTGTAATAATAATAAGGATAAGGATAATCGTTGATAAAGGTGAATATAGCAATAATAATAATAATAATAATAATGACAATAATAATGGTGATCGTGGTGATAACGAATAATTAATAGTAGCATTAAACAACGAAGTTAACGCGCGTGCCAGAAAAAGTATGCGGTGAGAAGATGACACGAACATAAATGGTGACATATTAAATCGTAAATGTTACTTTTGACTAGGTACTCCACTTGTACTTACGCGGGACGTAAGACTCAAGGACGTGATTCATTCTCGTGTTAAGTAAAATCTTTCTCGGCTGAACAATGTATCTCTGAGGAATTAGTCGCTCATGGTGCATAAGTACATGCATGGATTTTCGTTAAAGAGATGTCTTTGGTAATTTGCACGGAGCGCGATGCGACCGAACTTCGTCGACGTACCGATCGACCCATTAAAAACTGATGTGTTCGACAATAACTACATGCAACATTCAGATTAAAATTTGAATCTGTACTTCGCGATCGTGAGTTTGTCGATTTTTAAGGACAGTAATATTTGCTCGATCGAGATCAAACGATTTTAATCGTGAATTCGATTCACTATTTTCCCGAACGCTTTTCATATGTTACAAAATGCGCACGAATCAGTTTTTAGTGGAGCTACGCATCGTATGTCCCGATGTATCGCAGAAATCGTCTAATTGATCGGCGTCGGTCGCGTCTCCGTTGATTTGGTTTGACGCGTGCGTGTGAATTATGTCATCGTATCTGAAAACAGCTTGTTTCAAGTTCAAGAAACAAGCGCACAATGTGAAGCAAATTATAGCTGCGGCCTCGAACTGAAAGGATCCCTTGAATCGCGAAAAGGAAAGAAGAAAAAAGCGCAGCGAAATTGACGATTCGCGGAAGCGAATCGATGGAGAAGAGAAAGAGATAGAGAGTCGCGTCCGCTTAAATTTCCGACGCGTCGGCTGCTTTCGTTTCTCGCGTTAACATTAAACGGTCTTAACCGTATTACCGTGACAAATATTCCTAACAAACGCTGTCGTCTATTCTCTCCGTTACTATCCTGCGATTACTCTCTTTTATAACTTTCCGAGTCGATATAAAAAATAATTTCATTGCATTCCCTAAAAAAATTTGTCTCGTTAATACGGCTAAGCGTAAACACTTAACGTAAAATAAATGATCAGTTCAATGTTTCAGTCGGTTTCACAAACCGAAGCAAGCACTCAATTCTATATTTCGCTTTCAAAGTTTTAGCATCGTTACTTGAAATTTCTTATACGGGTATAGATTCCAATAACTGTTCTCGAACTCTCCGATTTCTTCTTTTCTCCAATGTAAAAAATAATCACTGCGATTTCACGAAAAAATTAAGTACCTAAATCGAGCTAATCGGTAACGACGATCGCGTACGTTCTCGATTCGAAACGTTTCACATTTCGAGGATTCAAATAAAAGAAACGGTTCTAGCCGTGTCTCTGTGCTCTCCGTTTCAACGTGAGACACCAGACAGAGATAAAACCAAGTTGGCAGAGATGGTCGTATGTAATCTACGACGAGAATAGTTACCGACCCAAGGTTGGTCTTTCCTGGAAAAAAATCTCCTGAATGGTACGGGTCATCGTTCCTTTCGATGGGCACACATCCGTCAAGGTTTGAAGCCAAACACAGAGATCATAAAACACGAATAAACGACAAAGATATATGCTGTTTGGTACGGCCGATGCAAAAAAGAGAAAAAAAAGAGGAAAAATAGAAAGATAGAGAACGACTGCGTGCGCGCGGTTAGCGAGTTGCCCACTGATGAGAAAACACTCGTTTCCGAAAATTTGTCATCGTTAAGTTCCTCATGCCCACGCATCTGGTCACACACTCGCCGAATCGTTCACAGATTCTCGCGCATACGTACAACACACGTACACTCGCACACCCGCATACATACTCACACATACACAGATTGAAAAGCGACCCTAGTCCAATCCTATATACGGTACAACGTTATCACAAAGTCATTAAAAAATGCTACTTATGTATCGTCTCTCCTACATAACTTTTCTATCCCTTGTTCTATCTGCTTTGTCTTTTTCTTTTTTTGGTTCTTTTTTTTGGTAATCTTTACACCTTTACTACACCGTCGCGCGTCGTCGCGCACCGTCGCGATCGACGAACGGTGCGAGAAACGAGCGTGACTCGGGATCGCGTTGACCTCGGTTCACGCGTGTGTCTCGGGTTCCCTTATCCCTTATCATTGTCCTACGCTTTTTCGCTTTTCCGCTTTTTACTACAACTCGATATTCAGCCGTGTTATCTACATATGAACAGGCGTTCTTTCGTTCGCGACGCCGAACAGCGATCCCGAAAAAAAGCGAGTCGATCCAAAAACATCGATTCTCGGTATAGTTTGCTAATTAATTACAGCCGTGCAGATAGCGTAACTCTCTCTCGTTATTATGGTACAAGGTACGCCCCGTTCCGGGGGCTCGCTGTACGTCCGACCCCTTCGACGATTAGTTTAGTTAGTGATTGTACGCGAGATTAATCTTACATTAAAGATCCATACGAGGGGGATCGGACGCGATCCGTAGAATCGTCTCGTCCCTGGTTATCTCCGTTTCGTCGGTGATCGGCGTATTTTAGTCCCGTTATCGCGAACAAGAACTGCTGCACTATATTATCGATCGGACGCATTTACATACACACGCACAGCACAGAGAGATATCAATGATCAGGGTGTACGCGGAATAGGCTCGCGTACTCCGAATATGTACACGTACAAAGAAACAAATAGAATTAAAGATAGATATAGCGTGTGTGTCACAGTTCAGCCCGAGGAACATAAAAACACAGTGCGCCGATGTCTGCCGACTTCCGCTTCCGCTACACAATTTTCGCATCCGTTGGCATTCGTTTTCGTTTTGCGGTTTTCAACTTTCACCGAGAGACACATCCCCGACTTGGACGATGACCGGTCCCCGCTGCTCTCTCTCGGTCGGGATCTATTTCTCGAGTCCCACGACGCGGCCACCTTCGGATCCAGCAGCTCCGATGGACAATCTCTCGCCATGGGGATATTCTCTTCTCTCTCTGTCTAACGGGTTCTATCGCATAATGGCGGTTAGGGGTGCCGTTACACGCGTGCCACGATCAACAATCGGCGAGCCAATCGACAATCCGATAAAGGAGACCGGACGTTTACGACCGTGGTGTCGCGATCTACGCGGAATAAAAACGCTGGAGGTAGCTCGTAGGTGGATGGATTCGGTTGTTCTCTTTTGCCTCGGGATTCTTTCTCTTTCTTTTGTTTTGTTTCGTTTTTTGGCGTTTTTTTTTTGTTTGTTTGTTTTTGGCTTTTGCTGGATTTTCCTCTGTGTGACGGGATATCGGGATCGGGGGCAGGCCAGAGAGATCGGGATGAATACGGAAACGGTTTTGTTGTAGGTGCGACGATACCCTAACGGGTACCGGGAGACAGCGGGCGGATGTGCACAGGCACCGACAGACACAGAATGACTGATCAAGAGGCTGACCAAGGAGTCGTGACTGATCGATCGAACGATTGACCGATTTGACTGACTGAGACTGACATGGCACGGCGACTCCGATCGAGAACACGGTCACAACGTCACAGGCCACCTGCTGGCACACAAACAAACACACGGACAGGTTAGTCACCACCACACACCAGAGATATATGGAATTCCCTGGGCAAACGTGCACGGTGACTCTCTGATCGCGCTCGACTTTCTACAGTTTCACCCGCCGAATCGATGGGATTCGTTTCGGTGAACGTATATAATAATCGGACGGTACACCGGTCAGTTTCTCTAGAATAGTAACGACAAGATAAGAACAGCGACAATAATTAATAGTTACCACAAGCAAATAATTACAACACCGTGCAACGTGTACGCAGGTATTTTGCCAATACGTCGTCATCGAACGGAAGCAACCCGATGATAAGTCTAGTCTTTGACACTTAATTAACGAGCTGGTTGTTCAACGTAGTTCAGTATTTCTATCCAAAAAATTTTGTATCCGACAAATGTAGCTGGATCACCGTTTCGTTATCGTATAAATCGCTTGTTTATACCGACGCTCGCTAATCAAGGCTTGAACATTCGTACGTTTAATGATTCTCTTAATCGTTACAGTCGTCGCGTTGCTTCGTTCTCGCCGATACGATTCATCGATACGTTCTTTCTTCGGAAAAGTATTGCTCATTCAAGAAGGAATGGAAGGTAAAAAAGAGAGCGAAAAGAGTTTGAGAGAGAGAGGAGTGAGAGAGAGAGAGAGAGAGAGAGAGAGGAGAGAGAAGGAGAGAAAGAGCGTCGACAAATCGGTGTGCACGACGATCGGCGATATCCCAAAGAAAAAAAAAACACGGCAATGTTAGTACTAACAACTAATAAAGCGTCATAGCGTAAATTAACCATCAAACTTCGTGTGATATTACTGTCACAGTGGAATATGTTCCGAGTTTTGTGCCCTGTACAATAAACAAGGAACCGACTGCGCGTGATTGCATAATAGAAAAATAGTGACGTAATCACGGCAGATTAGCGAGGTAGACGATTGCGATTCGATTGCTACCTGCACGGTATCCGACACGTCACGCTTTGGTTATGAAAATGCGTAATAAAGAACGTAGAGTATATGCAATAAATTAACAAGAAAAAACGACAACGAACGATGCGATGTATATAATATTAACAAGAACAAAGAAAGTAATAGAGAGAAGCGTAATCATGTCGGGGGCCAGGGTGAGTTTCTCGGGCGTGAAAAAAAACTCATAAGCGAACTACGGGTTCCCCGGCTGTTTCTGATCGGTGTGTGTTGGTTCTTTTATTTATGTTTTTTTTTGTTGGTTTTTAACTCTCTCCTAGAAAGAGAAGCTCGGCAACAACGGAGAATGTTAGTGAGAACTTTACGTACATAATTCCACTTTGTGCACAAAAGTTAGCACAGTAAGCTTGATTGGCAGCCGTTCGCAACGAAATGAAGTTTGATTGCACCACTGGGCGCGAGAGAAAAAAAAAGGTCGGAGATGGGACGGTGCTGGGGGCCGAGAGATAGTGCAGGCTTGCGCATCTTCGAGAAAAATTGAAGGACGAGTACTGGCAAGCGAGCGTATATGCTTGTTATGATGCTGTCACGTTATGTACAAAAGTATATCTGGTCCGATGCGGTTCTTTCTCATTTGTACTTGGAACACAGAATTCAAGAAACTCCTCCTAGGAATACTGTACACAAAAAAATACAGTGCAACGTAATGCAATACGATACAATACAATACAACGCAGTACGATACAGTTCGTTAGAATTCGATCACAGAATCCGTTTGATCCCGAAACTCGTTCACCTAGGACCAAAGCGATAGAGTAACGGTGCAAAAATGTTTATTCATTGTCTCGTTCGTAACATCGTAGCTATTCTAACGGATCAGAGTTGATACAACAAGTTGTGCTCTTCCCTGCCGAGATTCGGTCGCTATTGTATTGGAAGCTATTTGCAAATTACATTAGCGCGTATTTCTTTCGTGTACAGAATCGAACTGGCGACGCTATCTGTATCCTTGATCGTCTTACGTATTAACCGAACACATGTTGGCAGCATCTCCATCCTGGTGCGAAGATAGGACGACTCTTTCGCGGATTAGGTACGATTAAAAACAAGGAACATCGAAATGCTTTCGACCGCTGCATCGAAAAATATAAAAGGGGCATTCGATTACCATCGAGATTCCGAAGACGTACCTCGAACAGCGTCCAGCGAGCGGATAGAATAATACAAGTGCGGAAATAGGTACGAAGAATAGGTAAAAACACTTTCTTTTCTCGTATAGGTACAAAAATACTAGAAATATATGGACGGACTAACGAACAGAAGAAGTATACGGTGTAAACTCGCAAAAATCGAGATAAGTATATGTATAGTATATTCGGAAATATATAGTCTGACGACGAGTTCAAGTCTTCAAGATTATCACAGCCTCGTTTTCGAAGGATGATTGCACGGCTTTTTGGCCGGGACGTGCAACACGAGCACCGAGTTGTCCGGTGTCTCGTTTTAGAGGAGACACGCTCTCTAAAATCTTCGTAGTGTCAACGACTACGACACAACAACAACAGCAACAATAACTACACCACCACCACCACCATCGAGAATACTGTTTTGACTAGAGACGATTTGTGGAAGGCAAAACCTGTGAGAGGTCCTTCGAATATTCGAGCGAACGATCTATCCCTCCTATAAGTATGTACAGATCGAGGATTCACTAGCCCGATCAGTTTGATTTACTCGCCACGACTTGTCGCGACAGAATGCGCGGGCTCTTTTCGATTATGGGCACCAGGGTCGTTGGATCCGAGCCGTGGTATCCGAGGAGCCCTTGGCGGCCGGTTGGTCGGTTGGTTGGTTGGTATCTACCTACAAACGGTGGGCGACGGCGGCTAATAGGGTTTCGATGCGTCCTTGGATCGTTTCAGCTGGACCTTCAGCCGTTTCATGCCAACCTGGAAACCGTTCATCGCCTGAATCGCTGCTTGTGCACTCGCCGCGTTGTCGTACGACACGAACCCTGCAAACAATTCATCACGATGCGTCTAAATCTGCGTTTCTCATGACCGGTCCCGCATTAACGGGCTATTCTGGTCTAGAACTTCGAAACGATTCCTTTTCGATTCGTCCAAGTGATCGAGTTATAAACGTTTGAAATATTATACAGCAGTTTCGGAAAGTTCCCGATGGATTTCCAACACAATCTTTAGAGCAGTTTTGCCACCGTAAACCCTACGCAAATTTCCAATAAATCTTGGCTTCTTAAAAGCCTTTCGTATGTATCAAAAGCGAGACACAAACTCAAAAAACTAAACTTGGACTTCAAAAAAGATTTTATTAAACAATCTTGAAAATAACACCTTAGTTTTTCTTTTATTTCAGATTAGAATAATGGTTCGAATGACATCAGCCACGAAAAGATCGTTCTTTAAAAGCGCTTTGTTCAAGGAAATACAACTGCAGACATATTTTTTTATACTCCTGCTTGGGAAAAATATATTTTATAGTATAACTGCTGTGAAAACTATTTGCATGAAAAACTAAGAAAAATTAGTCTTGTAATTTCTTTAAAGAAAATCCCAAACAGGACCTAAAAAATCCAACTCTAGACCAGAATTTCCCGTTCGTACAACGTTCGTCGCAAACTTCCAGCGAGAAACGTGTCATTGCAGGAGCAAGAGACGACTTTTGATTATTTTTACGACAGGCTTCGCGGAAAGAGAAGTCGGTTACGTTTTGCAACTCACCGAAGCATTTGCTCAGTAGTGTTTGCTTGTCGATGAACACCTTGGCGGAGATCACGTTCCCAAACGGCAGAAACGTTGTGACGAGGTCGGTATCGCTGAACTCTTGCGGTAAATGGTAGATGAAGAGGTTGCAGCCCTCGGGACCCTCTATCTGCTTGTCGGTGGTGACAAATTTCGCTTTCTGAGCTGCTGCCGCAGCCGCAGCCGCCGCCGCAGTGAACGCCGGGAACCCTGAAAGAATCGTTGTACCTCACTCGTCCGATCGTTGTTTAAGTTCTTTCAAAAACAAGCTACATTCTTCTCTTAGTTCGCAATCCACTAGATTCGCGTTCAGATTTTGTTTGCGGTCGAACAATTCTACTTGAGTCCATTGTTCCTCGCATTATTCAGTCTTACTACATTACATCGTGCTTTGCGTATCTTGTGGATTGGGATCTGCGATTATTCGATAAACGAAGACATAATCGACAAGTGAGAACAACTGAAAAACTATATTTCTTGTATGCGTCTCATGCCAAAAGAAGAATCAAGACTACCTTTAACCCCTCCACTGCGTTTGCTTAACTCTAAAACAGTCCGATCCGTCGAGGAACGACCGATTTCTTCATTTTACAATTATTGAGACTGTAAACATTAAGGCTGCAATGTTACGCAGTACAGATAACTTCTAATGTTCGATCGTTTTAATATAAAAAAGGTAATTGGATCGGACTGCAAATATACTGTGATACATCAATGACATAACCTTGACATAATACTGTGATACATCAATGACATGACCTTGACATAACCTTGACATAACATTAAGGCTGCAATGTTACGCAGTACTGATAACTTCTAATGTTCGATCGTTTTAATATAAAAAGAAAATAATTGGATCGGACTGCAAATATACTCTGATACATCAAAATCGGTGATAGAAAATTAGTTGAAACACAGTAGGAGAGTTAAAGAACGTGTCGAAGTCAGAATCGAACAATTACAGTAAATTCTCCCTAATTGACGCTCAGCTTGGAAACGAAATTGGACAATTTGGTGGGAAGAGGAGGTGCGATTATTCGAAGCTTGCAGCTCGTTTTTATAGCTGTTCCTCTTCCCAAATTGTCCATTTTTGTGTACAATCTGAGCGTCAATTGGGAAGAATTTACTGTAAACAGTTCGAGACGGTGTCTCGCGCGCATCGAAGTCACCGAGCATCGAAGTCACGGTTGCGTCATGTCCGAAGTTTATCTTTGCGTGTCTACGTTTCTTAGGCGTCGTCGTTTATTACGCTGGCCGACTCTCGCGCAAACAAGTAGAACAAAACCGAATACAAGGAAGAAATAACAATCCTGGCTAACGAAATTCTTATCGTACGTATAATAAAGAATTGATTCAGGCATTCCACTCTTGATTACTCACTATGCAATTCTTTCTTTTCCATGGTCACCGACGTCTTTCCAATGAGAGCTTTAAGGCGCACAGTAGTCACTCGTTAGAACAACACATTTACGAACCATGTCCGAGTAGATAAGAGAATAGATTTAACCATTTATGATCTAGCATTGCTAAGGAATAAAGTGCGACGCGTGACTTACCCGCGTATTGTTGTAAGCTTGAATAGGCGTTGCTCAACGAGTCTTGCAGTCCGTTTAATGGTGTCCCCGTCAAGGAGTTCAGCGCCAGGGATGTCACAGGACTCAGGCTGCCACCAGTGGACCCTTCAAAATCGAAATCAATTCGGTTAATTATGTTCCGTCGACGTCTGAACATCTCGCGACATAATCTAGCCACGGTTATCTACGCCAGGCATGGGCAGACATTGCCCTGGCTCCGTGGAGACCATCGTAGCCTTCGGAGTGAAACTTTTCGAGACTATCGATGCTTAGGGGATATTGAAAGCAGGAGAGAGGGAGAGAGAGAGAGAGAGAGCATGGATTGTGGCTCCACCAAGATGAGAGCGACTAAGCCACGCCGTCTCAATCGGAGCCAGAGATCGTCTTTCGCAAGGTAGTGTCTCTTTTTCTAATTACTGCGGCCGGAACAAGGGAATGGCCCATGCCTGATCAATGTTGTCCACGAACTACTCCAAAAATAATTCCCCGCCGATTGGCATGCCGCATGCTACGACACCGATTAAAACAAACAAAAAAGGAGCTAGGTAGAATAAACCTAGTTTCATCTACGACACGTTGAACGTTACGTTAATGTTACTTCACTTGTTATTTCATATAGAATAAGCGTTTGCGGAAGTACCGATGTGTGAACTGCTGGGCTACTACGATTTCGATATGGTTAGATCAATGATCGATCGATTCATCTCGATCGACATCGCCGGAATACGTAATTGTTCCAAGATTTTCTGAAGCGTGTGCGTACGGAGCTCACCGGCGAAACGAGGATTTTCAATTACGATCGCGGAATAAACCTTTCTCGCAGCGCAACGTTTCGACGTTGCAGCAACGGTTAACGCAAATTCAAGCCTAATTAATACAGAGCGAACGGACGAGTGCTGGGTGAGCTTCGTTCCATCGATTAAACGGCCAACAGTAAATACAAGTCGAATTAGTGATGAAATGTGTACATATACATGTGTGTGGGCGTATGTGGAGCAGGATCTATAAGGATGATAAATAGCGGCACGACGAAAAAGTTACATGACGGAGGAAGAGAAAGAAAGCTTCTGTGATTTCTTCTCACCTGTGTTCCCGGTCTTTCCAAGAAGGACAGCTACGCACGAAAAAAAAACGTGTTCATTAAATCGCTGATGCGCGCACAATCGCATGAGAACATAAACAATAATCTGTGTCGTCGGGTATACTCGAGATTAAAAGAGACAGAGGGTGAAAGAGAGAGAGAGAGAGAGAGAGAGAGAGAGAGAGAGAGAAAGAAAAAGAGAGCGAGAGAGAGAAAGAGAGGTATGTGGTTAGATGCAGATACTTTTCGTGTATCGTTGCAAGTTGCAAAATTCGGGGCATTGTTTCCTGCTGTGTCGTTTTCGCGCGACTTTCTAACATCGAGAGTACCGCAAATGGCGGACACAGCGAAATTTAGAGTCTCCGGTATGTCGAAAAATAGTTTATGCGCTGTAGAAACGATTATCGAAACTGTGAAAAGTATTTGGCACACCGTGAGAGGTACAGAGCACGCGCAGCAGGCAACAAGGTTTACTTACACAACTTTGTCTAGCGGTGAAATAAAAGATAATAGAGAATGATATATTGGAACGTATTGCCGTCTTGAAGCATACACGATTAGTATGACATTATAATGTAGTTGATTACGAAGATGGTCACGCAGGAATGCGACTCCATATGTACTCCGTTACAAACCCGGTGTACTCATGGTCGTGTCCATTCCTTACGTGTTTTCCCGTCGTCTTTAAGCGACTATCGAACAGCGAACGAGATTAGAATCCGTCTAAACGATCGTAATTAATTTAGTAATTGTTAATACTATACCAGGCAATGCGACACGTACATAGCGACATACCTGCTGTCGAATTCGCCAGTCCGCTTAACGCTGAAACACAGAACACGTTCACGATATTAACAAGCGGAGTTAGTTACGTGTTTACATATTCAGCGCGTAAACTTCGGTGAAATTTACTTAGCTGTTACTCGCTACGATATAAGGTATTCTCCGTGCAATGCGGCCAATTGTTGCGAGAGAGAATTATTCGCGGTGGCACATCGCCGAGTCTGTGATCGATGCGACTCGGAACAGAAATTCTTGCATGCTACTATCGGGGACGGATCATCGGCCACGATCCGGATCAACGAAATCAAAAGCATACACAGCTGTCGCGCCACAATTTCTTTTTTTTTTTCTTTTCGGTCACAATCAAGTGTGTTCTTTGCGTGCGCACAAACATGCAGGTATTACAACAACAGACAGTTCTGATACGCTACTCCTCGGTTGTTGCGTCCCGACAGGTGCAATTTGAATCACGTGGAAACAGTTGTTAGGATCGACACGCGTTCACCGATTTCCCTTTGGAACGAGGCTGGTGCATGCATGCTGTTATTCAAGACTTAATGTCACGTTCAAGCGAACCTCCCCGAAAGCACACTTCTGCTTTCAGGCAGTTTTGTAAACAGCTGGAGAGGAGCAGAAGGAAAGATAGAGACGTAGAGATGTAGTGAGGTGGAAAGGTAGAGAAATAGAGAGAGGGAGAGAGAGAGAGAGAGAGAGAGAGAGAGAGAGAGAGAGAGAGAGAGAGGAAGAGACAGACAGAGAAAGAGAGAGAGAGAGAGAGAGAGAGAGAG